CGTCCGTTCCGAGTATAGTCCATACGGTAAGGGCCCATGTCGGTGAGCTTAAGTTCGAATCCCTTCTTCGCGGCCTCAATTCCAATGCTGGCCTTGATATCATCTTGGCGAACTTTGTATGTTCGTTCAAGTTCGGCTTCGGGTTCGAGGAATCCTTCAGTGTGCTCGAGCAGAATCTCAGCATCTTTCGCTTGAATGACAGCCTGCTTGTGCTTGTACTCTTGTTTCTTGAGGGTTGAGCGCAACTTCTTGTCTCGCGCGGTTTTCACGTTGTTGGCCTTGCCTCGTCCGTATGTGTTCTGGGCTTCAGCCAGTCTCAGCTTGGCTTCGTTGTCTCCCGAGGGAGTAACGGCCATTTTCGAGGATGAATCGGCCATTTTCGAAATCTTCGTAAGGCAACCCAGCGTAAAGATCCAGCGGTGGTCGAGAAGCTCCCGAAAAAAATGTCGTTTTGCCCAAAAGGTTGCCAAGACTTCCACTCACCGCTCGCTTATCCTCCACTGGCGAATTTTGTTTTCTTATCGGTTTTTTTTTTTTTTTTGCGAACACTTCGTGCTTTGATATTGCATTTGTGAGCATTGTTTTGCCCTGGGATCTCTGAGTATCCTCGAATTTCAATCTGGACTCTCTGCCATTTCGTTTCAAAGGGTCAAGTGCCAATATGGCGCCTTCCCAGACGGTGCACCACCACCGGTCCACCACCAAGGTTTCGCACAAGCCCTACAAGAGCAAACATGCCTCCAAGAGTGCCTTGAAGGACCAGGCCAAAGGTATGACTGCAGTGATATGAGTTTTCAATCTCATATATTAATGATTTTTATTTAGGCAAAATTGAAGGTGATGAGCGGGGCTCACGCAAAACACCCCACCAACAGCTCAAGTCGAAACTCGATCGCCGAAACACCGCCCGTCAGAGGCAGGCAACGAAGCAGCAGGACCGGGTCCAGGCTACCAGCCTATTCGCTGGTCAGAGTGGTGCTCCCCGTCATGTCGCAGTTGTACCGTTGACCCCCGAAATCGACGTTGCCGCCGCTATTACCTCCCTCAACGAGAGTGTCGATGTTGCGAGTGAAGGCTCGTCCGATGAACCTACCCGCGTGCGCATCGATCGATTCCGCCAGAGTGTGCAGTATGTTCCAGCCAAGTACGATCTGCTCAGTGCCCTGGATGTGTGCCGCATGGCCGACTTCGTCATGCTGGTGTTGTCTTCCGAGGTTGAGGTTGATGAGGACGGAGAGATGTTGTTGCGCTCAATCCAAAGCCAAGGTATTTCAAACGTTGTGACCGTTGTTCAGGGTCTTAACCGGGTTGAGCCTCCCAAGAAGCGCCCCGGAGTTGCTGCTTCGTTGAAATCTTTCATCAACCACTTCTTCCCGACTATTGAGAAGGTCATGTCTCTCGACTCTCGACAGGAGTCCTCCAACGCTATCCGTTCCCTTTGCACTGCCACTCCCAAGGGTATCCACTGGCGTGATGAGCGTAGCTGGATGTTTGTCGAAAATGTCCAGTGGCCCGAGTCCAACCTTGAGGTTGTGGACGACGTCGTTATCACCGGCGTTGTTCGCGGAAAGGGCCTGAAAGCTGACCGAATCGTTCACCTTCCCGGCTGGGGCGATTTCCAGATCGACTCGATCACTGCTGCACCGCTAGCAACCACCAAAACCAAGAAGGACGATACAATGAACGTCGATACCAACGAGACCGCACAAGTTCTAGACGCCCCCACAGCGGACCAGGATGATATGGCCACTGTTGCCCCCGAAGAAATCGAGATGGTCGATGATGACATGGTCTCAGTGGCCGAAACCGAGAAGAAGGGTGTTCTGCTGGACGACTACCACTACTTCTCAGATGACGATACACACATTCCCGCAACACCCAAGAAGTTGCCCAAGGGAACCTCAAAATACCAGTCCGCTTGGTACCTAGAAGACATGTCAGACTCTGGATCTGACGCCGAGGACGAAGACGAGCCTATGGAAATGGACACTGCCGGTGCACCAGAGGACGGTGTGTTCCCTGAACACAACGATGCCATGACCGAGGGTGGCCCCTCAGAATACCCTCAGTCCGAGATGTTCCTTGACCCATCTCCAGAGGATGAGGCCCAAGAATTGGCTGCCTACCGTGCCAGCCGCAAGACCGAGGCAGAGGAGGATCTCGAGTTCCCCGATGAAATTGAATTGCACCCCAACGTTTTGGCTAGAGAGCGTTTGGCCCGTTTCCGTGGATTGAAGAACCTCAAGCTCAGTACCTGGGAGACATCCGAGGATCGCCCTTACGAGCCCGAGGATTGGCGCCGACTGCTGCAGTTTGCTGATTATAAGGGTTCCAAGAACCGTATCTTGAGGGAGGCATTGGCAGGCGGTGTCAACCCTGGTATCCGGGTCGATGTGCACCTCCGCGCAGTGCCCTCCATTCTGCGCAACAAGCCCCAGCCCCTTTCGCTCTTCTCGCTGCTTCGCCACGAGCACAAGCAGGCCGTGGTCAACGTGAACATGACTCTGAGCTCCAGCTACGAAAAGCCCCTCAAGTCCAAGGAGCAGCTTGTCGTCCAGTGCGGCCCTCGCCGCATGATCGTCAATCCTATCTTCTCCTCATCTGACAACACGCCAAACAATGTCCACAAGTTCGACCGTTTCCTGCACCCTGGCCGCAGCGCCATCGCCTCCTGGATTGGACCCGTTACATGGGGTGCAGTTCCCATCCTCGTCTTCAAGAACAAGCAAGTTGAGGACCCCGAAGAGATGGATACCGCCGACGCAACAGACGCTATTGACCTGAACCGCCTTGAGCTGATCGGAACCGGTACCGTCGTTGCTCCGGATCAGAAGCGTGTGGTTGCTAAGCGCGCCATCTTGACTGGTCACCCTTACAAGATCCACAAGAAGGTTGTCACCATCCGGTACATGTTCTTCAACTCCGAGGACATCCAATGGTTTAAGGCCCTCCAGTTGTGGACCCGCCGTGGCCGAAGCGGATACTTCAAGGAGAGTCTGGGTACACACGGTTACTTCAAGGCTACCTTCGATGCCAAGATCAACCCGCAAGACTCCGTGGGTATCAGTTTGTACAAGCGTGTTTTCCCTCGCAAAGCTCAGCCTTTGGAGGCTATTGCTGCCTAAGCTAGTGACTTGGGTTCCGAAGAAGTGGATGATATGATACCATTTGACTGAATTGATTACACGACGATGAGAACAGCTCCGTTGTTGAAGGAAGGAGTCTGTCATGATACACCAAAAGTACATATAGACCCAGGCATCTTAAAATGATGAATTACGAATTTCCTGCACTTTCATTCCGTATATCTGTAGCCTATTCATACCAGTCGATATCATATCTTTATCTTTATATCATATTTGCATAGTGAAAGGACTTTAATACCAGTACCACAAAAGCCAACAACAAGTGGGTCATCGTCAGATGTTTCAATAATCTGTATTCATGTCCAGAGCAGATATAAGTCAAAAAAGAAATCAAACAGAAGCCAAAAACTCGAGGACCCAGAATCCTAAACACATCACATCACACGCGGGGAATCAATAAGTCAATCACCGTCTACGAAAAGTCCTCTTCGGCCTCCTCAATGTTATTCTTGATGCGCAAAAGAAGAGTCGTCTTCCACTTGTCTAGCTTGCTCAGCTGGTCAAACTGGAAAAGCTTGTCAGCGAAGCCCTCCTGGTCACCACCCTCGACAGCCTGGGTCAGATCCACGAGTAGCTGGTGCTCTCGCGTCGAAGCAAAAGTAGGATCGAGCTCTCGGTATGATTCAAGGGCACGGTTTGTCTCAACCAAATCCTACAGACACGGAATAAGCATTTTGATATAAATCAAGGGGACATGAGCTACGTACCTTTGTGGCAAGATGGCAAATACCAGCCTTCAGGAGATAATCCTTAACTGACCACTTCATCAGATTGTTGTTGATAGAGGACCGGCCGATGCGCTCGTAGTTTGTAATGGCTTTGTAGTAGTCGTTGTCCAGGGCTGCCAAGTCCGCCACCTTGAGGAAGTGTTTGTTTGCGAGACTGTAGTATGACGTCGATGTTAGCAGATTCCCCTTTTCAAAAATATCCAAAGCTCAAAGGGAATATGGAATGCATACGCTTCGGCGTTATCGCCCTCGAACCACTCCGCGGCCTTCTCATACGAGTCAAGTGCCTTCTTCATATCTCCAAGCTCGACCTCATACACCTCGGCAAGGTATTGCTGCTGCGTCGCCGCACGGCGCAGGTTTCCTCGTAGTACGTAGTGCTGGATAGCGCTAGAAAGAACACGGGCCGCATCCTCGGGGTCTGACTTGCGGTATACCTTGAATGCTTCCTGGAGGGTATTGGCGGCGTCGTCAGGTTCATTCAGGTTCTGGGTCTGGATGGAGGCAGCTTTCTCGAAAGCCTGACCGGCCTCCTTGTCTATTCAAATGAAAACATATCAGTTCACAGGCTCAGTTATCGCTTCGAACAGCACATCAGGCGGTGTTAAGCAGGCGGCGGGGTATCTCGTACTCATTTTCTGTACTCGGAATGCATTTGCAGCCTGGGTATACAGATCTGCGGCACTTTCGTACTTCTCTGTCCGTCCTCCGAACCAACTGAATCCGCCAGAGGCGCCAGAGAGCGCTTTGTCGGCCTAGTTCATCACAAGAGCGATGTCATGGTTAGCTATTTGCACTTTCGTCATTGCTTGCGTCTCCAGGCAAACGGGACCAGGAGAGGTATGGAGGGCGTACCTTTTGGAGCAGGACACGGGGATCTTGAGTCATCTTGGGTTATGTTTGCAGGAGGGAATCTGCAGATATTGGAGGGAGTGTGGCCAACGGGTCTATGAGAGCATCGATCGGCGGTCCCGCTGGAGGCGGTGTCCCTTTATTTTTCGGTATCCGCCTAAGCTCCTGTTGTCTTCAACGACTTTTGATATTGCTCTGGGCTGATTGCTACATTCGCAGCTATCTCTGGCTTTTATCGAATCTGATCAGTTGTCGCAATTTCTACATCTTGACAATGGCTTCCCTACGCGCTACGGCTCGACTATCTAAGTCGCTGCGTCCTTCATACCGTCTTCACACCACCATCTCTCGCTGCTATTCCTCTGGAAAATCCGCTACTGCCGACCTCGAGTCTATTCTCGGCGAGCCAAATTGGTCTGTCAGATCATTGCTTCCCGACCCTGCCTCAGGGCCATCCGCATCCGAGGTAGTGACCCCGAAACAACTTCATCACCTATTGCGCATCTCGGCACTTCCTCAACCTGCCAACGAAGAAGAAGAACAGACGATGCTGAAGACCCTCGAGTCTCAGATTCACTTTGTCAAGGAGATTCAACTCGTTGATACTACTGGTGTCGCCCCGCTCCCTAGTATCCGAGACGAAAGCTCTGCTGCAGTTGAAGAGAACACCATTGGCCTGGAACGACTTCAAGGCGCTCTACTCAAGGAAAAGGTCTCTGGAAGACGCCGAAGAATCCAGCGTATCCCAGGCGAAAAGAATGTTCATCCAGATGGGACGGCTTGGGATGGGAATGCGCTCGGCTCTGCAACGAAGACCAAGGGAAAGTATTTTGTTGTGGAAATCGGCAAATGATTTCGTCCTGCCTATCTCCAGGACATTGAATAAATGAAACATGTTCCTTCATCCTGGAGCCAAGCAAAGTAGTATCAACGGTGTTGGCCTGTCTGCCTTGGGCAGAGATCCTGAGTCAGCCCCCAAGCTTAAGCTCTATGACAACATCGCCCCCTCCAACTTTGCTCAGCTCTTGCTCGTCTCGAACTTGTCAACCTGTGACTTTACTACCCATTTTGCCGCCAATGTTTAAAGGTTTGAAGGAAAAACAAGCGGCATTGTTCGATTCCAAGCGATCTAACAACAATGCCTCGGAAAGCGACCGCGGCCAAGATCTAAGCTCCATCTTGGATCGGGCGCAGCGTGCTGACTTGACCATTCTTGTTGCCGAGGTCGCCGAGTCTATGCGAATTGGTGTTTTGGAAATCTTCGAGAACCAAACCCCCGATTCAAAGTCAGACTCAAAGGACGTGCCATCCACTCCGTCGACCCCGTCGACCCCGTCGATTCCACGCAAGCCGCTCCCTACCGAGAAAAGCGACGAAGACACACCGCCCCTACCCCAAAGGCCAAGCAACGTGAGTGCAGGCAAAAGTGACAGCCCACAAACTGGGAATGGCAAGCCCCTCAAACCGCAGGCAAAAGTCGCTGCACTATCCACTTTCGAGGACTGGCGGGATTCTGTGCTTTTACGGATCGGCGAGGTTGTCAATAAAGATGACAATGACGAACACCAAGCCTCGGAAGAACTGCAAAAGGCTGCAAAATCCGATGAGATTCCCTTTGAGGGCGATAGAGATAGCCTGGAAAAACTACAAGAAATCTATCACCCCGTGGAAACACCTCTGAGCAAACTTCCAAAAGCAACAAGATTACTCATTCTCCATTCGCTCCTTCTGTTAATGCTCAGCCTGAAGCACTATAATGCCTACTCCCGAGTTTTGATGCTGAACGTGGCGTCTAGTTTGAACATAGATATCAACGTGTTGAATGAAGACGAAGTCAAGGTTGCGCGTGGTCTGCTAGACACAGCTTTGGCCTTGTCAGATCAAGAACACAAGAAGGAACCCAAGAAAGACGACATGAGAAAATGGAAAGTCGGCATCGCGTCTGTAGCTGGTGCAGCTCTCATCGGTCTCACTGGTGGACTTGCAGCTCCCTTAGTGGCCGCAGGCCTTGGAACTGTTATGGGTGGACTGGGTCTCGGTGCTACTGCCGCTGCTGGATACTTGGGGGTCCTCGCTGGCAGTAGTGTTGTCGTCGGCGGCCTCTTTGGTGCTTACGGAGGCCGCATGACTGGTCGCATGATGGACAAGTACGCCCGTGAAGTTGACGACTTTGCATTCCTTCCTATTCGGGGACAACAGTCTCGAGATGAAAAAGATAGCGAGGCTGCCCGACAGGAACATCGACTACGGGTCATCATCGGTGTCACTGGATGGGTCAAGGAAGAATCCAACTTTACTGTCCCATGGAAAGTGATTGGCTCCAATTCAGAGGTCTTTGCTCTTCGCTGGGAAATGGAGCCTTTGATGAATTTGGGTAACGCAATCTCCGCCCTTGTAACCAGTGCCGCATGGTCAGTAGCCGGGCGTGAAGTTCTGGCCCGAACCTTCTTCCACACACTTATGAGTGCGGTCATGCTTCCACTTGGTCTTTTAAAGGTTGCTGGTGTCGTGGACAATCCGTTCAGCGTCGCCAAGTCTCGCGCCGATAAAGCAGGCCAGGTGCTTGCCGATGTTCTCATCAACAAAGCCCAAGGTGAACGTCCTGTCACATTGATTGGGTATTCTCTTGGGTCTCGGTTGATCTTCTCCTGCCTCCAAACCTTGGCCAAACGGAACGCATACGGTCTCGTCGAGTCCGTTATTCTTATGGGATCACCTACCCCTTCTAATGAGGAACACTGGCGCGTGATGCGTAGCGTCGTGAGCGGCCGTTTCATCAACGTGTTCTCTCAAAACGACTCTGTTCTGGCCTTCCTTTACCGAACCAGCAGTTTGCAGCTTGGTGTCGCCGGACTCCAAAAGGTCGAGGGTGTTCCAAGCGTCGAAAATCTCGATGTTAGCGATATGGTCAGCGGTCATCTTCGTTATCAGTACTTGCTTGGAAGAATCCTCACCCTCACTGGGTTGCAGGACCTGGATGCCAGCGAAATCCAACGAGAAGAGGATGCACTTGCCGTCGAGGAGGAACAACAAGAGAAGAAACTGCAGCAGAACCAGCGCGAGGCTGGCGTGAAGGACCCAAAGTCGTCTGCTGCTCAGGAGACCTTGAATAGCCAGGAAGGATTCGGAGAGGATGCCCGGTTGCAAAAGCAGGTTGAGACGCAGACCCAGGAGAACATGACGAACCATCGGATTCAAATGCTTGATGTGGACGATGACGATTACTCCCTACCTGAGAAGGAGGATCATTCAAAGCATTCTGCCCTCTAGATGTGGAACAATATTAGACATAGATGCTTCTGATCTAGCTATCATTTGCAATATGCCTCAGATACATCTCCAATACAGAAATGAACAGGAATATCTCTTCCTATCTCATCGAAGCTGTGTCCATATTGACTGGCCGGCCCTAGAGCTAGTCTCATTGAGATCTTGCAATCTGATATATTCCTGGTTACTGGCTGAAATTCAAGATAAAAATTCACGAAAAAGACATTGTCCGTATTCGTGCAGCTAAGAAGTCTCCAAAACATCCTCAAGGTCTACGCGAATACTGTACAACGTTCTGCCGTAGATGGAACAGCCATAACAAGTAGACAGGAAATCGCTTGCTTGTCCTTCGTGGCATATGATCTAAATATTCATTAGTATGAACCAAGGGCAGACTTGGAATTATTGATGGTCCAACCCATGTGTTGATCGGATACGCAGAGTGCCAGAGTGCTGGAAAACCTTAAAACCTTATTTTTTATGTGATCACAGCTCGAAGCTATACTATCAATCCTGAGCAACATGAACAACAATCTTTCCTCTAGCCCGACCAGATTTCAATTGCTTGAATGCTTTGACAACATCCTCAAGCTCATAAGCCGTATCCAGCTGAACCTTGACATCCCCCTTCTGGACCCATTCCCCAAGCTGAACAAGATCCTCCTTGTTATTTTTGGTGACAAAAATAACATATTTCCTTTTTCCTCCACCAAGGAACCCAGGCAAAAGCATACGTTCCGCAAAAGTGCCCACACCCGGCGCCCCAACCTGCACAAAGGTCTTCCCAGGCGCCAGGAAGCGATCAGACTGACGATACAGCGCAGCGGGGAATCCAATATGATCAACAATATGATCAAAGACCACACCCCTGCCACACAGGCCCGCAACAAGATCCTCCTCAACCGAATAATCAATAATCTCATCGGCCCCAAGCCCGCGACAAAACTCCACATTCTTCGTCGAGCACGTAGTCGTCACATGGCATCCCATCACCTTCGCAATTTGAATAGCGAAAATACCACACCCGCCCGATCCCCCATTGATGAACACCTTATCGCCCGCACCGACATACCCCTTCAGCGACTGGTATGCCGTCTGCCCAGTCACGCCGAGCGTAGCGGCGTGATCAACCTCCACGCCGTCGGGTAAATGGACCAGGAAGCTTGCCGGGGCTACTATCAGCTCGGCGAGAGATCCGAATTGGCACGGCTTGCCTAGATTGCCGTAGACGAGCTGGCCGGCTGCGAAATCCGTCGCGTCGGGCCCTGTTGCCACTACGCGGCCGCAGAAGTCCATTCCTGGGGAGGCGGGCGTGCCGATGACGAGTTTGCGGGCTAGCAGGCCTAGTTCGGGGAGCTTGTAGTCGGCTGGGTTGAGGGAGGCGGAGAGGACTGTGATGAGGACATCGTCGTTGTGGAGTGCTGGTGGGGTGCGGGCGTCCGGGGTGAAGGTGAGGTTGTTTTCGAGGCCATTGGTTGTGTCGCTGTACAGCCAGGCTTTCATTGTGGATTGTTCTGCTGCCATTTTTGTGGAGTCTGTTGGAGAATGAGAAGAGAGGGAAAACTGGGAGAGCTGGGGCGGCGGCGTCTGTGGAGATCCACGATGACCTCACCAATCGTTCTTAACGTTATCGGGTAAACATTGAATTGTTGAATTGAATATCATTCCTATTTACTGCTTTCGCAGGAAAGTCAAAGCTCCAAGCGCATATGCATCGACGCCGGTCTTCAGCGTAGGCTGAATCACCGGCGCAAAGAACGGCGAGTGGTTACTAGGCAGCGTATCCTGCGTGCCCTTCTTAACAGCCTCATCCCAAGTCTCAGGATCAGTCCCACCAAACATCCACATCACATAAGGTGCGCCAACAGCAGTAGCGAGCAACGAAAAGTCCTCACTGGCACTGGGAGGCTCCATCTCAACCATGCTATCCCCAAAGTACGGGCCGAAAGTCTCCTTCAGCGAATCAATAGTCTTCCCATCATTAATCGTCGACGGCGTCGAGAACGTAAGCTTAATCTCAGGCTCGCGCTCGACCCCAGCAGCCTGACACTCGGCATGGATGATGCGATGGATCGAAGCGCAGACGCGCTCGCGCACAGCGGCATCAAAAGTCCGCACATTCAACTGCAAGTCCAAATGAGCCGGGATGATATTGTGCGATTGGCCGGCGTGGATGCTGCCAACCGTCACAACCGCCAGTTTCCCCGGCGTGACCTCGCGCGACACAATCGACTGCAAGCGCGTCACAATCGACGACCCGAGAACAATGGGGTCGATGGTCGTCTGGGGCGCCGAGCCGTGGCCGCCGCGTCCGAAGATCCGCACGTCGTATGCGTCAGCTGCTGTAAGGAGCGGGCCGGCGCGCAGGTTGACCGTGCCGGCGCGCATGCGCATGACATGTTGCGCGAGGACGAGATCCGGCTTGGGGATCTTGTCGTAGAGGCCGTCGTCGAGCATGGCCTTGGCGCCATCGAGGTGCTCTTCGGCTGGTTGGAAGATGCAGATCAGGGTTCCGGTCCATTCTTCGCGCGCGGCGTGCAGGAGAGTCGATGCTGCCATGAGGGATGTGACGTGGGTGTCGTGGCCGCAGGCATGCATCACCGGTTGCTGCTTGCCGCTCGAGTCTCGGGCAATTACTTTGCTGGAGTATTCTAGGCCTGTCTGTTCTTCTACAGGGAGTGCGTCCATGTCACCCCGCAGTAGGATTGTTGGGCCGGCGCCGTTGCGGAGGACGCCTGCGACGCCGTGGCCGCCGATTTTGGTGTGGACTTCATACCCGAGAGCTTTGAGGTGGTCGGCGGCTTTTTTGGCGGTTTGTTCTTCTTCGCCTGATAGCTCGGGGTGGGCGTGTAGGTGTCGGTAGAGGTCTTCGAATGGCTTTAGGTCTGGGCGGAAGCGATTGATGACGTCGCCCAGCGCATTCTTGTGATCTTCTGCGACGAGTGAGTTGAGCGTTTCTGGATCTAGCATGACAATTCCATACCTCTTAATTGCATCTTGGCCAGGTGGTGAGGTCGGCAAAATACAGGAAATAGCTCGACTTATAAAAGTGTTGCTCGGCAAACCCCCCTCGATTCCCCGCATCCTCGCCAATTCTCGGTCTGTTCCGCATTGTCAACCATTTGCCGACTGGTTCGATTCGATCTTCTCCACTGACTGCCAATCGGATTGGAAGGGGCTTGATATCGGCAAACTATGGCTGCCGAGCCCGGATGCACGCGCATTGGACTTGCTTGGCTCTATCTTCATATTCTTATCGGACAGTAGTTCGGCGTGGAAGTAGGATCAGGGGTGAGTTTTACTATCTTAGTGTGTTACTTGCTCGAGTTATCTAGTGAGTACTGTCAGTCATGGCTATACTATGGGAACTGTGGATAACTTACCTCGAAATGTAGTGGACGATCCAGTTGCCATTCTGTTATCGTCATTTTTAAATAGTTTCAATTGAATGGTACAAGTAGGACATATTGAGCAGCTTGATCAAAAAAAGACATGATCGTTAATGTTGCAACATAAGGCAGTGAAACGAGGAGAGTCGCGAGAATCAAGTTGGAGGATAGAGAAATCGTAGGCTGGCGATAGAAGACAATACCCAACAATCCACCTATAGAGTGCATGACAAAGAAGACATGCCAAGTATATACAGCTTCCAGCACTTACTAGAATTGAACAGAAAGTCAGGGGTGAGAGACCTGAACAAAACATACTGCTGCCTTCCAAGGCAGGCTGATCACTGTAATTCGATAACCAAGACAGTACATCCAAAGGAGGGGTTAACTCTGTTGTAGTCAGTCATCTACAGTTCTATCTGGCCTAGGTGGCAAACGCGGTAGGTTTCAATCCCGAAACATGGTATGGAGTAGGTAGATTGTGCATCTCATGACACAATATATGTATGTATGCGCGATAAAGGTCCACAACCACGCAAGACTCCAATGTACAATACGGAGTATAAGACCTCAAACACTCAAACATAATCCCTGAACCCAGTCAAACCCACAGATTGATAATCAACATTACAAAGTGCCCCAGTCTAGGTGGTCCCTAGTTTTATGCCATAGTGCTGCAGCCACCCCAGAACCAGGTAAGACCAAGCCAATCGAATGCAAGAAGAATCCAGCGCCCAAAGCCTCTGACGAATCAAAGAAATGACCCGGTGACAGAATCCCTCGAAACCCCATTGAAGCCTACACGCCAAAGGCCATGTCCAGCTGAACCAGAAACCTTAACAAGCCCGCACGACACTAGGCGTTCTCTGCCTTGCGCTCGGGCCCAAGCCACCGGTCTTCAGGGTCTGACATAGGGCAAGTATTTGCTTTTGCTAGTGGCTGATTTTCAACATTTCTGCCTAGAGACATTCGCGTAATTTGGCCAGATATGTTAGGGTATAGACGATGAACTATCAAGCCAGATTGTAAGTGTACGCCATTGGATCAGTCTGTGTATGTTTTTTTGCGGCCCGTTCCAAGTGGACAACCCACTACCAATGCAACCACTCACATTGCAGGAGATGAGCGGCTCAAAAAAATCCACAAAAAAAAAGAAACGCTCACTCGAGGACGGTGTTTTAGGAATAGCCGAACGCGGGGGTCGAACCCGCAGCCTTAAGATTAAGAGTCTTACGCTCTACCGATTGAGCTAGCCCGGCCGGGCTGTTGAAGGACGGTGACCTAAAACGAATGATGTTCAGATTGAGAGTTGTGTGCGTCTATGCAAATGAGAATGTGTTATGTGTTATGGTATGCGCCAGGGTGCAAGGGGTTGGCGCCAAGTCAGCATTGTCGGAGAATTCATATAGGAACCGCAATTTGCTATCTTGGAATAGCGCTCCAAATGGTAACGAATCAAATAAAAAAAAAAAAAGAACAGTCTGTCCTTGAAATAGTGCCGATCTGGCGATCTGGACTTGAGGTCAGACCCCCCCATAAGCAGAAGTTGTGCCTGCGAAGGCAGCAAGAAGACAAGTCCAGAAGGATGAGAGAGTTGACCATTTGATCTGGTGCGCGTCAAGCGACACAGGCAGCGGTGTGGAAACAGATTGGAACAGGTTCATGATTCAGGGTCTGACAGGGGGAGATGAACAGAGGGAACCTTTAGGAATCTGGAGGGATACGACCGCAGACCTGTGGCTGGAGTATCGAATCAGGAAGGAAAGATAGCGAAACCAGTGGCTGAGGCTGAGCAGGGCACTCGAATAGGATTAGTTTGGTTGGATTGGGTGAGAGGGTGGCCCGTATACGGGTTTGGAGGCTGACAGGATTGGGGCTGGTGATAGTCGTGGGGTCCAAAACTCATCCAATTTCCGAATCCGATGTTATTCTTAGAAAGCGTGAAACCGTTTCCATAAATGGAAACGTGGAAGAGAACAAAGCGAATGTCGTTTCAAGAGAGAGAGAGAGAGTTGTCTCGGTAGACGCTATGAGGGCGGCTGCGGGGGCCTATGAGCGGTAGGAAATGCAACGGAGCCTCAACTCTAGCAGTTTCAGGTGTGGACTATCCGATCCAAAAACAATCTATGATCTATGGCGGAGTGCGAGTGACGCGAACCTGAGGCCTGTTCTCAAGGTACACGAGACTGCATCAGCCACACGCCAGGACATAATGACAGAATACAGAATGACAGTATTGGTATTACTCCTGATGTCATGGGTAAATGTCGTAGGTGGGGAATGAAATCCCATGAAGATAGAGGATGCTTACCGTATGTTTGAACAGGGACAGCCAATGAGCTGATCGAGTGGTTTCAACCCGGCGGTGTTGACCAAGGCACAGCCCCTAGCCACAGACTAAGAATATGCAAGTCAAAGACGCTAAAGACACCAAGTAAGTTAGTGTCGGTTACTAAGTTCGTACATGGCCCCCCGGGGGTTTTCAAGGCTGCAGATCAGCCAGGCATCTATATGTAAGTTATATGCAAGTCATGTCCTATATAACCCTCTCTCCTCCCCCCTTTGGGTATACTCCATCAACACATAACATCAACTGTCCCAGACTGGTTTCATACTCTTACTCCAGTCACGCAAATCTAAGATCATCCATTCTCCCCTCGTGACCCCCCATAAATCAGTCACGGTGTCGCCTTTCCGCTCAACTTCTTATATCGTCGACCCTTCCAACCTCACAACTATAAGGGAACGACCCCCTCGCAGTCTGACCAGACGTCTACTGGCACTCCGCCGAACAAACACCATGCCCGCCCCAATTGAAGTCACCGATCCTCTTGTCGTCGTCCGGGAACTCGCCGACGACGAGAGTCTCGTCGTGACCGAGTTCGAGGAACACGCCGCTCACTGCCGCCACTGCTCAAATGCAGTCGAGACCCTCAAGGATGGCCGCTCCATCTGTGACCAAGGAAACGCCGGCGCTCGCACTCTGGCCCAATACATCTACAGCCGCAACGGCAAGTACTACTCCGTAGTTGACGCCGAGGCCGGCAAGTCCACCAGAGTCAAGCTCCCCCGCGACGCCTACTCCGTCCGCAACCTCCTCACAGCAATCGAGCAAGGCCTCCGGATCCGCTCCAGGCCCGTCGTCGTCCAAGCACCAGTCCAGACACCCTCCACAAGCCGCAGCTACGACCGCACCTACCCAATCCCCGCGCGCAGAGTGAGCGGCGAGCAAGTTCGTCCTCGCTCCATGTCTCCAGAGAGCTACCAGATCATCGAGCGCGCTCCCCGCAGCTCTCGTTCGCCAGCTTCAATCATGTACCGTTCTCCTGGGGGCTCCTCTCCCAGCCGGCCCTCTTCCAGCCGTGGCTCGCTGTACAACACAGACCGCCAGGAGCGCGTGGAGCGCCAGTATGAGGCTCCTCGCCGGTATGTCGAAGGTGGCAGCAAGTACCACCGTTGAACGTGAGACGCAAAGTACGCTTTTGTCTCTCGGTCTTCGATTATATGGTTTCAACTACGACTTCGTCTACTATGCTCCAATTGCTTTGAATAAGCATAAGCTTCCATTCAACAGACATTGATTGTCTACCACCCTCCCCATCGCATTGTTTGGTGCTCTGGCAATATGTGCACATATTGCTACCCACCACAGTCTTTGAGATCTGCATTGAAAGGGCCTGCCTGGATGCGCCCTCGGAAATTTACTTTTCTGTCTTCACTGATCTCTGACTCGAATGTCGCAGCTGCAGGTCGGGGTCCAGCTTGGGACCCCGACCTTGAATTGTGACTCGGGGTTTTTTGCTGTATCCCTGCTTCTTTGAAGTCTTGGCTAGGCATCTTTATTGGTGTACATCCATACCAATCCATCTGCAGATGCAGGTGTGGGTGGATAAGCCAATGAGTGAAGCGGGAACTCGTTGTTCATGCATGTTTTGATGCCCTGCACGCTTTATTGGTCTGTTTGTGTGACTCATTCTGTTGTTTTGTGGAGAAGCTTGAAATAGCTTTATCTTTTTATCTTTTTATCTTTTTTTCCTATGTGATTTATGAGATGCGCCCTGCGAGGCTGTCGGCCATTCCTTTTGGACAGTCCTTCGGAATGGGTATATGATTTCGAGGAATATGAACTTGAATATGAATCTTTGCAACACATGAATTTATCTCTTAACTGTATGTCTCACTGTATAGTATACAGTAAACTTTATCCGCAATCTTGAAATGTATTCGGTCATTCATAGTTCCATCGTGCACTAGTCATATGGCCTGAGTCAAGCAATGTTGATCAAACCAACCGAACTGCGCCTTTCCCCCACAATTCTATTTGTCTCCATTTTTTCTTTACAGAAATACAGGTGTTGCTTTAACTTAACTTACACTGTACAGTTCTTTACATGACTCACTGCGGGGTTGTGGCTGAGGTGTTGGATGTGCCTCAGGCGAACACGCCGAGATCTCATGCGTCAGGTAAAATCATCCGCTGTGCATATGGAGAGTAGCCTACATAAAGCTTGTTACATGATGTACAGGTATTCGCGGGATGCAATATGACGGGTTGAATGTGCCATCCCGTTCATAGCCTCGCTGACAAGGCTGCAAAGCCACCGGCCGATCACTGCTATGGTGGACCCTGCAGCTCTACATCTCCACTCTGGAAGCTGTATACATCCCCTTCTGCTTTTTTATATAAACGGGGTAGAAATAACGTTGAATCTGGCAGACTTTATTTCTTGCACTGACAAAAAGTGACTTGGCCACTCGGTAGTATGACCGGATCAGTTGGAGATTGTTCACGCGTCGATCTCATCTACTTATATCGCCTGATTTTGAGGTGGTCATGACTTGCAGATCATAGTATGGTGTCCTCGAGTTGGGAGCAAATTAGGCCTCCTGATTTTAGTTGGTGTTTGTATCAATCCTCAAATGAATCACCCCTAAATAGCCTTTAGATCTCGGCTATCCAACTCGAGCGTGGGTCACAGGTCCAATATGTAGGCGATATCATCGGAATGTTCGACTAAGAACACGTGAATGGCTTACCCACTGACCCTGACTGGAATTTATCAATCTTGAGGTTGAATTAGCATGTTGTCATGTCTTTCGAAATGAAAGAAACTCACCAGCTCGGCAATACTGGCGTAAGTACCACATCCAAAGATAATCATTCCAACCACAAAGACAATACCATTCAAAATGGCAGTCTTCAAGTTGTGCTTCTCATACCAGGCCCCCTCCCTCAAAAGCACATACCACATAATAGGCGGAATATAAAAGGACAGACCCGAAACAAACAAAGCCGAGATGATGGACAACAACTCCGAGAAGATCGGAATAGCCTCAGCAATAACCCAAGCAAGAACCGTGACAACGAAAACAAGACCGAGCCAAGTCATCCAACCCTTGCTAGTATTAACATAGCGAACAATCGAGTCCCGATAGACCTTGCCGTGAATATACCGACACACCACAGTCGTATTGATCGACCCAGAGATAAAAATCACTGGCAGAGCAATACCAAACACAACCCTAGAAATCACCGGCCCAGCAGACAGCAACGCAGGCGACTGCACTCCCTGCCCAACAAAAGCATAGATAATCGACCCAGTCAACGTATAAACCACAATCTGAATCCCACCCATCCACCAAAGCGTCTTCACATAATCCCCAGGGGTATGCATATCCTCCATAAAAGAAGGCAAGCAGCCCGCAAACGAATATGCAAAAACAATATTATTCGTAGCAACAATAGCCGCCGAAAACGTAATCCCCTCCTTCGGCCACGCAGACCAGGGCACCATATCGCGCACAAACTCGCCCGTCCCACTCGAACTCTGAATCCCCGTCGCAACCATCGTAACCCCAATAGCAACAATAATCGACGCGAAATCCACATACCCCAAGATCGCAACCTCGGCAAACGAAGGCGGGATAGCAAGCAGCATCAGGATCGCCGCAGACACAACACTAAACACGATCGAGCACACCTCGCTCTGCGTGATGGTCTGGAAGGCAATAGCGCCCGTCAGGCAATGTGACCCGATGACGAAAACGAGGAGCGCGACGAAACTGCCCACGAAGATCTTGGAGCCGATGCTGCCGAGGAGGAGCCCGCCGACGTCGGCGTAGTGCCCGATTTCTGGGTACTTGAGTTTTGTTTCGCCGATGTTGTAGCCGGCGTAGATGGCTACGAAGCCCAGGCCGATGGTCATTATTATGCCGGCGACCATTCCTAGCGTTGCGAAGGCTGAGGGGAGGCCTAGGCTGCCCAGGGCGATGGCTTCGACGATGGAGATTACTGTGAGGCGTTTCCAGCCTAGACGGTGGAATTTGGCGTCGCCTTCTAGGATTTGTTGTCTTTCTGGGTCTGAGAGATCGGGGTCTTTTGGGAGGGCTTCAGTGGCCATTTTTCTTTCTTCTTTTTGTTGTTTTAGGTGGCGGGTGAGGGTGTGAGGTATGTAAATGGAATTGAGAGATCCAGCAGAGGCTGTATCTATGATATATTTGACTGGGAGAAAGTGAGAGAAAACTCAATCCCTGATCAAAAAATGAAGAATAGATGGAAACCCCATCAGATAAGATCAAGGGATTTAAAGAATCCGGTTAGAGTGGACCTCGGAGTAAGCCCCTCTGAGACATGGCACGGTCTTCAGGCCCTTTGGGGGTCTCAGGTCTCGGGTCTCATTGCTCGTAGATTGGCATTCGAAGTGGGGATTGGCTAGGTTGATTAATATAGAGAGTTGGGGGACTGATTCGCACATTCTGTTCCCACTTGGTATCCCTTTAGCCTCTTTCTGCAGGTAGAGCAGGCTGGCAGGTCTGCGGATGTACCCGACTCTGGCACTAAACTTATAGTAGCTACCCACCCCGGGTTCCGGACGTTACTACCCTGCGATTCCGAGAAGTGTACGTAATTAGCTTGGGTGAGTTTTGCTATGGTTGGAAGGTTTCTTTCTTATTGGCCTTGGCATGATAGAATCAAGACTAGCTAGTCTCTGCTTGTATCTCGCTTGTTTCTGTGCCAAGATTGTCGGAGGTGGACTCTTGAATCGGTTGACTTGTCTTGAAGATGTTTTCAGTGACCGAAATTGACAGAGGATTGTCTTGAAGCTTGGAAAACGAAGTCATTCGACAATTTTGGAGTATCTGCTGGAACGTAGCACTTAGCCCTATAGGGCTGGATGAATGTTGACCGTGTGTCTTGGCTATTTTCTTGGCCTGTCAGAAAATCAGTACAAAGACAATCGAATATTAACGTGAGCCCTAGAATCTTGAGAATGGACGTTCCAGTCAGTCAACTGGTGGGTTGATGAACCCACCTGCCTGGGTTCAACTGGGTGAATATCGGGGCTCAAGTTACTCACTACCTGTTTGACGCCAAACGCGGGTACTTCAAACCATACATAACGCTTGAGAGCAATGACATACGTGAAGAATTGGGTTATATCTCTTTCTTTGCTCTTGCTCTCACCATTTCTTTCTCATTCATACATTTCATCCTGAGAAGTCCGGCGCACGTACTGGCTTGATGGTGAGTTTCTTCATTCGAACATAGGACGGCAGTACTTCTGTCTACCTCCTGAGCATGTGTAACTTTCCGGTATGTACGGGGTTAGTTCGGGAATTACCTTTCCTCGGGAGCGTGAAGGGAGAGAGATGTTACCGATTGAGTTGCGACAAAGAGACAGTTTCACCAGATAAGAAATTAGAAAGGGTGAGCAGTGAAGGCGAATTAGATAGGATTGGATTGTTATCAAATTGAAGAAGTGTCGGGGTTGAGGCAGGTCTGCGAAAAGTGGATAAGATTAGAGAGAGAAGAATAATGCAAAGAAACATTTCTGAGGTCCGAAATTCTCGATGACATCTCTTAGATTGACTAAGAATTGTTCTAGGAATAAAGATATGCGATAGCGACAGTCATTCCTCCACAAGTTCCCGAGCTAGCAGGTACATGAAAAGTGAGGGCTCGGCCCAGCTCCTAAGCAGATAGCCCATTCTCTAGCAATATTCAACCCAAGCGTCCAAGTTCATGTTCTTGATAACAGTGGAGAATTTGTCAGCGCTCTTTGCATTGCAGGCGGTTGACTTCAGAGAGGCGGAGAGGGTGGCTCGGCGCTCGATCTTGTTGTGGCGGTGCTTGTGCTTGTGAACGTAGGTGGTGTTGGTGTTGGTGTCATTTTCGGAGGTATCATCATCCTCAGAGGTATCATCATCCTCAGAGGTATCATCATCCTCAGAGGTATCATCATCCTCAGAGGTATCATCATCCTCAGAGGTATCATCATCCTCAGAGGTATCATCATCCTCAGAGGTATCGTCATCCTCAGAGTCATCATCGGAGTCGTCGTCAGTCTCGTCATCCTCGTCAGCGGTCGTGTCAGTCGTAGCGTCCGAGGTCGAGTTGGTATCGGCATCAGTTGTAGCAGTAGTGGCAGCAGAAGTTGTTGTAGTGGTGGTGCTGGTAGTAGCGACGACAGCGGCGGAGGCGGAAGTAGAGGAAGAAGCAGAGACAGAAGCGGTTGCAGAAGCAGAAGCAGAAGCAGAAGCAGTTGCACTGGCAGTGGCTACGGCAGTGGTCACGGCAGCAACATCCTCGCTGGTGTCAGTGGTAGCAGCGGTAGTGGTATCAGTAGTGGTATCAGTAGTGGTATCAGTCGAAGAGCTGTCGCTTTCAATAGTCTCATCGGAGTACTCAATGTGGAAAACGGGCTTGTTGACCGCGGTAAAGGCAGCATAGACATCACACTCATCGTACTCAGCACACTGCTCATTGACAGACCATTGCATCTTGTCAATAACAGAGCCGATGATATCACCACCATTCTTGAGACCAATAGCCATGCCACGAGAGTGAGCCTCGGTGGAAAGGAAAGTCAAGTAGTCAACGGAGTCCGCCTCAGTCAAACCGAGACCGTTGTCATTGCCGTATGCATCAATGTTATCCGGGTCCACGCCATCACAGCCCTTCTCCTTTGCCAGATCCAAGCGCGCACTCATGATCGATCGAACGCTGGTGGACTTGATGTTCAGCCACTTCTCGCCTGGCCAGTCATCGAGGTTGCTGCCGAAGTCTGCCGAGTTGAACTTGCTGATGTCGGAGCGCCAGTCTTCGTAGGTTCCGGCGGAGAAGTAGCAGATGACCTTGCGGCCCTTGGCCTGCAGGGTGGAGATCGTGGCTGCGGTGTTGTCGAACAGGTCGATGTCCCAGATGTCGGCATCGGCGGTGGTATCCTCGACGGCGTCGATCAGCTGAATCTGCCATTTGACTCCAGCGGCTGGCTGCCAGATGGTAGTCTCAGTGTCGCGCTTCAGCATCTTCTGGGCGTGTCCTGCGGCGTGTTCAGCCCGGATATCCGCCCCGATAGCGAGGAAGAAGAGGCCGAGAACACAGGACACCAGGACCTTTCTCTTGGCCATGATAGCCTGCCAGCCCGAATTTTGGGAAGAATACATCATGTTGATAAAAGTTTGAAGGAGTGTCAGAAATGAATGAATGTAGAAAGGAATGGAAGACGACTTGAGTCCAGCAAGCGTCAGAAAATTGTCAGTAAAAGGAGAGACTGGTTGAGAATAGTATGGACATCATGAGCAGCCCCTCGATACTTATACTCCCATCTCGCTCGTGAAATTATATGCCCTGCATGGAGATGTTTCAGATTCCCACAGGATCGGAGGTATAAAGCCCATCAGAGCGGGGGGAGAATTATTAGCCTAAGATGGACTAGCCACTAGCGGGGGACTTTAAACGAGCCAAGCAGGGCGCAAACAGATCACACTGCATCTAAATCCGAAGCGAGAGCTCGTAGCCGGGAAATATGAGGCACGTCAGAGAGGGAGAGTATGAAATGGAAGATGAAACGCCTGCCAAGAAACGCCTCGCGGTTGACCAAGTCCGTTCATTTGCCACAAAATAACTGTTTTACCTCATTGAAGGACATGGAATCTGATCAGTACATGGTCTAGCCCTAGCATGATTAAAAAACGCGCCGATAGGTCCCAATCGGAGGGGCCGGTGTTCTGTTCGTCTCGAATTAATTAGACAAGATTTGATATAGCGCTATATCAAAGGTATAACATGGGCATATTCTGCTGGATATTGAATCTCATTTTCAGGACCAACAGGATCCCAGCTCGGGAGAATTTTCTTTCATGTTAAATGACAGAATCTGAGGCCTCCAAAACACACAAAGAAACGAAATGGAGTACAAAATACCCGATCTATGCATTAGGGGAGAATTAGTCGCAAGCCATCATAAAGTTGACCAATGACAGTCCCTCGCCCCTGACCACAAAGCTCTCAGCAAATGGTCTTTTGATCTCCGCTTTCCTTGGCAGCTTAGGGGCGCTTCCCAGGTTAACCAGATGGACTGACTATGTTGACACGGGTTCCTGGATCTCATCTTACTTGCAGAAACACTGCTATTTCTCCGTCATACGTGATAGTCAAAAATCCCTGCTAGCGCTACCACTCAACCCCAAGGAGCAGGAAGAGAGCAGAATTCCATTACTGACCGTCGTACACCTCATATGCGTAATTTCTTCCGACATGGTCCTCCCTCAACCGCGTCTGTCCAGGACCGTACACTCGCTCACGCATAGTCCCGCTCTCATTCTCAGGTGCGTAGACCCCTCGTCTCCGAAGTTCCGGCACCAAGAGCTCAACCACGTCCTCAAAAGTCCCCGGAGTCTGGACATAGCCGACATTGAACCCGTCCAGGTCAGCCACGCGGACCCATTCCTCCAAGAAGTCCGCAACGGTGCTGGCGGATCCCACGGGCACAGGTCCAGCCCCGCCGATGGAGATGCGCTTGCCGATATTCCTTGGCGTCCATGGCGGCACATCGGCGCTCTGGTAGCTGAGCGTGTTGATTGTTGAATGGACCCGCGCGTCGACGTGGACATCGGCCGGCGTGATGGGCGTATCCAGATCGAATTTGCTAAGGTCGATGCCGCTGCCCCCGGAGAAGAAGGCGAGGCCGGCTTCTTCGCTTGCGTGGGCGAGCGCCTCGCGGTATTTCTCTTGTGCTTCTTCGTCCGTTCGGCCCACGATGGGCGTGAGAATCGCGAAGACTTTGACAGAGCGGGGATCTCGACCGTTCCGCGCTGCTTCTTCGCGGATGGCTTTGATGCGTGGTGCGAGGATGTGGGGCGACGGCGCTGAGACAAAGATTCCCTCGGCGTGTTTGGCGCCAAAGGCTACACCCGCTGGGGATGTCCCTGCCTGGAAGAGGAAGGGCGTGCGCTGGGGCGATGGATCTAAAATGTGACGCCCGTCGAATTTGAAGTGTTCGCCGTCATGGTGGATGGTTTTGATTCGACTTGGGTCGGCATATACGCCCGTTTCTGCGTTCTCTTGCAGCGCATCGTCAGCCCAGCTTCCTTCCCACAGTCTGTGATGTGTCAGTCTCCTGCAGGTCCGAGTTGAGGATTGCTTGCTGCTTACTTGTATAATGCTGTCAGGTACTCGTCGGCAATTTCGTATCGTTTGTCATGATCTACCAGGGGCAAGCCCACCTATGCATGTCAGCGTGATGCAGGAGACATCCAAATTATTCACTTACGGCTTTAGCAGCAGATTCCTTCCACGATGTTACAATGTTCCATCCGAACCGACCACCGGTCAAATGATCCAAAGTCGAAAATCGCTTTGCAACCACATATGGAGCCTCATACGATGTCGACGTAGTGATCGCGAACCCGAGATTCTTGGTGACTGAGGCCATGGCTGAGATAGGCTGTCGGAGTGTGGTTAGCGATGCGCTATTATGAAAGGCAAGTCTCTGGACTGAGGTTCTGACATACTATCGCCGGGTCACCCATGGGGTATTGGGCACCATTGCGGATAGCGGGCTCTGCACTCCCTTTGTAAGTGTCGTATAGGCCATAGGTGTCGGCAAGGAACAGGGCGTTGAAGTCGCCTTTCTCAAGTATCTTGGCCAAATTGGTCCAGTATGACAGATCGCGTCGCTTCGTGGCTGATCGATCGGCAGGATGCTTCCATTGGCCAAATGAAAGATGCCCTACCGTGAACATGTCAAATCCATTGAGGTAAATACGTCGTTTGGTTGAGCTGTCGGCTGCCATGATAGATACTCTCTTTTTCGATAACAACTGAATCTTTTTAGTTCAGAATCCTATGAGAAATCTTTGATTAATTTGATTACTTACTTCAATCTCGGATAGTTCCAGACGTTTTATATCTCATCTGTCTTATAAAACCCCGCTCGAACTCGACTGCTGCCATTTTTACTCCAAAGCACGAATCCCTAGTAAATCAGAGTGCGCAATCAACCGTGGGAGAGAAAAGAGACCCCTCTGAAACGGAAGAAATCCGAGGTGTTCGGTGATTTCTAGTATCTGTCAGTGCTGAAGGCCAGTAGAAAGGCAGAAATGCTTGTTGTCTTACTATGACTTATTATGGCGCAATCGAATATCTCGACAACCCACCACGATCTTGCGTGGCATTTAGACAGTAACGATGCTCTGATAAGGAGGATATACAGTTGCACGTATGAACTCATGAATCCGAAATTATATGTGATTTGCAGAATATAGTTTATAGTTATAAAGCTTCTTGCAACTGAGGTAAACACAAAAATATGACAAAAGATGTCGGCACAACACATAACCATGGCAATTAGTTCAGTCAACCGATTTAAACGATAAAACATCGCTTAAGGGCTAGCACACTTTCCATTCGTACAAACCAAATCATCAGAGCAGTCATTTTCATCAGAGCAAGAAGCACCTAAGCAAGGGTAAGTATACAAAAAGTAAAAGTTGAGCGTGGTATCTCATACCGGCGCAATGCCCTGCCCAAGAGCAAGATCCACTGGTGGTGGTAGTGGTAGTTGTGGTAGAAGTAGTAGTGGGAGTGGTTCCTCCACTCAGATTGAGGTTCTTTGCCAGAGCACTGATGAGCTTGTCGCCCATAGACCGAAGCGTGGTAAAGTTGGTGATATAATTCTTGCCCAGAGCGCTGCTCGGGAGCACGGCATCTTTGCCAGTGAACAGAATATCTGATATTATTAGAACAACATCACACTTGGATTTTCTCTGGACTTACATGTCACATCTGCGGCGCCGTGGCCAGCGTTTCCATTGAGGTCGTCATTGGGGAAGCATGTACGGGCCATCAACCACGATGCTTCTCCGATGACTTGGGGGGAATCACCATCTGTGTCACCGTAGATACCGTAGAACATCTTTCCATTGCTGCTTTGTATTAAATTCGATAGTTCAATGTCACTGGAGATATGGAAAGGGCCTACCAAATAACTGCGCCAATGTTGTTTCCGGGAAGCACGCTGGCATATTTAGTGCCGAAGGTATCAGGAATCACAATAAATGGAACTTCATAGGCAGCAAGAGCACCAAAGTTGGTTTCTGCCTGTCCGTCTGGGTTACCCTGTCATTGAGTCAGTACGTGAACTTTGTAGGGCACAGCGTAAACCCACCTTGCAGTTATAGTCAATCCCATCACAGTCAACATCCATGTCTGCCACCCAGACAAATGCAGCCCCCTTCATCGTGATGTTAATAGATCGTTGCGTTTTGTACCAAGATATAATGGCTCACACACCTCGCTAAAGTTCGACCAGTCACTATGAATAGTGACTTTCTTAGCTCCACTATCTCCATTGATGGGATAAGTTGCACTCTGGGCAGCTGTGCTAGCCTTTGCAGCTGCAGTTTGCAAAGCGGCAACAGGAACAGTAGCGGCAGCTGCGAAATAGCTGGCAGGTGGACCAGCGGTTGGGTTGTTATAGTTGGACCCGACCACGGTTTGGGCAAACCCTGTGCCAGCCATGGCAAGAAGGGCAATCGGAACAGATGTTTTGAGTGACATAGCTATGAATTTTCGATTGGTTGAAGCTGGGCAAAGTAGGGAGATTTCTGTGTTTTGGCACTGGGGATTTCGAGCTTTATATAGATGTTGGCCCAAAAGTCAATCTATCCATAACCAAACTAACCACAAGCTTCGGACGAGAGTTGCCTTCTAAAAAGGGTATTTGGTCTCCAGTAGGCGGCACATACAGATTCCCCCACAGGCTTGTCTTGTTTCGGTATGAAAATCGGACCCTGCAGCCTGGCTGAAACGAACTAACCCAACACAGCGCCAATACTACGCTGATCAGCCACAACAAGCACAGTAGCCACACCGGGCAACAACTCAACTCAAATAGGGATTAAGAGAAGAACATCGTGATTGCATGACTGTGGGGCGCAGCCTAGGGGCCTTCATAGGGTCACATCGGGCATGCAGGAGTCAGCACAAACTTCTGCCAGGAGCTTGAGTTTCTGCTGGGATATTGGGTCGGTTTGTACTTTTGGCATTGTGCAAAAGGAGCGAATACCGTGTATGAGACTCAAGACAAGCTCTTAGATCCGGACAGATCCGCTCTGAGAATATCCTTGGTCGTGATCTAGTGTAGGGTTCGTTCAGCGTGAATATATACGTCTCTAATTTCATGTTACCATTTATTCAGCGTTTAGGTTTAGGTTTAAACGTTAGCCATTTTATTTGGGTTCTAGGACACATGGTTTTGCGTTAAGATTCCTAGACGAATCGTTAAACGACATCAAAAGTACCAAACACAGTGAGATGAGTTAGTATATGGCATGTCATTCTTCAAGCATATCCCTATACCTGGAAGTAGTAGTAGATAGACAAAAACAGCAAAAATCCAACGTTCTTAAAAGCAGTATTTCCCCCAAAATATCATGGGTTGCAAAGTTCGCAGTGTTTCAAGTTCGATTCCATCGCCATATCCCAAAAGGGAACGCATGACTAAGCACAAACCACCCACGTGACCTGCGGGATCTGATCATCTCCGAACCTCGAATTTGTTTCAAAGCGAACACTCGAACAATCCATTCCGAGCCGCCCAAGATGGCCAAGAAAGGTACATATTCCAGTTGCATAATCATCCAATCGCGCTATCCATCCACCGTCCACCGCCCACTCCCTAACCCAGGGATGCAAACAACGATGGCAGCGAACAAAGGAACCCCCGGATTTCACGCAACAAAAGCTAACACCCTCTTTTTCTTTCCCACAGCAAAGTCCCGTACCATCGCCGTCCGGCTGATCTCCATGGCCATGACGGGCTATTACCGCACCGTGACCCGGCCGCGTATCCACCGTCCTCTCAGCATGATGAAGTACGACCCCGTCATCAAGAAGCAGGTGCTTTTCCTTGAAGCGACCAAGGGCGGAAAGAACAAATAAGCTACGCTGTTCTATGCTTGATTCCTCGTTTCTTCCTGTCTTTCGAATCTCGCTTTCCCATCCTCGATTGATCTGTTTTGCGACTTGAAGGATTGCACGGCTGTCCTCGATTGCCTATCGATTGAATTCGATATCCGGCCTTGAAGTGAACTTGACTTTTTTTGTTGGATCCGCCATTCCGTTATACGATCAATGATGGAGTGTTGATCTCGACGTCTGTGAATTGCGATCCGGGTCTCAGGGGATCGGCCCCTGTGTGTACATTATTTACTGGAAGAAGCCGAACTGGAATTGAGGGAGTCTGATTCCTACGGTTTCCTGAATATTCCGCGGTATACCTCCATTTGGCGGAGCATTGTGTTTTGGCGTTAAAGAGCAATACAGATTTGGGTACCTCAATGAAGATAAAATACATATTCCACCCCATCGCCTCCAGATTCATTAAACTGCTTGTGATTTTCTTCAACGATAGCAATGCCAGATTGACATAAATTCATATCGAATGAACCCTTGTCGATCGGTCACTTTGGTCGATAATACTTGCATCGGAATTTGGATGAGTATGATTGATTAAAAATGACAAACATGCCTTACCCAAATAGTATATCTGGTGAGCTGGTCAGGTATTTTGACGGAAACGCTGGTTATAGCGATCACCTATCCACTGTTAGCCTGGCAAATCTCACCAACATCCAGATATTGTACCTCGAGTGGTGCGCCTCGTGCGCGCACGCGTGACAGTTGTGTTTACTTTACTACTGCCTGAAGCCAGTCCCTTGGGACTCAGCCGTCGCTCAGGATCAGCAGCCGAATTGCGTGCTCTTTTTGCCGGGTTCGCAGGCCGAGCATCGGTGTCTTTGACGTTGATGGCAGGCTGGGGGGTTGCTGCCATAGCGATATCACCGGGTTGGACATGTGCCTCCATTGAGTTTTCTTCTTGTGCCACCGACTGGCGCAGGCGGCTGTAAGTACGTTTCTGTGCTCGCTTTGGCACTTTGTCTTCGAATCCTTGTCCTGAGCTAACATTAATAGCATCTGACATTTGTTGTGGCCTGTCAGTCTCTGTCTGACGAGATCCCTCGAAGCTAACAACCTTTCTCTTGATGCTGGACTGTTCAATATTCATGGTTGTATTTAAACCCGGGTCATCGAGCTTCCTGAGATCCGAGTTGGATCTTTCACTCTTGCAGTCATCTACTCTGCGCACATGTTTGCCGATAGCAGAGTTGCTTGAATTGTCATTTAGATCAACTGAACCGGGCTTTGGCGATGTCTCTTTCCGCTTTGGAGAGGCTCTTGGAAGCTTGCTCGGATCTCCAGGTCCTTGGAAATCTGGGGTTGACATGAAAAGCATTTCCAGCTCCGCTGGGTCGTTGAAAAGTGAGAGACTATCCTCCCGTAAAAGTTTGTCATGAAGACTCGCGAACGGCACAATATGACCTACATCAAGAGACGATTTTGACAGCCATTCAATGCTATTTCTGATCAAAGGTTTGCAGGCATTTTGTGTTCGTTGAGATAAAGGCAGGTCTGTCTGACTGTTCGCGATAGTCTCGCAAACACGCTCTGTTTGTTGGTCAGTCTCTAAAGCTTCATTGGCTCTGCCCTCTCGTGGCCCGAAATCAAGTCGTTTATTGTCCGCGGGATGCACTCTAGCACTACCCGAAAGGTTTGCCCCTGATGAAACTATAGTAAAGGGGCGCTGGTTGGGCGAAGATTGAAGAATTTTTTCCACTTTTTGCCATGTCTGCTCGAATGGCTCGTCGGAATGCATCTCCATGATCCTGGCGAAACCCTCTCTGATAGTCGCCTGCCAGCTCTCGGCCTCTTGAGCGCGACGAAGAAGTGCAACAATCTCAGAATCTGCTTCTTCTCCGACTTTCTCCAAGGCTAAAGAACGGGACTTCATCATCTCAAGGGTTTCATTCACTTTTGCAAGCTCCTCTGTCTTCTGTGTTGTCTCTAACTCGAGTACTTTAATCTTTGCCTCTACTTTTTGAGCAGTCTCAACAGTCTGAGCGTCGGATTTTGTCCTCAACACCAAGCTTGCCTTGAGTTCTTCGGTCCTCTCTGCCAACTCTATCTCGAGAGCTTTTAATCGTTGTTGCATATCCCCAGAGATTCTCAATCGCTCCGATTCTATTGTGGTATTTAGTGCCAAACTTGCTTCAGCTGCGTGGATCTTTTCTTCCGCTTCTTTGAGTTCACCGAAAAGCTTTTCCTTATCAACTTTGAGTCCGGCCTCGCAACTCTTCAAGCGTTGCAATTCAATGTCATTAGCCTTGGCTTCTGCCAGGTAATTTGAGCAAGTGGCGTTCAGCTCTTCAATCCGTCGTTCCAATTGCTTGAGCTGCAAACTTGAGCAAAATTCTGTCACTGCTGCGCTCAGATGACTTACCATGATCACTTTTATCTGCTGTTCGGTGTCGGCTGTCTTCTCCGTCTCGGCCTTGGAAGCGTCAGTGCACTGTGCGTAATCCTAGTCCGTGAACATACCAATGATCTCTGAGCATCGGATACCTGGCTTTTCAGTTGGTCAGAATATGTCTTCATCTCGGAGTTCGCTATCTCAAGTCGTTGGATCTCCTTTTCGAAATCTGCTTTCAGGCGATCTTGAGCCTTGGTGCTCGCAATACGCAAATCATCGCGGATCCTTTGCTCGACCAATTGAAGTTCGCCCCTCAAAGCTGTCTTTTCAATCTCCAATCGAGAATTTTGGCTCTTTGAGGATTGCTCATTAGTAATAGCCTCGGTCAGTGCGTGCTGAAGATACTCGTTTTCAGAAGTAATCTTGCCATGTTGCTCCCGGAGAGATTCCAGGTCAAGCGAGACCTTTTGGAGTTCAAGCTGCAGTTGGGTATTTTCGGCGAACTTGGTCGAAATCTCCATCTCGAGAACTGGATTTCCTGCTGGAAACTGGGAATCGGCAAGTCTTTGGTCGAATATCTCCAAGCCGTGTACAAGGTCTGTCTCGGTAGCCCTCATGGCCTTGACAGAAGCGTTCAGACTACTTATAACGGGCCCAACCACTTCAAGGCTTCCCTGGAGATGCTCATAGTGGGTTTCGCTATTTGCTAGCTGATTGGAAAGGACAGAATCTGGACCAAGGCTCTTCTCGATAGTCTGCAAGCCTTCTTGAAGCGCTCGAGACAACCCATTGCTTACATCTTTGTTTGTTTCAATGCCTCTTGCAAGTTGGCCTGCTAGCATATCGACTCTGAACTACCCGTCAGTATTTTCTTTATCGTCAACGGAATTTAACATCACATACCTGGAGCCAGCTTCTCGGACGTCGCCTGTGAACTTTTCGATGTCCATCCTCTGAATGCCACATTGTTCTTTCAACTCACAGACAGAAGAAACACAACGCTCAAGTACCGGTCCGATTGCTGAAGTAACAGCATCTCGGGAATCAACACAAGCTGTGGCAACCAGTTTGCTGGCAGAGTCAAGCCTCTCAATAATTTCACTCTGGCTCTTTTTGACAATCGCCAAACAACGTGCTTGGCTCTGAGATTCATTTTTTATATAGGACTCCAGAGTCACCACTCGCTTTTTCTCATGAGAAAGCTGCAACTTCATGCTTTCATCTTGCCTGTCTGACCTCGCCAATGCTTCGCTTAGCATTGCAATCTTCTCCTCAGAGCTGTGTAGCTTGTTGCGTTGACCCTCAATAGTGTCTGTGCTTTTGTTGACTTGCACCTTGATTTCATCCAAAGCCTGCTGTATATCTGCCTTTTCTTTTTGAAGGCCCGATGTGATCGACTTCAGATTGTTGCTTTGCCCCCGAAGCGTATCATATTGGAGCCCGAGATCAATGATAACATCTTTGAATTTGGCAAGTCGTGCCTTCCATTTGTTGATCTGTTCTCTCTGAATATTTGCATCAGATGAACTTCTGACAAGTTGGGCCTGGTAAGACTTGAGTCGATCATGCAAAGAATGGATTTCAGATTTTAAATGGGAATTCTCGATCTCGATTTGTTGTCGAACATTAGCAGAATTTTGCTCATTCTCTTCACGCTCCCTCATTTTCACTATGAGGAGCTCAAAGAGATCATCTTCACCCAACTGAGTACTGCTTTTCTTGAGAAAAGGAGGGGTTAGGCGCTTGGTAGATGGTTTCTTTTGCTTAGTGCATCGTTGCTCCGAAACACGGGGTTGATTGCCCATGACCTTGAGTGGCATACCGGAAGATACATTTTTTGAAGTGTCCTCACTATTTTTCCCTGGCCGATTGGAAACGGAAAGTACGGGAACAGCTTCATTGGTATTTTCATCAATTGGAATGGGACTTGATTCTGGGATTGTAACATTTGTCTCGGCAATGCGGGTGTTTACTGAATCATCCGTTTGAGCTGCCTCATTCTGTCGAATGAGGGAGTGGTCTTGTTCGTGCTGAAAGCCTGATTCACGTGCACATACTGAATCTCCTGTTCTAGCGCTTTCTTTGCGTTGCTCTTTGGAAATTGATAGGCGCCGCGGCGGTTGGAAGAGCAATGGCTTTCTCGCAGGAGTTTGAAAGGCGAACGTTGGTGCGTCCGTAATAGTGCGACATTCGGGCGTTCTGTGCTTCTCAACCCATGTTAACATACCCTCAAACCTTGCAATTGACAAGGGCTCTGACGTACGCGTTCAGCTTGGCCAATTGGCCATTGAAGCTTCCTTCGAGCCGTGTTTGCTCCTTTGAGAGCTGCGCATTACAGACTGTAGATTGCGAGAGAAGGGTCTTGTTGGGCAATTTCCTGAGAGAAAACAGTTTCTCGTGGGAAGCAGGTTTAGCGAATGAGAACGTCTCTGCATCAACATCTGCGCTTCGTGGTCGTTTCACTAGCAGCGGATGGATCTGCTCAGAGCTCTCCATGATGACATCTGCCCTGAAAGATATTGCGGGAGATGAAAGGAAAGGAATAATTCGATGATAAACTGCGTGACTGGACTTGGTGTTTGTGTCAGGTCGAGGAAGGTACCATCCCGTGACCATCTACACATCTCAACTTCCCAACTACACTGCTACACTTCATGACCCTGCGTGGCATATGGCATGCATGATTATCATCTGAAAATACCAATATCCAGACCAATAGACCATAGTTCATTTGACCAACAGACCATCTTATCGGGGAGGCGGAATAATCCATAGCCGTCCTGTATCTGTTGGGCAGTAAGTGGCTTCACGATCAAACGCTATTCTGTGGACATTTGATGACCGTGCTATACCGGATGTTCTACGGAAAGAAGCTTTACTGATCTGCAAATACTATTGAAGGAAGCCAGCCAATGGAAACATACTTGCTTGCTTTCCAGAGACAGATAAATCCGGTAGTATATCCAAAAAGATAAACACCTGCGTAGAGAGTGATATCTAGACTCCACCAGGTTAGGGTTGCCGTATTAAATAGTGCAGTCAGAGATTTGTATAGTGGAGCCATCGCCACATGTCATGATTCTCCCCCGAGGCATTGAGCACTCACGTTCTGTATATCCTAGGCTACAGCCGCATTCCTAGCCAAGGAGTAATTAGGTTGTGCAAAAATCAAAAGGTGGATCTGAAACAGCCAGTCTCAAGCTGAGCACCCGTATTTCTCGCATAAGACCCAATTGAGGGTTCGAGCCAAAGAAAGGGGCCCAAGAGCTAGGGCGCCCGCTAAGCTTATAAAATCTTGCTTGTGGCGGGCGGCCACGCTAGAAAGCTGACTGTGTTTCGGCCAGTCCTATCAATTTGGCACGCTGGTAATTACAAAGAGAGGGAAACTGGATTGCCTTGGCGCATATGTGTGTTTGACATAGTTCCAGTAGAGTGAAAAGGGCCGACCTAGAATGTGGCTTGATTTTCCTGCAGCTGAGCGGTGCCACGCATGTGAGGGATCCCATCGAATGTCCAATCGAATATTCTAAAGGTGTTCTAGGACCGTTGGTGAGACCCAGACTGCACTCGAGAGTCAATCATTGCGATTCAGGCCGAGACGATAACGTGGCGGCCACGAGAAGTCGGGGAGAACAGGTCTATCACGGTGGCAAACAGTGACCAGTCAGATGCAGACGCATGTCTAATGTGTCTAGCCTGGTTCTGGTTGGATCGATCGATCGAACTATATGCGATACCGTAGATTCTGACTTGACGTGATATCCACCTGGCCCAAAAAAAGAGACACAAAGGATACATCGCAAGCCTAAGTGGGACACGGTGATATAAAAAGCAAAGATCAGGACACTGGATACTCGTACATACTTGTACATAGACCTGTATCCATGACTGAAGCGATCTGCTGCACTAAATGCCGGTCTCCCCCCCCTAAACCCACCCACCGTTTCATATAGAATTTTGATCGCCAGGATGTTCGCTAGGATGATAATGAACAAGTCCCTGGCGAATGACAAAGTCTGTGCATTTTTTAGCGGATACAATAGCGTCCGCCTAACCGCCTAAGCCCAAGTTGACCTGGCTATGCTCTCCACTCAATGTTGACTGGAGAATATCGTGGGTCTCGAGTTCTTTGCACCGGTTTACGAACCTAGACCCAACTCAAAAGGCCTGAGAATCCCTCCCAATCAGCTAGGCTAGAAGAGTAGTCAAGTCATGTAGATCCCACGGCGTCAAAAGCCCGAAACAGAATAGGTCCAAAAGAGAGAAAGGCGACGTGCTTTCTTTCATCCCCTTTCCCCGATTTTTTGCGCGTCACGCGTGATTGGCTCCCCCCCGTGATACTGCCGCTTCTGTCAGACCGCTCGCCCGCTCTCTCTCTCTCCCCTTTCTTTCACTAAAGTTGTGAAGTCGTGAAATTCCCCTTGGCCTTAATTACGATTGACTGGTGATACAGACCCAGATTGTCTCGCCCAATAACCCCCTTTCTTTGTGTGGGTGTTACTTCTATCCCGTCTCGCCTGCGCCTAGGACGCCCTTAGCTCCCGGACCTCACGTTTTCTCAATATACATATCCTGCATACATTTGCCCTTGTTTTTTCCTTCTGGAGAGTTCTGGAGCCTGTCTTCCCTTGCGTCTTTGGACCTATCTCTTTTCCGTGCATTAGCATCTGGACCTGCATGCTATTGCGACTCTGAAACACCTGACCCCCCGCTCGGCGACTCTACCTTCGGAATTACCTCCTCTCATGGACATTACGATTTGAGCTCGATATTCGCCGATCATATCAGTTCTTTTTTAATTTCTCTTCGATCCTCACGCCATTTGATCGGAGTTTCTGGGACGAGTGTGATGTTACAAGGAAGATACTAGGCAACCCCCCCCCATTACTTCACCCATATCTCATACGGACAACATGGGAAACACTCAGGGAAAACCAGTGAATTGCAATGATGCGGGTATGTCAACTCCATTCGAATTGAGAGGAAAGAGTGACCCCGGGTTGTTCGCTACCCAAAATTACGTACCAACGTGCTGATTGCTCGTCTTTCTAGTCAACCTTAACCACTTCCGCCTCCTGCGGGTCGTCGGAAAGGGTGCATTTGGAAAAGTTCGAATCGTGGAGAGGAAGGACACCGGCCTCACATTTGCCCTGAAATATATTCGCAAAGAAGAAGGTAAGTGTCCCAAGACCATTTTTGTCGGGGAAGCTATGGCTAAAATACGTGCTAGTGGTTCGTTCGGAAAGTGTACGAAACATCATTCGCGAACGGAGAATGCTTGAGCATCTGAATCATCCTTTCCTTTGCAATCTACGTTATAGTTTCCAGGATATGGAATACATGTGAGTTCATTCGCAGTGGTCTCTTTTGTCCTTCGCTCACCATATTCCAGCTACATCGTGGTCGATCTAATGAACGGTGGTGATCTACGATTCCATATTTCACGAAAATGCTTTACCGAGGATGCGGTGCGGTTCTGGATGGCGGAATTGGGTTGTGCTCTGAAGTACATCCATTCACAGGGCATAATTCACCGTGATCTAAAACCCGATAATGTGCTATTGGACTCCGAGGGACATGTTCACTTGGCTGACTTTGTAAGTCCTCTGCGCTTGAACTGTTGGTAATGCGGCTAATCGTGATTTCTAGAACGTGGCATCGGATTTCCGACCGGGCAAGCCTCTGACAAGCAAGTCAGGAACATTAGCCTACTTGGCACCTGAGGTCTACGAGGGAACGGGATACTATTTCGAGGTCGATTGGTGGTCATTAGGTGTCACTTTCTACGAGTGCATTTACAACAAGCGACCATTCGAAGGCCGGAGCCAGGAGACCCTGAGCGAGAATATCAAAAAGGCACAACCGAAATACTACGTCACCAATCCTGCCGTCTCAGTTCCCTGCTTGCGCGCTTTGGGCTCGTTGATGGAAAGGGATCGCAGTCGCCGAATCGGTGCCATTGGCTTCGAAACATTTGCTCAACATATGTTCTTCGCCGAGATCGACTTCGATGCCCTGGAACGCAAGCAGATCCCACCAGTCTTCCGACCATCAAGCGAAAAAACCAACTTCGATGCAACATACGATCTGGAGGAACTTCTGCTAGAAGAAGCGCCCCTCGAAGCCAGAGCGCGCCGACAAAAGCCACGTGCGGAGCTAAGAGATGACGCTACGGCAAAGGAAATCCGGGAGGACGAGCTGCATCGCTTGATTGAGACCATGTTCGAGCCATTCGATTATACCTTGACTGACTACCAAGGCAATGCTGCAGATGCTATCGCCGGTGTAGTGTGAGTTTTCCTCTAATGATCCCTTCCATCCTTCGCTGACGCTCTTCACAGAAACCCCGAGGACTGTCTTCCGGGTACAACGACCTCAACCACACATGCCCGTCAATTCTCCCAGCCTGAGCAACCTGGTCAAAACATTCCTAGTCAACACGACGCCGCTAGCATTCGCGCTGCGCCCAACGAAAATATACACGCAGTCGGCGAAGCCCCTCACTCCCAACGATTCCACGCCTGTTCCGCAGCCCCCATCCCCCTCGAACCGCATATCTCCTTCACCACCTCCTGCCCCGTCTTTCCACCGACCATTACCTCACAATCCTCGCCCGCGTGGGGCTACTCGCCAAATGAGCAAGAGCGGAGGTGTACAAATGGTTCTCAACGAAGCTGGTAGCTGGAGCGAGTTGGCCAACAGTTCAACGCTCCCCGCCGAAGGAATTGACGGTGACGACAAGGGCAAGCAAGCTAATGGAATGATGTCATTCTTCAGTCGAAAGAAGGGTCGTGATCGCAGTCCCAAGCCCACTGAACCTGGTGTTTTGGGCAAAGAAGGAGCTAGACAGATCATCAGCTGAATGGTTTGCCTTTGGTTTTACCATCTGTAATGCGGTATTGCCATTTATGGCAGTCCCATTGCTCCATTGGGCCCACAGATATCTAACTGTGACCTCTACCCAAATTGGACGTTGTGATGCAGAGACGGGTGCTGTCTCCAACACCCGAAGGCTGACGGTCAAGCATTGTTCCTTCGTCTCCTGCATCCTGGCCAAATCACCACCACTTTGACCACTTCCCGCTCTCACTTTGCTGTGAAGCTCTTGAGGGGAATGTCTCCACTCAGCCTGTGTCTGATTGCATCATGCACCAGGACATCATGTTTTTCAGCCCCGACCATTGCACCAGATGAAATGCTTGAGGCACCATCTCCTCTTTACTTTCTATTAGATTCCCCGGGCACAGCGAGAATTCACTTCATTTGATCTTGTTTATTTTACTCCCACTTCTTTGTCCCTCCCCTCTACTCTCCGTGCAGAGTTGTACAGATGTTCACGGCAGAAGCAACCCCAGAAACCTCGTTTTGGCTTTTTTTTTTTTTTTTTTTAGTATCACCATCTTTCGGTAGGCCTTGTCGATTTCGTCTCTTTCTCTTCGTCATGATGTGTTTCAACTAATTGTATTTCGGAGTTCGCATACCCTCACTCGCTGGACATGATGCTTGTTTATTTCTGCCTTGTTAGATAGGTTCGGAGTTTGCATATGTGCAAAATGATCAGTTGTATCTAAGTTAATGTTTTCTGTCATCTATCACAACCAACATACCAGGATCTCTGTTTATCGCATATTCCACTTTAGACAGCCGTGGGAGATATAATCCACGTCGCCCTAGCAGTGGCTCCACCAGTTCCTGAACAACTCCACTCGTCTCAGTAGAACAAAAACAGGCCCTGATATCCTCATAGATCTAACAAGATCAAATAGCGACGCTCCCGCATATTGTGGCTTTTATTGGCGTATTTCCGTGTGGGGAAAAACCAAAACACAGCTGAACCAAGATCCCGCAAGAACATCGGCAAAACAATGACTTGGCCTGGGCTGGGCACCTGCGCCTTGTAATTCTCCTCTGACACATCCACATTCAGTCGTCAGTCCTGTGTCTCTGACTCCTGAGTCACAACCCTCCCCAGATCACTCCAGCATTTCAATTCAACCCACCTCCGCCCCTGATCACCCAACCCCCAAACAAGCTACCGATCGCCGTCTCCACGTGCAACCAGCATTCCACGCCAAAGATCACCACCGGCCCACCTCTAAACGAGCGCGCATATCTGCAGCAGTAGCATGCCAAGCGAATCCCGCAGCCGGGACCGTCCCGAGCGACGAGATCGAGATCGAGACCGCACACGCGACAAGGAGCGCTCACGCCGTCGCGATCGGGACATCGAGCGCGAGCGCGAATACATCCGTGGCCGACACGAGGAAGCCGACGAGGGCGCTACAACGTCCAGTCCTGGCAATGCGCGCAGTGCGAAGTATCGCTTCCGAGGCGAATCGGGGAATGAGTCTGCGTCTGCGCGGCATGTTCATGATGGGGATGAATACGAGTATGATTCTGCTTATGAGGAGGAGCAGGCGAGACGAAGAGAGCGGAGGGAGAGGAGACGGAGACAGCGGGAGGAAGAGGAATTGGATGGGAGACGGAGGGAGAGGGAGAGGGATAGATCTAAGGCTAAGGAATCGCCTGCTACGTCGCCTGTCAAGCGGAGAGATCGGGACCGGGATCGAGATGGGCATCGGAGGAGACGGGGTGAGAGTGGGAGTCCTGTTAAGGATGTGAGAGAGCGCAGGCATCGCGATGTTGATGATGTTGAGGCGGAGGCGGAGGCTAGACGGCGGCGGAGGAGAGAGAGGGAGCGGGAGAGGGAACGCGAGCGTGAGCGAGAGCTTGATCGCGAGATGGAGTTTGGAGCTGCTGCTGTGCCTGCGTCGAAGCATCGCAGTACTGAGTCTTCTAGCAGTGCCTCGCATCTATTGAGTCGGGATGCCATGGCGCGACTGGCTGCCGAGCACGATTATGAAGATCAACGACAGCAGTCTCACGGTGAAGATGATTCTCGTGATGAGCGACGACGACAGCGAAAACGGGCTGCTCTTGCTGAAGAGGCACTTGGTCCAGAAGTCGCTGAAGGCCGGTCCCGTCATAGATCTGGAGCTCGGGTTGTTTCCGGTGCCTTTCTTGAAGAAGGGCGCAGTTCTATCGCCAAGGTTCGGCATCGCGGCGGTGGTCCTCCCCCAGATGAAGACGAGCACTGGAAAGAGGAAGACAGTTGGGAGGGAAGCTATTCCAGTGGCCGAGGGCCGCCTGCCTGGAAGTTCTGGTCGAATTGGTCTAAGAAGAAGCGCATTGTCATTGCATGCTTATTGGCCTTTGTCGTTTTGGTTGGTGTCATCGTTGCTGTTGCTGTGGTTGTCTCAAAGAAGAACAGTTCCAACTCGACCTCAGGCTCTGATTCTTCGTCTTCTGGTTCTGGGGGCCCATCCAATTCCAATTTGGATAGTATCAGCCGCGACAGCATTCCGGTCAGTCTCCATGGAATCTCCTTAGAATGATGGTTAACTAACACTACTTCAGAGCTATGCGAAAGGCACTGTCCTGGACCCATTTACCTGGTACGATACAAACGGCTTCAATGTCACCTTCACAAACGCCACAGTGGGCGATCTTTCTCTCATGGGAATCAACTCAACTTGGGATGATTCTACCCGAGCAAATGACAACGTGCCTCCGCTCGACGAAGCATTTCCCTACGGCTCCCAACCCATTCGTGGAGTCAACATCGGCGGATGGCTATCTATTGAACCCTTCATTGTACCGTCTTTGTTCAGCAAGTGGTCATCTAGCGACGGGATCATCGATGAGTACACCCTGAGCAAGAAGCTGGGCGGTTCCGCAGCAAGCACGATCGAGAAGCATTACGCTACGTTCATCACCGAGTCTGATTTCCAAGAGATAAAGCAGGCGGGACTGGACCATGTTCGTATTCAGTACTCTTACTGGGCCGTAAAGACTTACGACGACGATCCCTATGTTGCTAAGATCTCGTGGCGCTACCTGTTACGTGCCATTGAATATTGCCGCAAATATGGACTTCGCGTGAAGCTCGATATTCATGGACTTCCCGGTAGTCAGAATGGCTGGAATCACAGTGGTCGCCAGGGCAGTATCGACTGGATCGACGGCACAGACGGCGCACTCAACCGCCAGCGATCACTCGAAATTCATGATCAGCTTTCCAAGTTCTTCGCCCAGGATCGGTACAAAAATGTGGTGACTATCTACGGTCTCGTGAACGAGCCATTGATGCTGACCTTGCCCGTTGAGAAAGTCCTTAATTGGACCCAAGAGGCTGCAACCTTGGTTCGCAACAATGGTATCAATGCTACTATTGTTTTACATGATGGCTTCCTCAATCTGGACAAGTGGGATAGCATATTCAAGAACGGCCCCGATAATATGTACCTGGATACTCACCAGTACACCACCTTTAACACGGGTGAAATTGTGTTGAACCACACTGCCAAGGTGGAAATCATCTGCAACAGCTGGTCTCCTATGCTCTCGAGCATCAACTCTACAAGTTCTGGGTAAGCTCCACCCCCCTCTGCCTTCCCCTACGAAGCTAACACAAACAGATGGGGCCCTACTATATGTGGCGAATGGTCTCAAGCCGACACAGACTGTGGCCAGTACGTAAATAATGTCGGCCGTGGTACACGCTGGGAAGGGACGTACGACACAAGCGATTCGACAGCGTATTGTCCAACGGCCGATCAGGGAACTTGCAGCTGTTCCGGTGCAAACAAAGACCCGTCTGAGTACTCAGACTCGTACAAAAAGTTCCTGCTGATGTATGCAGAGGCACAGATGTCCGCCTTTGAAACTGCCATGGGCTGGTTCTACTGGACATGGCGCACCGAGTCTGCAGCACAGTGGAGCTACCGTACAGCATGGAAGAATGGCTACATGCCCAGCAAGGCATACTCGCCATCCTTCAAATGCGGTGATACAGTCCCCGACTTCTCCGACCTACCGGAGTATTACTGATGTTATGATAATGTTTGCTTTTGTTTCGCGTTTGCTTGCATTTCTTTCCTGATATCATGGGCTTAATGTGAAATCCTTGCATATTATGCATTTTATTGTGCATTTTGATGACCATCAAAGACAGGAGTTTCTTCGTTTTCACCTGCATACTCATTCATTTATGAAATATGGACATACTTCGTTAGGTGTTATTAGAAATCACATTCATCGCTTACTTGAATTTAAATCTCATTGAACCAACCACCTTGCTCCCAGACGCCAGGTCGATAAACACACTCGTTGCGCATACACTTCACCCTCACGCCCCGGAGCAAAACATTCACGCGCTGGAAATCAATCGGCTTCATAAACCACCCATCAAAGCCAGACTGAACATACGTGTCTCGGTCTTTCTCCAAAAGAGAAGCCGACACAGCAAAAATGGGAACCCGAGCCACAGGCAGACCAGAAGAAGCCAGCTGCTGTTCATGTTCACGAATCATCTTCGTCGCGCTCAGGCCGTCCACAATAGGCATCTAATATGGCGGGGTTAGATATGCAGTCCCAGTAAAGCTGAAGAACAACCAAGCTTACCTGTAGGTCCATCAGAATAGCACTGTACAGCGCAGGATTGTTCTTGTAGACCGAGGTACATTCCTTGCCATTTGCTGTCATGTCGATTGTATAACCGAGCTTCTCTAGACGCTTTCGCAGGATCGTACTATTTACCGGGTCATCCTCAGCGACCAGGACATGCAGCCTGGCATCCATAGCGGAGGTGTTCTGAATGAGGCTTTGGGGTTCGTCTGGTGACGTGGTGGCTGGCGGGCTTGATCCCTTCGGGGAATGTGGTGGCGTTGGGAGACGGGATGTCCTGCGATGTGCTTCGTGCGGCGCATTGCTTGTTTCCGACTTTGGGCGTGGCAACGAGAGTTTCTTTGATTCGCCTGTTTTCAGGCTTGCGTCGACTTCGAGGACTGCTCCTTTGGAGAATTCGGGTGTGATCCCGCATTCGCATGGTATTCCGTCTTCCGGGCGGTTTGTGCAGGAGGATGTTTCTTTCTTGGTTTCTTGCTTCTGTCGGGGCTGGGATTTATCTGAAACAATAGATGAAGCCTGATTGTCGCGTTCTTCGGATGGAAGTGGGAACTCGAGTCGGATCTTGAAACAACTTCCTTTTCCTTCTTCGGATCGTAAGCTGAGTTGGCCGTTCATATTGCGCACGATTCGAGCAACGAGCGCGAGACCGAGTCCAAGCACACTTTCTGTCTCTACTGGTGTGCCGCTGGCTGTGCATCCGTATGACTTTGGTGTCTTCATATACCCCTTGTTGGAGACTTGTTCTAGTTCACAGAACAATGTTTCAACGGTCTCTTGGGACATACCAGACCCGGTGTCGTGGACTGCAATCTCGACTGTAATATGATCGAGATCTACGCTCTCAGGAACGACACATGACTCGATGGTAAGTGCTCCGGATGCTGTGTGCTGAATAGCATTGCTGATCAGGTTGGTGATGACCTGACGGACTCGTCGTTGGTCTCCGAGAACAGGTGGCAATGCTGCGTGCTGGACAACCTGCAGGTCGACGTGCTTTTGTCGAGCTTCCTCCCAGAAAATGTCTGTTGCCTCTGTGAGAGTCTCGGATAGATTGAATGCCTCGTCTTTGATCAGGCGTTGTCCGTTTTCAGCATTCGTCAGGTCTAACAGATCATTGATGATATAGACTAGTGACTTGGACGCTGAGTGAGACCTGGATATGTGATCTCGTGTGTCTTGATCCAGGGATCCATCCAGAGCAATCTCCAAGTAATTGATAATCGCATTGAGAGGTGTTCTAAACTCATGCGCAGAGTTGGCAAGCAGTAGTCGCATCAGTTGATTGTTCTGCATAGCTGCCTCTTTCTCCTGCCAGATCTCACTAAATGCTCGGTATAGCAACGACAGCGAGGATGCTCTTTCGAACTCTGATGTAGACCACGTTGTCTCATTCTTAGAGCCATTGGGTATAATTCGACCCTCGGCCCGAAAGAATATAATGCAGTCATGTCCATCCGCCGAAAGTGGAACATACAACAGACCAGATATACAATGAAATCCACGGTAGTAGTTCAAATCCTGAAAATCGGAGGTAATGTTTGTTGACGAGAGAACCGTGGAAATCTCTTTAACTTTCATGTATTCCAACACTGCCAGAACCTCCTGAGAGTCGACCGGTTTGCCTAATATCTTGCCTTCTCCCATGATTGATGCCGCAGCATAGTCCGCGCCAAATAAACCGAGCAGATCACTTGACGGATAATCGGCAGTTTGGACTTTGTTTTGATCATCCCAAGACATCGGCAGCTCTTTCAGAACAATGGGAAGAGTAGAGGATAGTCGCTGGATGTTGTTTGCCACTGCTTCCGCCATGAACCAGCAAACCTTCTGAGCCATCGGATGCAAAGTTCTGCTTGCCTCGTATGATTGGCATGATATCAATCCCCAGAGTTTGCCGGAAACATTGATTGTGATTGAGAGACAAGCTTCGACAGAAGGACCGGAACTGGGCCTCGAGGATTTCGGGGCTGCAGAGAGATAGGTATGTGACAAATCAAGTGCGTGTTTATTTGTAGAGGCGCGGTAGACAAGCTCTGCAGATTGCTTAGTTCTGGCATAAGAGAGACAGGCCGTGTTGCGCATATATCGTTTACGCAGCGGCTCAGGGAACGATGACTCGGGAAATTTGGTACCCTCAAATGAGGTCAGCTCCAGTGAAGAGTCAATACTATCTGCAAGTACTGTTCCTTTGATCTCGTCTTCGAAATGAATCATAGTTGTTCGTGAAAACCCAGTGAGACTTTGCAAGGTGGCAACGGTATTCCGAACGAGTGATTCTATCGTCTGAGATTTGGCCAGCTGCTGCAGAATGCGAGGAATAGCGTTGAGAATCTCCGGGGATTCTGTGACATTGAAACTCGCTGGGTAAGAATTATCCTTTTGGATTGCAATGTTGTCACAGCCCCCAAGATGAGAAAGGTCTGTACAGCTTGTTTTCGATATGCGTGAATGTCTCTCGGGCTGTTGGACTCTTTGGGTTGCTTTCGTAGTCGAGCCAGAGGCCATGGCAGGCTGAAGCTCACAGATAACATAGTTCTTATATGCTTTGCTGGTATGCATGGTACACCATATCTTTTCACATCGCATATTTTGGCCGAGAGGTTCACGAGGTAAAAGCGTCAACAAGAAGATTTCTGGCCCATGATTCACAACTTCATACTCGTCTTCCAAGACAAAGCTGGTATGGTCGAGAAACGTATCAACGTGTGATGTGGACAAGATATCACAAAACGAATCGAGTTCAAAAAGATCATCTGGTGAATATCCCATGACTTTGGAGGAATTGTTGCTGGCTATTTGCACCGTAAACTTGTCATTCAACTCTTCCAGCACAATTAGTGCGCCGAAAGATTGGATGGCGATGGCTTCCTCGTCTTGCTTAGAATATTGCAGCCCATTGGTCGGCCTGTAAGCACCAAGCACGTCGCCGCCACTCTCCATGGTATTATGCAATTGTCTTAAGATATTGGCGCTTGCTAGATCGTCCCTGATTGCATGGGGTATAGTCGGATCATCCAACGAATGGTCGTCTCCTCGGTCTTGCTTCTTGGATGTTGATGAGTACTCAGTCACGAAATCGCTCTTTTGATTCTGCCTGGTCAAAAAATCCTGCCCCTTGAAAACCTCCCGCTCACTGCTTTCTCTTACAGCAGCAATTGACGGCTGAAAGCTGGTCTTTTCGTTTCCAAAGTTGCCAGTCCATGAATCCGAGAATGGTGATAATGGCGTTTCGAGCTTCTCCATAGCCAGGGTTGGCAGTGCGGACGAGGGAGCCGAATCAAATGAAAGGGCTGAGCGAACTGGGAAGATTCTTTCGGCTGAATCGTTGCCCAGTTGGGGTAGTTTCAGTTTTGGTGATGGTGGCTCAGCTACTGTTGTTATCTCGGTTTTGGCTTCGGAAAAGATGCACATAGTCTTGGGGATTGACAATGTTCTTGCCAGAGTTTGTCTTTTGTGAGATAGTTGATCTTCCGTTTTGCCGCCTTCATCGTTATAAATGACTGTCCAATCGCTGTGGTCAGTGTTGTCGGGTAGTGGCATAGCTTAAGTTTGAACCTCAATCTGCTGAGGGTCAGCGAAGAAGGCGATCTAATTAGACACTGGGCGTTAGATATAGACACACAGGCTGTGTTTGGATAAACTCACTGAATTGTGTCGGTATTGGTTCGGTTAAAACAAAAGGCAGGTGAAGCTCTCAAGGCCGAGTTTAGATCATATTGAGAATCAAACGGACGACAGCAGAATATATGGGGATATTGAGACGAACAAAAGGGCTGAAATGCAAGAGATCTCCATGGATTTGTGCTCTAGTCGGGGTATCCTGAGATTCACTCCAGAGCTCGAGCTTTCTCCTGCATTTTCAACCTATCAACACAGCAACCAACAGGGAATAACGTTGGCCCTGGATCCATGTCCTCGGTTCTCTTGTCCGGTTCGCTGGAGAGTACCATTATAAATGGACTCGCAATTCTAGATCCAGACTATAGAAGCCGTGGTAGCGAGTTCGGCAGATGGTATTTGACGGCTTACATAGTACCGGTTCTGTGGCTAGAGCGCTGATTTCAACGAGCAAAGTTCACAGCGCAAAACTACATCTATGACTGAACCTGGTCAAACCTAAATGAACAACTTAAAGCGAGACTTTCGAGCTCATGGCGTGAAAAGATCACGTCGGTGTTCCCGAGTATCAGGCCAGGGCACACGATGGCGGGATTCGGTGACGCCGGACTATAACCAAAGAGCGCAGTTGCGAGGTACGATGCATTTCTAGACAAGTCGAGAATCACTCCACGTAGGGGTTCTGTGCCATAGAATGATGGATCACACCCCACATCAGATTGGACTTGGATGTGAAGGACATGGATAGAACGACATATATGTAACACGGAATGATGCTGAAAGTCTCCGCAAACATTATAATTGGGTATAAAAGACTACCAAAATTTGTCTCTCCGAACCTCCTCATACGCTATGTAAAGCCAACTTGTTTAATGGAGATCGTGTTCACTATTTAGAAGCTCCACACGCAAGTCTGTACAGCAGCTGTAGTCGAAATAAAGGAAGGCATCAGCATTGGAAGCTTCCGCCGGACGACAATCCCGAGTCCCACATAGAGCTTGCCATAACTAAGATAGGGTTTAGCTTTTGACTCGTGGGCATGGGTTCCGGGTGCTGCAAATGGGCAGCTCACACCCCTGGTTCAGGTCTGCGCTGGCCTAGAACAACCCTTAGCCCCGGTTAAGAGGTAAGCATGAGCTTCAGGAGCAGGGATTTCCTCATCAGTAAATTAAGTGTACGAGATGTGCAATGAAAAAGGGAATATCAAACAAGAAAGAGAAAATTCTAATGACAAGTGACTCCGAAAATTGATCATCTTGAGCTGCCAACCATAACTCCCCCAAACCTCGCCCCTAAACGTCATTCATAATTTCATTTCATGTCGCTCACCAGCGGCGACCATAAACCGAGTCCTCAGTTCGAGGACGGCTGGGTTGGGCATCCCGAACCCGGTTGCGAGGATCAGAGTATGACACCTGCGAGGATGGAGGAGCGGGTGTAGCCTCTTCGGCAGCATTCAACAAGCCTACTTTGTTGTTGAAGTCCAAAGTGCTCTGTTTATCAGTGAAATTTGATTCGGCGTCACGACCGAACAGAGCCATCATATCACGCATGGTCAACTTGCCAGCACCAGCCTTGCCTTCGATGGTAGCGTTGGCTAGCTCACGCTTGCGGTCCTGCAGTTCCACAATGCGCTCTTCCACAGTTCCCTTGATAACCATTTTGTAAATTTTCACATCGATTGTTTGGTTCAGACGATGGACACGGTCGATAGCCTGCTCCTCAACGAACTGAACTGATAGTTAGCATTGTATATTATGAAAGAGTTGGATGTAGCGACTTACGGGATTCCAGAAAGGCTCGAGAATAACGACGCGACTTGCGGCTGTCAGGTTCAGACCCAACGCACCGGCGCGCAGACTGCACAGTAGCACACGAGTTCCGCTGTGGTTGCGGAGCTTCTCAAGACTAGCTTCACGGTGATTGTTTGTCATACCGCCATCGTAGCGCGCAAAGCCGATATTGGCCGAGTTCAAGAAAGGCTCGATCTTGTCTAGCATAGAAGTGAAAACGGAGAATACAATGAACTTGAAGTCTGGTGCCTCGCGATTGAGAATCTTCATCAAATGGCGAATCTTGGTGGATGGTAATTCGCCATTTTCACCTTCCTCCGTGTATTCATCGTCAGAGTCGGTTTCCTCATCTTCGGAGTCGCTAAGCACGATGGGTTTGCTCTTTCTTCTGGAGGGAGACTCAATCTCATCGTCTGTCTCATCTTCAGAGTTGAGCCATTCACCGCCACCTTCCGCATTCTCATCGTCTGAACCACCTGCCTTTCCAAGGTTTGTCATTTTGCGTTCATCGTTGGGAACAACCCAGTCGCCCTCTTCGTCCTCATCATCACTATCAAGGATGACTCGTCTGTTCCTCCGCTCGTGTCTGCGAACGGAGGGAGACTCAGGAACGTACTTCTCTTTGCGACTGTTCTTCGACTTCTTCGGTTTCTTGCCTGTGCCAATGATGTCGACATTGAGATCGGCTTCACATTCATCGCAGCGCGTATTGCCAGCCTTAGCTTGATCGGGGCTGAGTTCTGCTTGGCAAACGTCACACTTCTTGGTGACAACGCTCATTGCACCAAAGAGTTCAGCCATGCTGTCGAGGTCGTCAGACTTCGGTTGCGAAGATTGGCTGGAAGTAGGATTGTTCTGCAAAAGGATATCCTTGTCTTTGGCCAAATCGCCCTTGACAAGGTCGGGGTGGTTGCAACATTGACGAAGACGCAAGAGCAGTACCAAAGCGCCGGCGTAGTCAACCTTAGCACCACCCATCATCTGTTCAAGGCTATTTTCCGTTCGCTGTTCCAGACGTTTGTAGAAGTTCAACTCTCCAGGCATGAATTCAGGGGCGACCTTGATGACCTCACGTTTGGTGATATGGAAGCCATTGGACTTTTTAGGCTTCCCATCTTCTCCTTCTTCGCCCTCCTTCACGTTATTGTTCATTTTGAGAACATCCTTAGTGCGTCGTTTCATGAAAGCTTTTAAGTAGACCTGCAGCCGCTGGATCGCGAGCCCTCCGCGGCCATTGGCCAGCGGTCGGCTGATTTGATCTCTCCAAGCCGCCAAATCATCGTAGGGCTTGACTCGGAGGAACTTGATCAGACTTTGCATCTCGTCCAAGTTATTCTGCAAGGGTGTTCCTGTCAGGCACCACCGGTACTGAGCATCCAATGCATATGCTGACTGGGTAGCTTTGGCGTTGCGGTTTTTGATGGTGTGTGCTTCATCGAGGATGATACGGTACCAGTGAATCGAGAACAAACCGGCCTTCTTCGCCTTATCCGTGGCTGATGAGTTGAAGTCCGAGGTAAGAGTGCCATATGTTGTGATAACAATATCAAAGTCATCCAAGTTCTTTGCGTTCTTTGCTCGTGCTGCACCATGATAGATGCAAACAGAGAGCTTGTGGGTTTTTTCAACTTTGTCTTTGATTTCGGACTCCCACTGTTTGATCAGTGCAAGGGGCGCAATGACCAAAGTAGAACCGCTACAGTTAGGAGGCAATTTCGTAGTTTTGCCCTCCTTTTCGTCGGTGTCATCGCTGTGTTCATGGTCGGATTTGCGGTTTCTGAGAATCAGAGCAATTGCCTGCACTGTTTTTCCCAAACCCATATCGTCAGCAAGTATTCCACCCTTGGGGAAGATTCCTTTAGTCGTCTTTCGGCCGGTCTCCTTGTCGCACATCCACCACACACCGTCAATTTGGTGAGGCAGAAGGGTGACTTTCAGGCCCTCAACCACACCGTCCTCTTCATCATCTTCCTCATCTTCCTCATCCCCCTCCTCCTCATCTTCCTCATCCGCTTCAGCGTCGCTCTTTTCTTCTTTAGCGACTTCGTCCCCAACAGAAGAACCCTCCGAAGAGGGTTTCACAGGCACGTTGTCGGATTCATTCTCCGTGTCTTTTGCGTCGTTCACTGTGACCCCTTGGAGTTGAGCAGCGAGATCGTCAAGATCGTCGAGATCGTCGGTCGCTTCTTCTTTCTTTGTGTCCTCAGTAATTGGGGGATTCTTCTCCTTCTTGGAGTCCTTAGATTGCTTCTTCTTCTTGCCCTTCTTCTTAGACTTTGGCTTAGACTTGGACTTTTCCTCCTCGTCTTCGAATGCACCCTCCAACAAGGCCTTGATGTTTTCCTCTGCCGCAGCTGAGTCCACATACCCGTACATATCCAAAGTCCCAAAGTCAGTCGATCCACGGGGAACTGAACTGCTGGTAGGGGCATTTTCATTTCGGGTGAGGTCTATGAAGCTTTGTAAATTTTTGGTAGCATTCGACATCTTTGGCGGAAGAGGTTTGGACGTAAAGATTGGCCGAGGGGCACGGGGAGTATTCCAAGTGGTAGCCTCGGGACGCTTGATGCTCACTGAGCCGGGAGGGTTGAGTGGACGAGCGTTGTTATAAGCCGATGGCGCAACAGGCTTGAAGGGATCCCACGGCTCACTACGCTTCGTTGATGGGGTTGCGGCTGGCCCACCTGTAGCTGGTTGGCGGTATACCTGAGGCGCAGCATGGTGACCGGGACGCTGAGATTGCGGTCGATTGGCGGGTCGGTGATGTTCGGCTCGAGATTGGTTGGGCTTCGGAATATTGAAAAGATGGTTTGATCGTTGTGCTTGGCCGATCGGTGAGGGTTTTCCGAATTCCGGTTGCTGTTGAACCTGTGCGGGGCGGGCCTGAGGATTCGGCTTGCCCGGAGTGAGGGGCTCTGTCGGAGCGCTGCTTTCTCTGGCCATGGTGTAGTGAATGAGTGAAGTGGACTGAGGATGCGGCGGGGTGTTGGGTCCGCAGTCGAGGACGCGGTTCGAGTCAGACGGCGGTAGCGATGATTTGACTGATAGGCAAAGCCTCCGATGATCAAATCCAATATGCCACAGCTGGACACGGGAAAAAGAATCTGATCAAGGCGCTGGAATGTCAGTTCAGTCTTGGTGTTCTCGAATGTTGTGGGCTGTTCGGAGATTTCTGGGAAGCAAGGGGCTCCCAGTCGGAAGCTCGAAGGTAGAAATAAAGCTAGCAGCAGTGCATGAGGATGATCTCACCTTGGTTGTCGATGGGTGGTGGGGTTGAGCAGAGAAAGGTCGACGTTATCGATATCGATTTGTTTTGGTGTGCGGCTCAGATTCCCTAGCAACGGGAGGCCTGAGGCAGAACTGGCAAACAAAGAAAAAGCATTCTGTCTTTCGGTCATGATAGCCCACCATACGGACTTTAAACATCTTCTACGGCGTTCGAAATGAGTCGCGTTCCAAAATCACTAAGCGAATTTTCCAAATATCGCTAGTCCTTACAAAAGGGATAAATTAAACCGAGTAGCCCTCAAGTAAGCACTTGCGTTGATCTCATCTGTCAGCTATGAAATGAAATGTTTACCAATATGGTCATATTCCATCAACTTTGACTTTTCCCAATATTAGTGAATACAATATGGAGTGATTTGTATCGGGAGTAAAGAGAAGGGTCATTTGCTATGTACAGACAAGGATTTCTAACCATTCAGGACATTGAACTAGGACGTTGACCAAAACAGGTAGGGAACACCCATACGCTTGACCTAATAGTCCATTCAATAATCAACTCAAGTGCCCCAGGGTGAGTTTTATTCTTCTTTCCACATGGATGGAACACTGTATCACAATTAGCTGGGGTGAATGAATTGTCATGCTTCACACTTACGCAACCTCAACCACGGCACATCTTCCACCCTCAACAACACTCCTTGCCTCAGCAAGAGTAGAATCAAGGTCAACTTGTCTAGTGACTGTTTTCCCCCAAGCATTTCCAGCTGCAGTCGCAATTCCGGGATAATCAGGCGAGGGTTCAAACGAGATATTAAGATCTGCAGCAAATTAGCTATCGTGCATTGATATATCCACTCTCTATCTCTCCAATTACCTCGTCGGTTTGACTTAGAGGCTAAGCCATCCTTGTGAACAAGAAGAGCCGAGACCTTTGGTGCATTCCATCCATTGTTGTTCAGCACGATCATTAGGAATGGAACGTCGTATCGTCTAGCGATCCAATATACGCTCTCCATTTGGGAGAACAGATATACACCATCGCCAACACTTTAAGTACTGTCAGCTAGCTTCACAGAAAAAGAGCTTGAATATTGAAGCACTCACATTCCACAAACGAATGAATTGGGCTTAGCCAGTTTGACTCCCAGTGCTGCACCGCCGCCCCATCCAAGCCCACCGGCACCACTGCCAATGAGGCTCCCTGACTGAGAATAATTAGCAAAGATATCAAATATCATGAACTTACACATACCTGAGTCAGATTGAGATGATGAATGATAATTCCTGCGTTCGTGACAGCCTCTATGGCATATGTAGTGTCCTGTGGAAGAGTATCTCGCAACCGTGAGGTCAAATATGGTACACTGATAATACCATCCTCTGATGGCTTTTCAAGATTCTGCAGAGAGCTCCTCCACTTCTTGTGATCGATCGATCGTTCCTTGAATGCCTGAACGTATTGAGCGGTGTCAATATCAGTCTTAGCTAAGAAATCATTGATTTGCTTCAGAGCAATTGCGCAGCCGACTTTAAATCTGCGAGTGGCATTGATGGAGAAGACTATTCGAACAAAGTTAGTTGTACGAAGTGAGGAAGAATTTCGCAGGTACTTACGTGGCATTTGCTGCTTCAGTGGATCAATGTCGAGATGGAAAATCTTTGTGCCAGGTCGAGGCTTGCCAGCTGTGGGGATCCAAGGCACGTCACAGTCCAAAATGAGGATGACATCGGCTTCCAAAACCTCAGGATGGGTGCTAACGGTACAGCCCCGATAGGCCTCGTGTGAGCTGCTTAAGCATAGGTCGGAGCCAATCTGCTCAACTACGGTGATTGGTAGCCTATCGCAAAGATCCTCAAGGAGGGCGGGTGCTTGATGGTTACGACCAAGAGACGTGGTGATGACAAGCGGATGCTTTGCGTTTATCAATTCCTTGGCGATCAATTCCACATCTGCTAAATTCAGCCAAGGTCAATCAGAGAGTGCACACATCTTACCTGCTTCTGGCAATGCGCTTGGAGCAACGGAAGTCAAAGTATCTGCCTCCAGACATTCCCTGGGAACACGCTAATTACGCGAAACCTCCTCGTCAGCCATAAAATCGGAGATATTTGCATCTTTCAACTTACTTCCTCGAGAACCTCTCTTGCAGCCATTAGATATGCCGGTCCCTTGGGGTCAGATGTTGCAAATTGCAAGGCCCTCGCTACCATTTGCTTGATGTTGCGACCTGTCTTGATCTCGCCAGTGTATCTGCAGTACTGTCTCACAATGGCAGCTTGATCAGGAATATCCTGAAGCCAGTGGATAAATCTATACCATCATCAGCCAGAAACGCAACATTCATCTCATCGAAGGAACTGACTCCGTTCTTGACCCCAACAGCTCACCATTCTGAGTGAACGGACTCAGGCCAGCAAAGCATAGAACAGGGACTCTGCCAACTGATGCGTTATGAACAGATTGTCCCAAGGCAAGAGTACCACAATCCACGTGCACAAGAACACATTGCTAGTTAGAAGTCAGTAAAGAGCGGTGTGATCTAACTCCATATGATCATACCGGAACTCCCGTAACCTGGGCATAGCCTAAAGCTGCTGAAAGAGCAACTAGCTCAGAAGGACAAGTGATGATGTTTGGAAAATTGACTTTGTTCTCTGTTTTCAATCAGCCCTGGACATCGGAGCTAGTCTTGGAGGGATTCACCTTGCTTAGCCTTGATCATCGCCTCCAACATAGCGGGATGATCGCTTCCTCTATTGAGCTGTTAATATTCAGTATCTGGAGGGATCTGACAAGCCATACAGGTTCACAAAGCAATGGGTGATACCGGCCTCAGCTGAAGACAATATTAGTCTTCTACATATCGCTCATCGGACAAGATTACTTACAGATAGCCTCGAAGAAGTTCTCGGCAGCAGTCGTGAGCCGACCATCTTTCACGATCTCATCCTGATCGTCATCTTCCTTTCTTCTCTTTTGCGGGATTGAAGATGCAATGGTCATGATGTAGGAGGGTACTGAAGATTGCTTTATGTTGTCTGTTCGTGGGGAAAGGTCAGGTTTATATACTGTGCATAACCCCACACGCCAATATCTCAACTCGAATGAATTCCCAGTTAGCAAATATCAGGGGCTGGCCAAAGACTTTTACGGTGGGCCATTGCTCGATTGCACAACAGCTAAGGGGATCTGATCGGCAACTGGTGTCTGGTTGAGCCTTGCGGGATCTCCGCGATTGGCTGAATACTCAGTCTGGGATCCACACCTATAGATCCACCACGATCGGTTCATTGCGCTCACATTCATTGAGGCTGGGGTACATAATATCCCGAGGATGCGGATTGTAGACACCATTGTGGTAGGACAAACTTCTTTCAAATGAGGTGTTGAATTAAGATCAATTGGCCTAGTGCCTGACCCCGTGACAGAGATATCCCTTTGAATCCAATCGTTATGAGCTGCTTTACTCTATTTCATCTTCAGTAACCCTAACTGGAGATCTTTTCTCGGGACCAATAAAGATCATAATCAGGTTGTAGGCATAAACAGATCCCAAGAAAATGCAAATGACTTTGCCATAGTTGAAGCGCTCGACAACTGTACCATCTGCGTTAGTCATTGATGGGAGCGGAAATCGTTCACCAAGCTTGGCCTCAATCGTCGAGGAGGCTGAGGACGCAAGGTTGCCAAATTGATATGCTGACCCAACAAAGAAAGTATGGAACGTGGCAGGAGATTGCTCCATTATATAGACGGGGATGACACTCCAAGCCCCTTGAACACAGAATTGCTCGAAGAATGCCGCGACCATGACAGCTTTGGATCTGGTGTATGTGTAGGGATATATAATCGCCCCGCCAATGATACAAACGGTCATCATGCTGAATCTTCGTCCGAATATTTGAGAACAGTACCCTGAAATGGTACCACCAGCCATGGCTCCTAGATTGGCGACAACTTGGGTGACAGTAATAGCGTCGGATGAAAATTTGAAGTCATTTTTCAACATAGTTGGATATAGGTCTTGTGATCCGTGCGCTGTAAAGTTGAACCCAGTGGTAAGGAGAACAAGATAGACAAGCAATAGCCAATGGCGCTTGATAGCGAGGCGTCCTTCAGAGATGAAGCTTGTGGCCAGATTTCCTTGCTGCGCCCTACTGGACTGTCGATCCCTGAAGGCCTTTGTCTCTGGTAGGCAAAGTCGAAAGAGAATGATAAGAATAGGGGGACAGGCTGCAAACCAGAAGAAAGGCCTCCAACCGTGATCAGTTGTATTGACTAGTGCTCTTGAAAAAGCAGTAGCAAGTAAGTAGCCAAATGCATATCCTTGCTGCAACAGACCTGATACAAGCCCGCGAGCCTCCGGTGGACAATCTTCGAGTGCTGTGACTGCCGCATTGCCGTACATACCACCCATCGCGATGCCGAAAAGAGCTCGGACAGCAAGGAATTGTGGATAAGTCTGACAGAAGGCCGTGCCGAGCTCAAGGACAATAAACAGCACGTTGTTGATTATGAAAGGCCTAGGTAGAAGGTTAGATAATGGAAAGTTCGTCTAGAATACCTCGACAAACATACCACTTTCGTCCATATCGATCAGCTGCAATTCCAAATATAATAGATCCAACAGACCGGAGCATAAGAACGAGCGTTATCCCCCAGGTTATGTCCGTAGTGGATTTGTCAAAGGTCTCGGCCAAATCAGAGACCGTGAGCGAGACCGTAAAGAAATCAAACGAGTCCCATGACCATGCAAGAAATGAGACTGCGAAGAAAGCCCATTGTTGGCAGTTCAACATGGCTAGAAGTTTGAATGGATTGGCCGCATTCGTCATAGGAGGCTTTAATGAAGTGAGTCTAGTCGCGACATACTCACGAATTGAAACTCGACCTGAAAGCTCAACATGATCTTCATAGGAAGATTGATCGATTGATTGTTCTTCATCTCGAGAGAGCTTTGAGTCCAAAGGCTTTTCCATTCCTAAGAGGATTGATGCACATGTACGCACACCAGGTTTTCCAAGGACCTTTCTTGCACAGACAGATACATAGTAATCAAAGACAATTCTTTCATTTATAGCTATTTGAATCGATTAGACCTCGAGATAACAATCCATATCCGACTAGATAACCGTCAGTTGAATTGGTTAGTTTGTTTCCCCGCATTACAAGATATCCCCGAAAGAGTTGCTTTCCCGTCTCCAAAATACGAAAACCGGGATCAATGAATGACTGGCTATCATCCTTGAAGATATCAGTCCTAGTTTCGTTCTGTATTTAAAAGATATCTAGTAAATCATGATCGTGATAATCTAGCTTGATTGGAATTGAAATCAATTGATTGAGAATACAGCTCGGCATCGGGGCAGCCTTGCTGATTGGCTCAGATAAAAGAGCATCATAACAACCCCAATTCTAGGAGACGATACGTACGTATCAAGTAGGGTTTCTACCCCAAGAACCAAGCGGCGACAAGGAAACCGGTCAATTTTAGGTCAATTGTAATATTACTATAATGCACGAAGCTGGATGCAATAACCTTTTGTTGATTTCCAGAGATCCATTTACAGTCCAACCCTTTGATATTTCACTCCTTGGGGCAAAAATGACCTCCACGGAAACTTCAGCGTCAAGAGTAGTCACGGTTGCTGCTTGCCAGCTTGGTCCTATTCATCTTGCAACTTCGCGCGAGGATGTATTGAAGCGCATGATTGCACTTTTGGAACAGGCCGCAAAACAAGGTGTGAAGCTGGCCGTGTTTCCTGAGCTTGCTTTCACGACATTCTTTCCTCGATACTTGCTTGAAGAAAATGAACTGAGCCACTACTTCGAAACCGAGGATCAAACTAAGGGAGGTGCCGAACAATGTGCCAATATCAAGCCCATGTTGGATCATGCCCATTCTCTCTGCATTGATGTTTACATCGGCTACGCAGAGAGAAGTATTCAAAGTAACGGCTCTCATATCGACTATAACTCCAGCGTCTATTATTCTGCCCACGCAAACAAGATTGTCGGCAAATACCGCAAAGTTCACCTTCCGGGCACCGTTGAGCCTCGAACTGAGCCAGGTGCCTACCAACAATTAGAGAAACGTTACTTCCGTTCTGGAGACCTTGGATTTCCTGCATTCAGAGCTCCGGGACTTGTGGATGGTGCGCTGAAAAAGTCAAATGGCGTTGAAGATAATGCAAGTACAGTTGGAAAGGGCGATCCCATCATCGGCATGCTAATTTGCAATGATCGTCGATGGGCTGAAGCCTGGCGGGTTTATGGCCTCCAAGGGATGGAGATCATGTGCTGCGGATATAATACAACAGCTTTCCCGACATCTGCCAGCGGACACATGCTCGATATGAGTACAGAGGCTGCGGAGGACATGGTCATGTTGCACCACAAGCTTTCTTGTCAGGGAAATAGTTATATGAACGCTTGTTTCAGCATCAATGTCGCTAAAACGGGCGCTGAGGATGGTAACCCTTTGATTGGAGGTACAATGATTGTTCATCCTCTTGGACACATTATTAAAGAGGCTGCCACCAACGAGGATGAGTTGGTTGTTGCGACAATCGATTTGGCCGATTGTCACCGGCCCAAGAGCACGATCTTTGCGTTCGAAAAACACCGGCGAACTGAGCACTATAATATGATATTGGAGCGGACTGGAATGGTTGAGCCAGATCTGTTGTAGCTAGAAGAAAAAGCATACTGAATGAATACCAAACATGATTGACCTTCTTGATAACTTATGCCTGATAGTTTCTTGCATCTACGAATATCAAATTAAGGGTGAACACTAAAACATCAGGACTTTACAAGCCGCTTAGTTTGCTGTAGGGGGATACAGAAATTGAACGATTTTACACCGAATATGAGCGTCAAGCAGGTAACTTCGTACTGTGACCTCAAAATTCCAACCTGTCTGGGATGTTGCGGGGTCTGGATTGAACGCAAATGCAGCCTCGGAGTATTTCTTCTGCATTCTTATCTTTGAAACGCTCAGCTCAGTCATAAGTCTTTATCTTGGTCCCCTCTGCAGATCGAGGGAGTACTGATAACGAGTGTAAAAGTTGGAGCAAGTACTTTTGCACTAGCGTAAATTCCCCAACACGAAAATGATTGCCCCCAAATATATCCATCTGGAACTTGGTAGCTCGAGACGTATGAATCTATTTTGACCAGCAAAAGATCACGGTCCTTCGTCGAGTTATCTTTAATAGCGAAGTAGTAACAATGGGTTTGGAAACCATCGTGAAAAATGGCCTGATTGTGAGCATACCTACTTTTATTCCTATATCATTTCGGGAGCGAAGTAAAATGCATTTCATACTCTTACAGTTTATGCGAAGAGCTAACGAATATTCAATCAGGTCACAGAGGGTGGAATTCTTCCAGCTGGGCAAAGCATAGGAATTGCGGATGGGAAGATAACTGTGATAGGTTACGATCTTCCTGAAAGCCCCGACACGGAGGTGATTGATGCTGCAGGGGCATATATTACTCCTGGAGGGGTAGACTCTCATGTTCATCTTGCCCAGAGAAATGCGCCAACTGGAGATAACTGGGAAACTGGCACTCGCAGCGCCGTGGCTGGGGGAACCACGACAGTTCTCGCCTTTGCATCTCAAACAAAAGAGATGACATCGCTTTTCCCAGTGCTTGAAGATTACCACGAGAAATCTCGAGGCCAGTCGTACTGTGACTACGGGTTTCACTTCATTCTCACGAATCCCACCGAGGTGATTCTCAGAGACGAGCTTCCTTTGATTGCGAAGAGGGAGGGAATTACCAGTGTTAAATTGTACATGACCTATGAACTGTACAGACTGTCCGACCGTCAGCTCCTCAATACAATGCTGGCTTGCCGTTCACTGGGGTTAACTACGATGATCCACGCTGAAAATAGCGATATGATCCAATTTCTGATCGAAGGCCTGGAGAGAAACGGCAACACTGCTCCATTTTTCCACGCGATTTCCGGCCCCAAGATTGCAGAAGATGAAGCCTCATACCGCGCGATCTCTCTCGCAGAGCTTGTTGATGCACCTATATTACTTGTTCACGTTTCTTCCGACAAGGCAATGAGCCACATCAGAGACGCCCAGACAAGGCTTCTACCTATTCATGCTGAAACATGCCCGCACTATTTGTTCTTGTTATCTGATAAGCTAGAGTGCAAGGAGCACGACCATTTCCATGGTGCGAAAGGTGTATGCTCTCCTCCTCTTCGTCATAATGTAGCAGATCTTGAAGGGTTATGGCGTGGTATCGCAAATGATACCTTCACCGTCTTCTCTTCAGATCATGCTCCTACCAAATATGATCATCCACAGGGAAAGAAAGCCGGCATTATCAACGGAATACCGAAGTTCAGCAAAATCCCCAAGGGTATCCCAGGGGTCGAAACACGGTTATCTCTTCTCTTTAGCGAGTCAGAGGCTTGTCTCCCGGAACATGAAGCTAGATTAAACTTACCACGCTTTGTGGAGCTTACCTCTGGTAATCCGGCAAGATTGTACGGTTTAACACAAAAGGGGTCTATTCTACCAGGATTTGATGCCGATTTGGTAATCTGGCACCCACAGGATAAAGGAGAAAGAATAATTCAACAAGAAAACCTTCATCATGATGTGGACTATACACCATTTGAGGGAATTCGAGTCAGAAATTGGCCTCGCTTCACGATGTTGCGTGGCAAAGTTGTTTGGGATGCGGATGAAAACCGGGTGACGGCAGAGAAAGGGACAGGAAAATTTCTAAAGCGAGAAAATGGACGTGTGTTGGTGGGAAAACTGGGCCAGCTTCCTTCTGGCATGCGTGACGGTGAGCGTGATATGTGGCTTCCGAGTTCTGGTGTATAACTCAAACGGTTCAACATATAAGTAACGTAGCTAGGCCGGGTCCGTTCTGAAATCGAATCAACAGCTTACCTGGACATACCTCTAGAGCTTTGTCATTGAGAATTATTCAATTGAACTGAATGAAAGAGCATAATATCATGATGCTTGAAGTTCAGTACCATGCAATTCTATTGAGAAGCTTGCAAAAGCGCCGAAACCTCGCGGGATATTCAGAGACAAGCCATAATTCAACTTTCAGGTGATTCACAGCTATTTTCTGTATATCCGATGATATGAGCCGTGTTCTAGACGCATTGATCATCGGGGAACGGCAACAAGAGTTTGGGGTTTCTACCCCGAGTTAAAGAGGGGGCGAAAACCCTGCTCCTCCCCTCTTAACCACCTGTTGAGATCTGTGGTATGGCGAGACCGTAAGCTTGAATTGTTTTATTACTGATAAGCTACTTGCTTCCACGGACATTCGCTGAACAAAATCTTCTAAACACCACAACCAAATATCAACAATGGATACAAGCCATAGCGAATTAGTCTTACCATGTGTTTCAGGGGCACCCACCAGCCGACAAATCCACATTCTACTCGTGAATCCAAATTCAACAGAGTATATGACGAAGCAATGTTTGGACGCTATAGCATCTAGTCTGCCTTCAGATGTCACCGTACATGGTTTCACCGCACGTCACCCTGGACCTACTGCGATAGAATCACAAACAGATGCGGTGCTTTCAACGGAAGCCTGCATCCGACAAATCAAACCAATTGCAGATAAATATGATGGGTTTTTGGTTGCTTGTTTTCGAGCGCATCCTTTGATTGCTGTTCTCAAAGAGGAGCTGGAAGCCCCTGTTCTCGGAATCATGGAAGCAGCCATGTATGCCTCACGCATGATTGGCGAGAGTATGGGGATCATCTGCACGTCAGACCGCTCCATGATGGTTCATAAGCGTGCTGTATCTTCTTATGGATTCTCAGACTTCTTTTCTGGTTGCGAGTCAGTGCAACTTGGGGTCTTAGAACTTGATTCAAAACCGAAGGAAGAGGTGCAAGCAATTGTATCCCAAAAAATAGACACACTGATTCAAGAGAAGCATGCAGACTGTATCTTGTTAGGATGTGCTGGAATGGCAGAGATGCGCGCTTTTTGCGAGGCTGCGGTTGATGGCACTGGCGTGAGAGTGATAGATGGGGTTGGAATTGGTATACAATTCCTGCTCTCCTTGATAAAAGAGAACCTTAGGACTGCCAAAAGTGGGATTTATCGAGAAACTATAGTAGACAGGCTGAGACGTAAACAGGATTGGTTTTGAAGGTAGCCGCCGCTATTGTCGATATTTGTTAGCAGCAGCTTATTCATGCTTTTACCGACCTCGAACTAATTTAACTTTCCTCAACAGAAAAATGTTTGATATTGATATTATTTCATAGGCTCGAAAGAAAGACCCGAGTTCCAAACTAGTTGGATGAACACTCCAACAAGCTCAAAGTTTGCGGGGATTCTGGCGACACTATTTCCAGCTGTTGTCTCCCTTGCTCACTTTCTTGCAACAGTACAAATTAAATTCAAAGAAAGTATCACAAAGTGTAGTTGTCTTGATGCAATCACGTGTGGCACCATAAGAACTAGGGAGATAACGGCCTTGGCGTATCTTTCCTGAACATCCATCGAGTTACTCAGGGCTGCAATCTTGGGAAATCCACAACCTCATAGAATCATTATCTTAAGTCTCTAACATGCGACCACGTGTTGAGGTTGCACCATGCCGCTATTGCAAGAGAGAATTTGCTCGAAGAGAACACCTGCTCCGTCACGAAAGAACTCGTATGAAGCCTCCACTCGTGTACCCACCTCCCAATCCAAACAAACTAAGACAATGCAGACACTCGTGAAAAGCCTTTTGGTTGCCGATGCAGTAAACGCTTCACCAGGAGGTAAGTCGGTGTGGGTCTTCCTATTATTTGATAGACATAATGTAACAAACGTCAGGGACCTTCTGTCGCGTCACTTGAGACTAAAAAACGACACTTCGTGCCATGCCGAGATTGAAGGCGGAACTGGCTTACAAGTTGTTGGACCTGAAGTGAATATATCTCAGCCGCTTACCACGTTGCCAAATAATGTTAGGGGGTTTCAGTTGACACCACATGGAGCAACAAATTCCAACATCTACTCATCAGCAATCCCATCCGCTGATCAAACAAGTTCACCTAGTGATATAAACACAGCTATGGCATTGATATCGACGGAACCTCCTATTGATCCACAGCAAAACTTCTATGACCAAGATTTACAGGATCTAAGCATCTTATGGAGTGGAATGGATGCAAGCATATCTCTGGAAGGGTACTTCTCCACGGGATTCGGAGTCCCAACTGAGCTTATCTCGTTGCCTGAGTTTGATATACCAGGATCGGCGAATTCTGCATTATCGGGGCCACTAGTCCATGAAATGCCATACGAAGCAAATTCTGAATGCCCTGTTTCAGACGATGATGCATCTTTATGCAACTACCAACTTCCGTCTCTTCAGCAAAATGACGACAGCAGTTCTCAAGATCAAGAAAGGCGTCACAATATTCAAGACATCCCCTTGAAACGATGTGTTGACCTCCCTTTGAGCTATCCATGGCGAATTAGCAGGGAGGATTATCAGGAGATTATTACTCGTATTGAGAGCTTTCAATACCTTCTGCCGAACTCTTTCACCTTTCCTTCAAAATACGTGTTTTGCCGATATGTTGAGGGCTACTTCACCGGAAGCCATGCGCATTTGCCATTTTTACACCTGCCTACTGTTAAGGTTGCCCAATTGATATCACCATTAATCCTTGCAATTATGGCCATGGGAGCACAGTACAGATTTGAGCGAGACCGAGCCCTGTCCTTTTACCGTGCCTCGAAAGCATTGATTGATCGCCATATCAGCGTATATTCCCAATCAAATTCTCTGCACAGCCCTGGGTCGCAAACAGAATATATGGATGCCACAGAGAAAGAGCAATTTGAAATTTTGCAATCCCAAATAATTCTTACGACACTGGCTACCTGGGGTTATAAGGACCTACTGCAGGATTCTGTCACAATGGCAGATCATATGTCTCTCTATCTTCGCAACAGCGAATTGCTCTTACATGATCGCCATTCGACTGAGCAATCCTGGGAAGTGTGGATTCTACAAGAGGGGCAAAGGCGCACGAAGCTTATTGCTTATACGCTTTCCAATATCCAAACAATCCTATTTAACATGCCCCCGAAGATTTTAAATAGCGAAATTGCCTCACTTTATCTCCCTTGGCCGGATGAGCTTTGGGCCGCCTCTAGCGCACAAGAGTGGCAGGCTCTTCACTCAAAGCGACCATCCTGCGTTTCATTTCGTGACGGGTATTCTCGGCTTTTTCAATCCAGAACATCGTCCCGAGAACGTATCAGTTTGTCTTCATTTGGAAACCTGCTACTAATCCATGCTCTCTTTCAGCACATATATCTGGCATGGGAATCTGCATTTTGCCTTGGGACCTCCGAATCAGAGCAACCCTTTTCCTTGCCACAGGAACTCCGCACACAACTCTATACAGCACTAAAGCGGTGGCAAAGCAGCTGGGAGACAAGCTCAGATCCTTCGACAATTCCATCATCACCCAAAGGCCCGCTGGGATTCAATGCGACAGCAATCTTTCGCATAGCGTGCCTCCGGGTGCACTTGAACCTTGGCCCCCACCGCAACATATGCACCTGGGATCCAGAAGCCATTGCAGCCGCATTCTCCAATGCACCACGGCCCATCCAAACCCCACAAGTCTATCACGCGGTGCTTCAATCCATACATTCCCTTTCCATTCCGGTGCGACTTGGCGTGGAGTATGTCGCCAAGACACAGGCCTTGACATGGAGCACTATTCATTCGCTTTGTAACTTGGAATGTGCATTGTTTCTATGTAAGTGGCTTGAAGCGCTTGCGATGGAACAGAAAGACTTGCATCGTGATACAAGACGCCTTCTCAGAATCATCAATAGCGTGCTGTGTGAAGCAGACCTGAGCCCGTCAGAGGATAATACCGAAGAGATTGGAAGTGATCAATTACGGCAGATGGGTGCAGTCTTGATTCGGCTATTGTCTGATATCTTGAACGGCACACATGTGTTTCCGATGATGGATGTATTCTGTCAGGCGCTCCGAGCTTACGCTGATAAACTGACGGATGGTCTTCGCTCCTACATGCCGGAATAAAGATTAGTATATGGATTAAAGCAAATATCAAGGGCGTCGATGGGGCATTACGCGGTCTATTGGAAAATACAGATTACTGCTGTAGAGTATGCACTTATCCGTAGAAAGGACTCGATCGGCAGGTTGGGCTCAGCGTCTCGGGATCTCCGCGATTGGCTGAGTTGCAGTCCAGTGACCCACAGCTATAGATCCACCAAGATCCAGTTCATCGCACTGATATTCATTCCGACATCGCCGATTTTCGAACTTATAAGGGCGCACCGCACTCCTTGATAGTGGAAGAACAATTCTCCCGGAACAGTCTCAAGCCTCGACATATTTTTTTTCCAACCCGTTGCAACAATGTTTACCCAAAAGATATCTGACCAACTGGACTCTAAAGGTGCTCCTTTGTGGCGTCAGGACCATACCAACTTGTTTCATGGCATAGAGTCCAAAGGTGATAGCGCGATGTTCAAAAGTTCGGTGAGCAAGCTAGGATCTGCTTTGGAGAGCAATAGATTGACTGTTTTGCCAGACAGCAAACAAGCCCCTGGCAATGAGATGGGACGGTATGTTGTTACTCATTCACATGTCTGCTCGTCATTTTTTTTTTTTTTTAACAATGAGATAGATCGACTCTCTGAGGAAGCTAGTAGGAGAAAGGTATATCTTTGACCAGTTTTGACATTACTCCGGTGCTGTTTGTTAATGGCTCCTTGCATTAGCCATCCAGCATCAAAGCAGCGGCTCGAGCAGCAAGTGCGCCAGGTAAGTTGGAAAATTTCTCCGAAGCCAACATTTCAATATTGACCTAATACGTTTAGGAATGATATCCTTGGGAGCAGGTGCTCCACCAGAAGTATATTTCCCGTTTGAAAGCATCCAACTCCAAGTCTCGAACGCGATCGGCAAGGCAGGTGATGCAGGAAAAGATTTATCTATGCTTAGTCTGGCAAAATATGACTTTCAGCCCGGCATCAATGACTATAGTATGTTGAAGTTACATTGAGTCATTCTTAAGGTCCCACTAGTATCCGAAATACTGATAAGTTGGTTCAGGTCTTGACGTTGCCTTAAACTATGGCCAGGGCAGTGGCTCTGCACAAATGCTTCGCTTTGTCACTGAGCATACTGAAGTATGAACGCCTGATGGCCTACTCAATTATTTACAGATCAAGACTGACCATAACTGATAGCTCGTTCACAACCCTCCATATCTGGACTGGGCATGCTGCATGACAGTCGGCAGTACCTCAGCATGGGATTCGACCTTAAGAATTTTCTGCGAGAAAGATGATTATATCATTGTGGACAAGTATTCTTTCTCTAGCGCTTTGGAGACAGCCTGGGCACTTGGTATCAAAACTCTGCCTGTGGCAATGGATGACCAAGGGCTACTTCCAGATGATTTGGACAAACTTCTCTCGACGTGGAAGCCAGAAAAGCGTAATGCTCGAAAGCCATTCCTTCTTTACATGGTCCCGACCGGCCAGAATCCAACTGGTGCCACGCAATCCCTCGAACGCCGGAAAGCCATTTACGCCGTTTCTCGGAAGCATAATCTCTACATTGTAGAAGATGAGCCATACTACTATTTACAATTACCCTCTTTCAATTCTTTGGGTTCTTCCTACAGCGAATCCAAAGCTTGTGAGCTCATTCCATCCTACCTGAGCCTGGATGTCGATGGACGAGTTTTGCGCCTTGACTCGCTTTCAAAGGTTCTCGCCCCGGGTTCAAGGATGGGCTGGGTTACAGCATCTGAGCAAGTGGTCGAAAAGTTTATTCGGTTAAATGAATCGTCTTCTCAACACCCCAGTGGCTTCTCACAGGCTATCATCTACAAACTTCTCAATCACCATTGGGGTCATTCCGGCTTTTTCAAATGGCTCGCGAATATACAGTCCGAATATGCGTGGAGAAGAGATGCTCTGTTACAGGCTTGTGAGAAATATCTTCCCAAGGATATTGTCAGCTGGGTTCCATCCCATGCAGGCATGTTTGTGAGTACTCCTTTCACTATCATTTGGGATGACTTTTAATGGCTCGTAAAGCAATGGATTGAGATAAATTGGAAGTCTCATCCTACGTACAAATCTGGTTCTGGGCATCAAGCGATCCAGGATGCCATCTTTGCATCCGCTGTTGAACAGAAGGTCTTCTTGACACCGGGTACCTGCTTTTGGTCTGACATAGATTCAAAAGAGGACCAGATGTTCTTTCGCGCTACTTATGCTTCAGCTTCTCAAGGGGATCTTACGGAAGCCGTCCGGAGATTTGCGAACGCGATCCAGTGTCAATTTTCATAAAGTACTCTCGGAAGTTAAGGATATCATACCTTCTATTTCTTGTGGGCTCAACTCAGCGATATTTATTTCATAAGCGCTTCAGCCGTCTTGAATCGATACTGGCTACAATGTTCATGGTTTGTATACGGAGTACACAAAGGCTAACCCTAAATTGATTCATTTCAACTAACTCAAACACTCTAGTGTGAGTGATAGATCATAGATATTACACTATTTTCCACCCGTAACGGTTGTTTGGGTTACCCATAATCCCATTGAGATTATAGTCACAGAAGTTGAAGCAAAAACGCAAGTTCTCCATATAAAACTCTTTCAGGTGAGGGAGAAAGCCGTCGACGAATAATTCATAAGATCTGCAGAGAAGGTTGAACTTTTGTGCACTCAGTCGCGAGGCTTCACTTTCACTCAAATTCTGCTCCCTCATACATAGCCGAACAAGATTCAACAAAGCAGATCCGTCGTCTTCGCTCTTCATCGCGGCGAGGTCCTTGTATAAACCAATTATGTCGTGGAACACAGCAGCAAGTACTCCAAGTTGACCGATACAGGGATCATTGGCCATATATAGCTCAGCATTCGCTGATGTCATGGAAAGAATGGCAGGCACCTGGATGCCAACTGTGGATCCTCTTGTCTTGAGAACTTGATGTGATGTTTGCTCAATGAAGAAATGGTGACCTTCTTCATATTGAGCGTCAAAAAAGATATCAAAAGCGTCGATGCAAGCTTGGAAGTGACGAGGTTGAAGAAGCTTCCTCTTGAGAGGCATCAGGTCTTCTAAAAAGATGCGCTGTACATTAAGCGCCGTTTGAAGTAGCTCATCTGGGCATTGGCCTCTAAACTGCATTATGTCTTCAATAGACTCGTTTCTCATGATGCATTTGAGATTTTGGAGGTAGACTTTGCCGGCAGTGTTGTGCAGCTTGTATCTTGGAAGCATCTCGGAGACTTCATCCATCAGGAATATCCACGCTGTATGTTTATGAAGTAGAACCCTGCGATCGTAGCTAAGGTCCGACTTGAACGCGCAGTAGTGCGACATGTTGATGCCATGTTTTGCAAGCTTTGGACTGAACAAACTCAGAAATTCCCATTTTTGTATGTCGGAGGCCAGTTGTACTTCGATTTCCAGATCATATTGAAGCTTCAACGAGGGTGGGAAGTATATCGGACAATCCTCCGTGGGCGTATGCATGAGATCCTCCACTCTGTCCCAGTCACTGAGAAAGCTCAAGCGAAGATCATTTTGGTGATGTTTAAATGCAACGTCTTTGTTATCAACATAAAATGGATGTTCTTGGTAGGTGGACGGTTTGTCTGATGGGAGACAGGGAGTTGAACCTAGCGTTGGGATTTTTCGAGGTCGAACCTCGGCCTGATAAATTAGAGCCGAGACCTCAAGTGCCATTTTTAATAGTAAATGTATCTTGAACAATAAATATCATGGTACGTGTTGGGGCTTACGGTCGTATATAAGCCATTTGAGCCAGCCCTCTTTGCCGGCCTGCACACCGTTGCTAGCTAAGACGCCTGCGTTTGCAAAGCCTTGCACCACTCTTGAAAAGCCACCATTATCACTATTGAAATTACGCAAGACGCAGACTATGCTTAACTTTACTGAGGTCTCACTGCATGTACAGCAGTCTGTCAATGCCTTAAAACTAAAAATGAACTTTGCCGCTAAACTTTTATTTATTATTACTGGCACTTCTCATGTATGGTTTTGTGATATCTTGATGCATGCTATTACTTTCACAGTGCTTAATGAACCTGTATACATGCCGTGTAACTTGCTTGGTTTCACTATTACTGGCTGCTTATCCCAACTCTCACGTAAAGGTGTAAGTTATTGCGTAGGTAGGTAAGGTCAGTGGAAGGGAGTGAGAAAGGGAGTCATTACTCTTTAAAATTTAATTCACTACGGAGCGGCCCGTACCACTGAGTAGCTATCTCTAAAACATTAAATCCATATTGAGCGTAAGCCTCTGGCCAATTGCCGTACGCATGGGATGCCACAGGTGCCGTTGTACATGATATGGGCCCAGGCCTGGTATCTACATTGCTGACGCACTGGCAATCACATAATGCAATTTGAACTAGCCTATTACTTGGCTCCGCTGACTGCGTTTATGTCCGGGTTCAGCCAGCCCTTGTGCTTCGCCAACTGGCTACTGTATCTTCGGCCTAGGTCTGACAAATAGACAATGCAGACATTGAGGGTCCGGGCGTTAGGTTTGAGTGCAGCTGGTAGAGATATTGAAGACTCCTCCATTTGCTCTTTTTTTAGATATGAATATCCCACCATAGAGTATGGAGACGATTAGACTGAACTCTGCCTAGTAAAAGGTCAACTGGTCAGCCACCGTAGGACTGGACGGATTAGTCAGCATACCAAATTCGCTTCAACTTCACGCTTACATGTTCGTTGCGAATTGCAACAGTTTCACAGAAAAACTCGGATCAATTTACCTACATATTGATCTTACTGAACAGGTCTAACGGTATTTGGCATATGGAATACAGAAAATAAGCACTACGCCAGTAGCTCCTTCTCCACTTCAAATAAGGCAAAGCAAACACAAACCGCGAAGAGTGGATATTGCTGCAATGTCCCAGAGCATGGGGTTCTCTAAGAATCGCAGGAAGACAACCGAGGCTTGCAATTCATGCCGCGCAAGAAAGCTGAAAGTAAAGGACCCTTCCAAAGGACTGAGTTTTATCCTAACGTGTCTAGTGCGACGGGATGTTCCCTTGCGCATCATGTGAAAAGAACAAAGCAAAGTGCTCCTATGACCCTTCGACGTCTGCAAGTAGAATTACGGGGTAAGTCATATTATGGATGATATCATGCATCTCGTGGCTCATCTTCGACGCAGTGATCTTGATATCATGAATGCAAGGCTCATGGAACTCGAGAGAGCCGTATTTGGCGAAAGAACATATCAACCTAGAAAGACGGTTGAGCTACCAGGTATTCTTATCTCATTCTAATCCAAAGACAAAGACTGATGAATCGCAGATGTGCCAAGGGCGACAAATAACTCAGTGTCTGGTGTTACGTTCGTCGACGAAAAAACAGGAACTATAGACTATTTCGGGTCAACATCCACAATGAACCTTCTGAAATCATTTCACGAAAAAATTCACGGTATATCAGATCCTGTGCACCACGATAAAACCGACGAACATCCGAGCAAGAGACAGCGGCGGGAATCGAATGAGCACCCAGTCGATATCTACCGTTCTTCCCGACCAAAAGTACAGGATATATATAACTCCGACTCCCCAAATATGAGGACCGCGATGACCTCTTATCCATGCGCAGAAGCTATAGGAAACGATCTACACGCCCTCTTGAACGTCGCCTGTAGCGCATTCCCGATTTTCGATGAACAAATGCTACATATTACTTTCAAGGATTACCACGACGGATCGAGGGATCCCGGAGATTCAGATTGGGACTGCTTCGCATATTCTGTCCTAGCTGTTGGGGCTTTATATCAGGCCAATACCCCGGAATCTTACAATCGACATTTCAGCCAAGCACAAAGCTGCCTCGGAACCTTTCTGGGGGTTAACGGATTGAAGACTGTACAGGCAGTTCTATTGATGGTTTGTTCATTTATATTTCCCCTTGAAAGCGATCGAACATGTATTGACAAAAAATCAGGCCATATTTGCTCATTCAACGGCTCAATATAGTCGTACGTCTCTCAGAGTTGTGTATTTCTTACGTGCTGACCGCGTTGTTAGTTGCATACAACTATCTAGGCCTTGCAATTAGACTTGCCTACTCGGCAGGCTTGAATCGAGACTGTGGCCGAGCTTCCCTCAGTAACATACAAGTACAAGAGGCGCGGCGAACATGGTGGACTCTATATAGCCTCGAGTCCGACCTCTGTTTAGAATACGGCAAGCCAATTTGTATTCGCGAAACGGATTCAACGGCATCTTACCCCCAAGAGACCATGGTGAGCATTGCAAATTTCACAAACATTGATGGACCGTCTGACATGAATCCAGGACATAGGAGAAAGTGCTAGTAGATACTCTTTCATAATCGTCATGGCGAGGTTCTCAAGGATCGTTCGCAAGATCATTGACCTGGCAAGACTTATAAATGTTCAACTTTCCCACTCACTACTAATCCTCTCCGACAGATTTCAAATATCGACGAAAATAAAAGTGCGATTGAATCCTTCGTTGGCCGACTCATGAACCTCCAAGCGGAACTCATGACTTGGAGAGGCGAGTTACCTGCACATCTAGCCTCAAAGGATACCACGACGAGCGAGGGAATACGTGCAAGGGAACAGGTTGCATGGGCTCGGCAGCAATGCCGCGAGATTGAACTTCGTGAGTGCCTCAATACCTTCTGCTCCTATCACTAAATACTTACATCCGTGGGTGATATAGGCTTCAACCATGTAATGATCATCATGCATCGCCCATTCTTCACTAATATAACCTTCTCAACGCCATTCTATACATCAAGCATGGCTCGGAATGTTTGTCTTGGTGCTGCTCAAGATACAATCATTTCATTGTACCAGGGACTCATGGAAAGGTCTCTCGATGAGAATCTGTCTCGTTACTATCACCGTGTTATTGCTGCTGCCCTTGTCATACTGACCCTTTCCTGTGATATTTCCGCAGAAGAGAAGACCAAATCACTGGAGACTTGCTCGAAAAGTATAAAGCTTTTTGAGTCTATGAAGTTTGGCTGTCCCGAAAAAGGCATTGCACTCGTTCAAAGTGCCTTGGCTCTTCTGTCCCCTTAGCCATGAGATACCAAACTCAGAATGTCTGCAATGCTCCTTTGGAAGCTAAATATCCAAATAAGAGATTCTCCATTCATTTTCATTTTATTCTCGTTATTTCCGTTCCCCACCCGCTACCAAGTCATGCAAAGCTAAATGAAACACCCAAAATCCAAATGGCATCTAGCCATGTCCCAATAATTACCATTCCCAATGTTACCCCAAGAAATATTCAAATCTCGCCAATGACACTCTTCAGAATCTCAGGCACAATCACCCCAGCATCACCCTGGAAAAACCAATCTCCAAACTGAAGATCACCAGGAGTATCGTCATAATCCATATTACACACAGCGATGCGCGCACCCTGAGAGCGAGCTTCGTCAACATATCCTGCAGCAGGCCATACCCTCGCACTGGTACCAATAACCAGACAAAGATCAATAGGACCAGCGGCAATCCAACGGTCGACTTCTGTAAGCGTTTTCTCGGGCAGAGATTCTCCAAACCATACCACACCCGGACGAAGCAAGCCAGTCTTGCACTTGGGACATTTGGGGAGTTCATCCTCGGTGAGCTGAGGGATTGGATTGCTAGCATCGGAGATGTCTAATTCCTCTCTGGTGCCCAGCACGTTCTGTATACTTCTGGCTGCTTCTTCGCCGGTCTTGTCGGTCGCGGAGGGATTCAGGCCGGCGCAAATTTTAGGAATATCTAGCGCTGGAACGAGCGGGTCTGTAAAGTCGTTTTCGCGCGTATAATCACAATAGAAGGATGTGCATTTGATATTGAAGAGGCTACCATGTAGTAGATGTAGTTGCTTAGATGGGTGGAGTGCTCGTGGGGAGAGACCTAGAATGAGGATGTTAATTTATTAGCTTTCTATTGAATGCAATTCCTTATGACAATGAGGGCAAATTGTACCGTCAACGTTCTGGCTTAGCGTGACGAAGTCTTGATTCCTCCGCGACAGTTCTGCCAGCGCGTAGTGCGCTTTGTTAGGCTCCGCTTGTAGGGCCATGTGTCTTCGGTAACTATAGAACTGCCATACAAGACCTGGAGTTCTCTGGAAGGCCTCTGGGGTTGCTAGAGAGGTTGCATCATATGAACGCCAGAGTCCACCAGCACCACGGAATGTAGGTAAGCCTGATGATGCGGAGATTCCAGCTCCAAGAAGGGCAATGATTCGCTTGCAGCCACTAAGATATTCAGTAAATGACTGGAGATCACCAGCTGGCACGATAGCCCTGGTTGCAGGCATAGGATGTGGCATATTTCAGGTTCGAAGGAGTTGAAGGAGCCAACTTGGAGAGCAGCGGGGAAATATCAACACCTGACTGATAAGGCCACAAGGCAGCAATATAGTTGGAGAAGTTCGCTGCAACAAAGACAGTTGGGCTGTGCAAAGACGATCAAAAGTTCTACTGGAAACAATGACCTAAAACCCTTCAAATTCCAGTCTGAGCCGGAAGGGCTCGCGTTATTGGTCAAAAACGCATATTCTGCGGCCCTCATAACCCCTCGCAGTAGTGCCATTGCCCCAGCCTTGTCAAGCAGATTACTCGTGGACAGTTCATGTCTGAGGTCAGCACAGATATCTTCTTTGACAATCTCCCGGGAGGTCTCAGTCTTACCACAAAGCCAGATCCAAATCCGGACAAAGTTGCAACTCGCAACATGGTCCCAATCAAAGAGACCTCCAGACACAACCTGAGGGGCGTCATAAGAAGAAGAGACGAAAGCGAACCAACAGGACTCGACGATACGCAAGAAAAGCAAATACACACTCGCTCAGGGCCACTCACACCTCCATTATCAGAAGAACCAGAGTTAGCTAAACAAATCCCGTCAGCAAATCACAGGCTCCTATCATTTCGTAAACCACGGCGCAGGCGGCAACCAATAGCAACACAAAGCCAATCTCCTTTGTTTAAAACCTTGCCAGCTGAGATCCGACTGCTCATTTGGGAGCATTACGTCTGTGACCGCAAGCTACATATCGTGAGGACAAAATGGCGACAGGGAAGGGAGGCTCGCTCACGAATCGTTGGGGTTCAATGTCACGAGAAGCATGAAATATGCCCATGCAGTCATCGCTGTTGGGGACAGCTGGCACGCCGACCTGCCGGTGGATGTGTTGGTGGAGGGCGGGGCTCAAGAGAAGTGTCTGGCTATGAAGATGATGAATGGAAGATTGATACGAGAGTTGGTTTCGTGTCTCTGTTGCAGACTTGTCGGTTGATGTGAGTCATTTCCCTTATACTTTGTACAGCGCGATTCGATATTGACATATTGACAGATATACTGAAACAATCGATATGATCTACCGACACAATGTATTTCTGTTCAACCATGCAGATACCATCGTTGATCTACCAGGGATTATATTACCTCGGCGATTGAGCTTGATTCGGACTGTTCAGCTTGGCTTTGCTGATCCTGGGGGTAGCATGTGGGATAAATGCTGTTGGGTCCTTGGCAATGAATTGACGGCACTGGAGACGTTGACTATTCATTTGTTTCCTCATGTCGTAGGCAATTTGGATGTTCTGCTCATGCCGATGCATCAGATCAAGCAGCCCAGAACATTTGAGGTTTGTCTAATTAAACCGTGGTATATGAGGAAGGGCTGGGAGTCATCGGCAGGTCTTCTTGATGCCCCGTTTCAATTTGAGCTTATTGATAATGGCATTCGCTCTGCGAGAGAGCTACTAGCCGACTAATGCTTGAATAAGCAACATATCTATGAGAATGTGAAGCTGTACCATAAAGACTTACAGAACTAGATTTATCATTGAGATACACACACGAGAGCGAAGAGAAATTAGCAAATTTGAAAAAGAAAAAGTATCACTAGCAAGAAGCGTAAGTCAAGGTAGCGCAGAAACCAATCTCCTCCATTAATCAATCAAGCCATCCAGTCATGCCGGATGCACTTCATTCCTAAACCATTCCCATTCCGCTCGCAAATCACGCGCCTTCCGAGGTGGGCTTGCATCTTCTCCACTGATTCGCTGACCTACAAAGGTGTATCGACGAAAACATGAGATCTCCCCTTCGATCTGTCCATCGCCCAGAAATCGAATCCAACCCGAGTTCTCGCGCCCAACGAAGAGCTGCTCAGAAGCCCTGCCATACCATTCAAAGGCGATCTTCTCTTCAGAAGCCTTCTTGGGGCGTTTTGCAATCCAAATTATGCCTTCAAGGATCCCAAGCTCGATCGATCCCCACATTTCGTCCCAGTTCAATGTGAGACATATCTTTGGTTGGACTCTGACGCCGTTGCGGTGAATAAGATTGCCCGCAGGCTCGTTGGAAGAAATTTCGTATTCTCCATTCAATAGACCTAGGCATCGCTGTGGGGGTTGAGATCCGAACAGCTGGTCATAGGTCGGTGGAGGTCCATGGAGGTCCGCATAACTAACACTCGATGATCTTGCGCCCAATGTGTTAGATGCGCTGGAATGGTAAAAATTATGGAAAGGATCGTCCATTTCGGTAGTATTAGAAGGTAGATTGCTTTCAGGGGAATCGTAATCATCGAAGGAATCCGAAGAATCGCCATAGTACTCCTCATCGTAGGTATCGTCATAATCATGCTACAATATGTTATAATTCTGGGTTTGAATGAGATGATAGACATACTTACCACTTCACGGTCACCCCTAGAAGAGCTAGTTGAGGACTGGATTCCAACTCGGCCAATCCGGCCGCTCAGATCATTGCTTTCACTGACTTCACGTAGAGCTTCTGCGGTTGAAACCGTCTGTCCATGACAGCCAGCGGAAAACGGAGTGAGATGGGTACGTCTTCCGTTGCTACTACGTACCCCCTTCCTGGCAGTCTGCAACCGAGGGACTGTATTTCCAGTAGCATGTCTTCGTCTTGCTTGGTTTGCAAGCTCTGGTTCTTGCTTCTCTTGAGACTGAGAGCTAGTAGACGGAGGAATATTGGATTGTAGACTGGACCTCCCCAGGCCAGGACGTCGGGCAGTTTGTTTGACAGATACTCTCTCTTTCTCCCCACAATCTTCCATATCCCGACCTCTTTTGCTTGGAACAGAAGATGAAAAGACGAGTGGATCCGGGATGATTGTCTTTGTTGTCGTGGTGATTGTGGTATCAAGGATAGGCAGCCCTAGTGGGAGCATGTGTGCCGCTTCCTCTTGTTTTTTCCATTCTCTCTTGAGTCTCTTCTCCATCTGAACCAACTCGATAGGGACCTCTAGAAGTCCATCTTGTATGGCATCTAACAATCTCATCTGTGCTGTTGCTTTGACTTTGGACGGCGAGAGGCCATAGTGGAGGAGTTGTGCTTCATACCAGTGGGCTGGATGACCGAGCCTCTGGTTTCTATCCGGAATGGAGGCGTCGAAAAGTGCTCTCAGCTCTGCAGGTATCGCCCGTCGATGGATATTGCCGGAGGCTTCGACGTAGAATGTGTCCCCGTCGTAAGAGAATTTGCCGTGGCTGATAGGTGCCATGATGTTGGATGGCGAGATGAAGATGTGAAGTGAAGAAGATAGGTCAGAGGAAAGTTCTTAGATACAATCGATGACGCGCCTTCCACTTGTCAAACTACGCAAGACAGACGTCGTTTTACACTTCCATGGCTGCGATACTTGGTCAACTACACCAGTTATCCTTTGTGGTTCTTACTTGTTAAGAACATACCTACCAGAATAATATAATTGAGCCTAGCTAATCTCAAGATATATCTTAAATACTACCAAATACCCAATAACCAAGAAACGTCCCAAAACATCCCGTTGTAGTTGATGAGCCCCGGCAAGCGCGTCTCGCCCAACCCCAAATCACGTTAAGCTCCCCACTTCCCATCTCCGACGTCCCTCCTCGACTTCATACTTCACCTCAAGTGTGACGACTTTTCTCTTAATTCATGAAGTTATATACACGATGAATCTCTCTTCACCCAACTCTCCGCAGGGCTCACCCGCCCCAAATCAACAGGCCTCACCCCTCAGTCATCGCCCAAGTCCACGCCAAACCCCAAGCTCAGGGACACCACCAGGCAGCGCAGTCAATGCACCCATTCCAGACGACGAACATGGCGCTGACTTGCCGATGAATTTGTCGGCATCTGTCATGTTGACCAACCTACCCCGCGATGCGCACCAGGCACTCGCCGATGTGGAGAGGATTGACTCTGGAAAAGGTATTTGTCGCATCTTTCCACCGGCCTTTCTACCTACTAGCTGCATTTTCTGGTATAGACTCTGACTTACTAACGTGGATTTAGTCACTGTGCGCTTCCAGCCTTTGCCGTCAGCTCCCATTCTGAAGAATCGGGTGTTCAAGGTCAGCGCATCACAGAAATTTGAAACAGTGGTCAAGTTCCTGCGCAAGAAGCTTGACTGCAAGGATACAGATTCTGTTTTTTGTTATGTCAACAGTGTCTTTGCGCCCGGGTTGGATGAGGGGATGGGTGGCTTGTGGAGGGTGAGTTCAACCAAGTGTTTTCCTACTAACGTCTACCGAGGCCATAACTAATACATAATAATCTCTTTATTTTAGTGTTTCAAAACGGAGGATCAATTGATTGTCGCTTATTCAATGACCCCGGCGTTTGGCTGAGCAGGTTTTATCATAGCCTGCCCTCACAGGACTGATGAATGAAATGACTTTATGTACAGATGATGATGCTTAATACAGAAATATGCAAGAGATGTTGATGGTGATATGAGGAATGATGAACGCAATCATTCTTTCTGGTAGCGTTCGTCCACGGATTTTTGGAACCCAGCGAGCTCCTCTTTCGGGATGGGATATGTGTATTCCTCCGACGGGAACGCACGGCTCTTAACTTCGTCGCGGTATTGTGTGATCCCGCGCGCAGCCTCGGCCCAAACATTGGCAAAGGGCTTGACGAACTTGGGGATAAACCGACCGGGTTCGAAATTACCAGTCATGTCGACTTGCACGAGAACTTGACCTGAGCAGCCATTGCCGGCACCAATACCAATGGTCGGGATGCTGAGCTTTTCTGTGATGAGGGCTGCGACTGCTGCGGGCATAGCTTCAAGCACAAGCATGAATGCACCCGCCTCTTGCATCGCCACGGCGTCATCCAACAGTTTCAAAGCGCTGGATTTTGTCTTTCCCTGAACCCGGAATCCACCGAGAGCATTTTGTCGCTGGGGCGTCAGACCAACATGACCCACGACAGGTACGCCGGCCTGTGTGATCCGTTTGATAGTGGGCGCTAATTCCTCCCCACCTTCAATCTTCACGCCATGCACACGCCCTTCTTTAATCAAGCGCAATGACGACTCAATAGCTTGCTCCGGAGATACCTCATATGAACCCATGGGCAGATCCCCAACCTATCAAATGATACTCGTCAGTTCATACATACCACACCAGCCAGCAAATTCATAAACTCACAATAAATGCACTCTTCGCTCCACGGACCACGCTCCGACAGTGCAATATCATCTCTTCCATTACGACCTCGGTAGTATTATCCAGTCCCAACGCCACCATGCCCAAGCTATCCCCAACCAAAACCATATCCATCCCCGACACATCAGCGACATGAGCGCTGGGGAAGTCATGCGCCGTCAGCATGGCAATTGGCTCGCCCTTCTTATAAAGATTCTGCAACGTTTGGATCGTGACCTTCTTGCGCGCTTTCCCGTTGGCACTTGGTGTCGGTGTCGGGGAAGAATAGGAACTATATCGGATTTGCGAGAAAGAGTGTGAAGTCGAGATCGAGGATGGGGAGGTACAGCGACAAGTGAGAGTATTATTCGAGATCTGAGTTCGTGCACCAGCAAGGCATCTCATCCGGATAAAGGTCGAAGATGCCAACGCTGTGCGACGCAGCGCAGGGCCCGGTGCAGCCATGATATCTGTCGTGAAATGTGATCGGAGTGACGCGGAGTGATTTAATTGTTCAGAGATGCAAATTCAAAACAAAGTCTGCCTCCCGATTAGAGATCAAGAAAGGAAAAGTGGTCTTTGGTCGCTATCCAAAGCTGTTTGTGAGTTGTGAGCTGTGGCAATGACCTCACAGCAACAATCTCAATGAACCAAAGTACCCTTCACAATCCAGCAACGAAACAAAGGGGGGGAAAGAAGGAGCTGTATATAAAGGTGTCTCTCGGATATCACGGCTAGAATGATTTGATCAATTATTCCATCCGTCCGAGTGTACGTGCTGGGTTATGCGGCGTAGACGGGAGCATCTCCAGAAAATCTGAAGTTGAAGATCTTCTGATACGTTCTGCCGATGATTACATGCACCGAGTACCGAGAATTGCGGGGCGAGCTGCAGGGCGTAGGGCGTTGAGTTTGATTTTGTGTTAACGTTGGAACTTCTGATATAACGTATCGCAGCTTGTCATGAACGTCTAGCAGAATGGATTTTATGTTATTGCAGAAATTTGTAGGGATTCGAGCTGTAATAGATGAACGAAGCTCATTGAGCTCGGGCGTATTTTACTCTCGTTACTTTCACCGCCCTGACAGGCGAGTCACCGCCTTCTGATTGCGTCTGGCCGAGGTGATTGCCGCTTTGGGAAGTGGGGGGTAACTACAAATAACGTTATACTCTACAGCTTATAAGTTACTCTATGCTGCTAGTGTACAGTGTGTACAGTGGAGGGAATAGTAGGGCACAATTCAATTAGCACGATACAAACTGCATACAGATCATCGGAATAAATGCGGTATTCAAGTAAGTAATGTCACGAGAAAGGAAAAGTCTCAGCGAGACTCTGCCGCCGTCTGCGCTGGGCAACAAGCCTCAGCCGTCGAAAAGGAAATGGAAATGGACTCCACAAATGGAATGGGAGAGACATAAGAGAATGAATCTGACGTTCAAAAAATATGGCCCCGTGGGACCAAAATCGGGGATAATGATGTTGCATGGAGGGCAATGCAAAGCGGATGGCTGCTTGACTTCATGCTGGATCGTCGATTATACCTTCGCTATATCACGTCTGGCCACAGGGGAGAGGCGACAGGGACTGCATCGTGAGCTGGGGTGCGGCTTTTCGGATGGTGATTGATTTAGTCCAGAATGCTCGTCGTCTGGGAATACGGTTGAGTCGCGCGTCGAAGGGGATGTTGACGTAAAATGAGATATTCAATACAGTGAAAAGAAGTGAAAATGCCAAATGAGTGGACAATCTCAGTCGAGATCAAAAGGAGACAACAGTGTTTGTTGACACTGGCTCCTAGAAGTGCTGATGCAAAAGTAAAAAGTGAAAGGAGGAAAAAACGCCACCATATGCATATGCGTCGATGCCGAGGGTATGATTATGCGAGGTTGAGATCCAAATCGAGCATGACGGGCGGAAAGAAAAAGTGCAAGTGGCAGAAGAAAGATAACTGTAGATCTCGAACACTGTCAGGATGCAAGTGTCCGACGGAGGTGGACATCTAAAGAAATCATGGGGGGCGATGATAAGCCCCAGATCTATTCATCATATTCGTGCTTGTCCTTGAGAGGACGTTGGATTTCAAAGAGTAACGCGTCAAGTTCAGCCCAGTTTGTGGAGTTTGCGGCAAAGCGACGATGTTTTCTTGTTAGAGTGTGCTGAAAGAGAGTTAGTATATGATTGACAAAGGTAAGAAATTGTGACTCCATACCTCTTCAAAGTCATCAAACTTGTCCCTGCAGTTCTCACAGTAGCCAGGCTTAGGGTCTCTGCGTCGCTCTGTCTTCCGTTGCTGCTCTTTTTCCTCTCGTTGGCGTTTGGAGCCAGCAACTTCGGACTGGTTTCCATCATCTTCATGGCGAAGATTGGATCGTCCAGGAGGGTTCATACTCTTACAATGCACAGGGGCAGATCCCTCGCGCCGCTGGGGAGCAGCCATTGATCCCGTGCCCTTCTCGAGTACCTTGCGCTTGAGGCCATGAACCTCCTTGCTGAGACCAGCCTTCGCACCAGGCGCCGCGGCAGTGGAAGAGATCATCTGGGAGCGAATGGCGGAGGTTATGTTAGACGGCTGAACGCCTGAAGCGGCCGGCTCGCGGCCAGTATAAAAAGGTCCGGTGCGAGGGAAATGAGGCGGGATGAAGCTCTCCGAGCTCTTTCTTTCGTTGTTTTCATCAAATGAAGGCTTCTGGGATTCTGTTTGAGCGGGAGGGGAGATGCGCTGTTCATTCTCTGCGGGTTTGGACCTGGCGACTTCGGTGACTACTTTCGAGTCTTGAACTTGGGGAGCAGGGGCAATTGTTTTCGGCTTGGCTTCACGGTTTCCATCAGTGTTGTGGAGAGCGGCCTTCTTCTCTTTTTGAAGTTGCCGCAAACGATGTCGGTCATATTCCTTTCTGCTTGGGGGTTCATCAATGAAAGGACACTTGCCCAGGGGGCACTTCTGAATTGGGGCCAGGAACCGTCTTGTCGACGGGCAACCCGGGAATATTCCCGGACCAAAACGGGCTTTGTCTTTTCGTTCATATCGTGAATATAGACAAATGGACCCTTGAACATCAGCATCTCCATTGACGACAATGGATCACGATCGGACGGTCCATTAAGTAATTCTTGTCGAAGGACACGAGAAAGGTCATTCTCGCCCTTTCCATTGGCGGCATTTCCACCAGCAACTTTGCTCCGTGAAGCGGCATCAGCCTGAGCACCAATATCGCTGTCATTGATGGTGGTGATCATGCGTTGAAGTTTCTCCAGGGCCCAAATCTTCATGCCCATTTGCCGAGCTCTCTGAAGAACATCCATGGTTCCTTGGTCGCGGCGAGGGTCTGTTTTCAAGGACATATGCAGGTGTGTGTCTCCATTCCGCTCCAGCATTGAAGGGTTGACTGTTTGCATATTTCCATCTCCATTCGTTGTGTCGGGGGTAGTTTCGGTTTCGGTTGGGCTTGTAGACTCGGGTGGGATAGCACGGGATGTAACAACATGCGTTACGAGACGTGAAAAGAACTTCTCCTCACGCTATAGTTATAGTTGTCAGTAACAGGAAAAACAATGAGGCAATTAGACAATCAAAGTGCAATGTCGTCAAGTTCAAGAAAACGCCACAATTGAGAATGGGAATCTCAAACTTACAGCGCCGAGAGCGATGACCTGGCGAGAGAACTTCCGACGAACATCCTCAGGGATACTGTCAAAGTAAAAAACAAACTGAGGGAATGCCTTTCGGTAATGTCTCTGCCACTGTCTAATGGTATCCATGGTATCCGCGGAAGTCTTTTCTGTCTTGACAGTCCTGACCACCGGCTGACGTTCTTTTTCGCGAGCTGCAACAAGCTTCTTCTCGAAAGCACTAGGAGCAACGTTGTTGGACCGTCGCGCAAACAGTTTCGAGTCGGTATTTTGAGCAGTAGTCGACCTGCTTCGACTAGGGGAGCGTCCATCATTCTCTATAGCTTCCATGACCTGCTTCTTCGGTGGTGGCTGGCCATATGGCATCTCCATCTGTGTAGACCTGGATCGCTTGGCTGGTACGGGACCTGACCTATGTGGAGAATTTGTTGCATTCGGCACGTTGGCGAGTGGGCGGCGAGTCGCCATGGTCAGGGAGGTTCGCGGCGAGGGAGGTACGAATACAGCAGCCATCGGGGAAGAGGTTCCCACGATTGAGGGCACGTATGGAAGTCACTGTAGACTGGCAGGGCTTAATAGAGGAAGAGGGGTACTCGAAGAGCACGCGACGTGCTACACGTCTTGCCGATGTTGGACGGAATTAGAGGGACATTGTATCACCAGAAACAATGCAGAAGTGGTCTAAGTAGTGAGCAACAAGTTGTAGTGGTCAAACCAAGTGTGTAGTGAAGAGAAAGACGAGGTGGAAGACCTGAAGGAAGAGAAAGAAAGAAGAGCAAAGCAAGTCGTGTGGTGTGGAGCTCAGTTTGTTTTGGGCGGAGGCCCGACAACCAACGGCGTCGCGCGAAGCATGAACATCAACACTACATTCCTTGACCGCGACCAGGATTCTTTTGGCCTTCTTTTGTTCTTTTACTTCATTCTCTGGTTCATTCTCTCATATGGCAATCTTCTTGAATACCTGGAATCCCTTAAACATAAGCCTCCTGCTAATCGTGTCCAACCTCCCCCAGACCAGCCCCCAGTCAGCCCCAAAACAACAGTCCAGCCACCACCAAGTAATCTAAGGTAGGCAAGGATAGGTCAAACATGTGGAGTTTATAGTTTATATTAAAATAAAGGGGCCTCAAAACATCCAATTTGAAGTCTTGAGGGCTATTGTACATGAATATTGGAAGGGTTCTGACTACTATACACCTAGCTGCGTAGAGCCTCAATGTCCTCAACCTAGTACAAACGGTTAGCAAACAGCAGATGAAAGGGATCATGCGAAATCTACCTCTTTGACAGCCTCCGGGGTTAAGACAATCGGGTGTTCATCTCCGACACAAACACTGTCTTCGATCCGAATGCCGATCCCACGGAAGTGAGCGGGCCATCGCTCATCGTCAGGAACATAAATACCCCTAGTGTGAATTAGCTTGTCTCAGAATGTGGAGATGGAGATGCTAGGGGTACGAACGGCTCAATAGTTATACATTGACCTGCCTTCAGGTTGTAGCCTCTGGAGTATCCAGGGCAGTCATGGACGTCCAGACCAACATAATGGCCCAGGTGGTGAGGGAATAGAGTGTTCATTGCCTGGTCATAGTGAGTGGATGTCTCAGACAAAATGAGTCCAGGTGCTTACATTTCCAGAAAGATCGAAACCGAGAGACTTCAGCTCATCCTTCAATCCATTCTCGGCGATGCCATGCAGTTTGTCCAGAGAGAGGTTGGAGGTCTCGCGGCAGAGCGAGATACAGCTCCGGTGCACCTTGAGTACTGCGTTGTACAAATCCCGTTGAGGAGCAGTAAACTTGCCGTTTACCGGCCATGTTCTGGTGATGTCAGAGATATAAGTTCCCCATTCCTGTGATAAATCAGAATTTGAAGCGGCAAAGAAAATTTGTGTTGGAGACTCACGCCGCCACCGTCAACAAGAACCAAATCGCCATCCCTAACATTCAATGTAAGCACAGACTCGCACAGTGGAGCGAAGAAGCACAAACTTCAATACATCGTCATTTCGGGTATAGTGAATAGCCAGAGCGTTCTATTCTCGTCAATGCTGGCCCGTTGGAAGCAAAGGCCGTACTTACCTGGCCGCCTGCGACAACAGGAACAAAAGCGTTCCCCTCAGCCCCATTCACCTTGAATTGATACTCCAAGAAGGAATGAAGATCCTTCTCATATTCAAATGTTTGGCGCATAGCCTCGGTGAAAGCCCGTCCCGAAGCCTGTCCTAAGCGACGCATCTGTACAACCTCGCTCTCGCTCTTGGTGGCTCTCATCTCATTGAGAATGGGCTTCAGAGGTTTAACCCGACGGTAATCAACAACTTTTTTGAGCTTCTCCGAAGCGACTGTAGGTCCGTACAAGTAGCGGTTCAAACTTGATCGTGCATTGTCGAGGGAGGGGATGTCCGAGTAAATCTCGGTGGCTCCCGAAACGATGTCTGGGAGGATGTCGCCAATTCGTTCAATATTTCCTGTCTGTTCTGCTATCAGCCAGATGCTCCATGAACCCTTTCCGTGTTTTGCGCACCTCGTCCGCATTGAAAACATCCACGGCCGCCTGGGTGCCGGAACGTGCGCCATCCCAGAGCTCAGCCCGGGGATCCTTTTCCCGAACATATAGATGGAAGATATGGTTGTCGCCGGAGCCGTCGTTACCGATAATCGCCAGTGCATTTGGTTCGTTGAACCCTGTGTTGCATCAACATTTAGCTTGTCGTCCCACGTCACACGACCACTCGGAGGGGAACCTACCCGTCAAGTAGAAGAAATTTGAATCTTGTCGGTATTCAGTGAAGATCCCCTGAGCACGGTATTTGACCTCAGAAGCAGCTAGCACCGCAATTGCTCCTTTCGGTAGTTTGTTGGCGAGTCGCGATCGACGTTGCGCATATTCTAGGGCGGTGATTCCAGGCGTAACTAGATGGATGCCAATTAGCTAAAATTACCAGAGATCAATGACAGTCAATCCGTATTCAATCACATACGTTCGCCCAGACTGAGCAGATGGGGATGCGTCTCATGCAATGGTTGCCCGAATTTGAGGTCCGCGGCGGCGAGATAAGTAGCGTAGGACCGAGGCACATTATATCGAGGGAGTTGACGCAATGATTGACTCAGAGCCACTGAAGGCCGCGCTGGGCGCAAGCGGACAGCGCATCGAACCAGAGACCTGCACGCCATGCTGAAGGTGAATGATAAGAGACAGAAGTTGTTATCGTCAGGTTTATTGCTGGTCGGCGGTGTGGGCCAATCACCTCGGATGCGTTTGGCATCTTCCAAGGTTCTCTTGCTTTACTTGCTGCCACGCCCTGTTACATTTGTCTGCATTTGTCTGGCTGTTTTATCATCTGTGCGCAGATTCAATATCACTCTAACCTTAGCAGGCAAAGTTTACGCGGATGGACCTGCTATAACGGGTTGAAGGAATACGCCGTTGACCGGGTCACTTACCTCGACTCATCTGGTCCATCTACTTAAATGCTTGTTAATTCTCTGTCTCTCTTACTTATTCTCAGTTACAGCTTACTTTTAAATCCACACATACAATGGGACGAACATTGACTTACCCCAAGGGCGTGTCCAACACAGCCAACAGATATAAACATCGAGGTATGCATAACTACAGAAGTCTTCCCCAAAAGATCAAGATTCACCATCTACACAGCCACATATGACTTGGGCGCAATTCACAAAATCATCAACGATTCCCAAGTCCTCCATGTATCATTCAACCCAGGCCCCGAGGACCCGTTCCCCGCCATCATCCCAATGATCGGGCAAATGGGCTCATTTGAGTACCCTTCAGCGAGCATCGACGAGCCCCTTGAATGCTATCTCCATGGATATGTCAGCTCGCGCATCATGAATCTGGCACGCAACAGCGGAGGCGAGGGCCTGCCCATCTGCGTGGCGACCAGCAAAGTAGACGGGCTGATTTTGTCACTCACGCCCAACTCTCACAGCTACAATTACCGCTCTGCTATCTTACACGGCTATGCCAGCCTTGTCACCGATGAAGAGGAGAAACTCTGGGCAATGAAGATTATTACAAACTCAGTTCTTGAGGATCGATGGGATCACTCGCGTGTGCCGCCTGACCGTGCGGAAATGTCGTCTACTGTTATTCTCAAGGTAAAGATTGCTGATGGCAGTGGCAAGATCCGTGACGGTGGTGTTTCTGATGAGCGTAAGGATTATGATAACGAGCAGGTCACCAATAGTGTTTGGACTGGTGTTGTTCCTGTCTGGGAGACCTTTGGGACTCCTGTTCCAAGTGGCGATGGCAAGGTCTCAGATGTGCCGGAGTATATTACTTCTTATATTGCAAACAAGAATGCTCAGAATCAGGCCTTGGCGGAGGGTGCAGTGAAGATTTGTCTGCCAGCTGAGGAGCAACACTGAGTGCTGAGTTGGTTGGGTCGACCTTTAGATGTACCAGAGAAGTATAATTTATATCATGAGACACATTTGATTCATTCAACCTTCATCATTAATTGTTATGTTACTTGTAGCCAACTCTATCTAGAAACAGGATTCAAATTTCTAGGGTATTTAGCGCATTTGGGAAACAATATAATTACGACGGGGACATCTAGGGCACTATAACCATCTGCGTCCTAGTCACACAGATAATATCACCGATCTTTGTTAGTTGATTCGACTTCTTGACTCTCGAACCAGCCTGCAAAATTATTAAGTGTAACGCATTGACATCCCATCTGAAGGAAGCAACGAAAGTGGCCCCTGGCTGAGCTTTTTGGAGCTTAGAGACATTTCAGGCTTGATTGATTAAATTAGTGAGATCAAATTACGAAACCTGAGTCCTTGACTCAAGTTCTTGCTTTGACTAAAAGAAAGCCTTTACATAGCCGTTATGGTATTGACTGTTACTTGTTCTCCATCAAACTAATCAAACAGACTTAAGAATGGTTAGGGTCGAACTGAGCATGTTTTATTAATGATAGCATGAGCATTAAGAGAGCCTGCCCAGGTGTGCAATATATCTTCTTCGTCATCGATCATGTTGCTAGCTAGAGCCAATCTACGTGAACTACTGAAAAAGTCTAACGTTATACTCACGTCATACCCTCAGCGGCTATGTGCAACTCACATCAGTATACTACTTTTGATTCGTGATATAAGCACATCACTGGCATAGTGCTTACATGTGATTGCATTTCATGGATAAGCTGAGAGTTGTTGCCCTAAGATAGGAAGGGGGTTATCTCGATCGACGATATCATATTCCTGATATGTCGCTATAACGCAGCGCCAGCTATTATTGAAGTGCTGACACAAGGTCTAAGCATATAAGATTGACAATGACAGGCCCATAGATCTACTATTAGATACCCATGAGCAACATAAACAAAGACAGGCAACGAAGTACTCAATGAGCGGATCGGTGATTGTTCCATGGTTTGGGCTGCAAGACGCTGACTCATCTAGGCATCATCCCCAGGACTCCTCGCTTTTCCGACCTCTCTCTCTTAGTTCTAACTTTCAAACCCCATTTCAAGCTCTTTTTGGCTTCTTAATCTTCATATTACTTCGTCTTTACGTTCACCTCCACGTTCACCCGCGATCTGTCCGATCTCTCGTAGCACCTTCGATCACCTGCCCCGCCAATTGCTTCCCCGCTCCGATTGCGGGAATATCTGCTTGCTGAACAAGAGGCCCCGACATACCTCTAGCTGCCGAACAGCATCTCAACTTTGATCATCGAAACCATACCCATATCCCTCAGCTGTTTTCCTGCCATATCGCCAACATGAGTAGCCCGAAGCGCAGAATTGAGACTGATGTAAGTTATGCCGCAGCGATTCCGATAAGCCATCATGGTCCCCAACAATGCTAACTTTTGCGTTTCCTTTGCTTTTAGGTCATGAAGTATTACATCCCTTGTTGAGAGTTATGTTTCTCTTGTGATCGCTAACCTTTCGCTAGGATGTATGGTCGAGAAATTCCTCCCTATTCTAAATTCGCCGCCGCCTTTTGAATCCCTTCAATAACCCCCAGCGTGCAATTTGGCCGGAATACACAACTAACAGGAAATTTAGGCTGATGAGTGACTACGAAGTCACCCTGGTCAACGACAATAGTATGTATTCATTCTCGCGACAATATATATCAATTTACTGACGTTGAAATCTAGTGTATTTTCCCACTATTTCCTGTACTGATACAGTTGAGATATTGTGATACTAATGTTTGCGAATAGGCAAGAATTCTATGTCCGTTTCAAGGGACCAGAAGAGAGTATGTTTTGCCATGCCAAACCAGAATCACATCATGCTAAATATTCCAGCACCATTCACCGGAGGCCACTGGAAGATTCACGTCGAACTACCGGATCAGTACCCATACAAGAGCCCCAGTATTGGGTTCGTCAATCGGATTTTCCACCCAAATATTGATGAGCTGTAAGTCAAGGCTACACGAGGACAACATCAGCCGCCCAGAAGCTAACATTCTCTTTTCCAAATTAGGTCCGGATCAGTCTGCCTTGATGTCATCAACCAAACATGGTCACCCATGTATGACATGCTGAACATCTTTGAGGTGTTCCTTCCTCAGCTTCTCCGCTACCCGAACCCATCAGACCCGCTCAACGGCGAGGCCGCGGCACTCATGATGCGGGAACCCAAGGCGTACGAGGCAAAGGTCAAGGGTAAGTCCCCATGAGATAACATCTCGTACTTTGTTTATCGGTTCTAATTTTCGCAGAATATGTTGCCAAGTATGCCAGCAAGGAAGCCGTAGACGAGGCGGGCGAAGACACCGAATCTGAAGACGAGCTGAGTTCAGCTGGCAGCTATGAGTCTGGCGGCGAAGAGCCAGCCGGTACGATGGATGATGTTTGATCAATTTACAGGACTATGATTGATTCAACTCAAAGAATGGGTTGGTATGATGATTTCGCATCACCCATTTCACATCTATACCTCTATCCCTCTATGGAACCGGATCAGCGGGCGTTTTTTTTTCAATGGAGGTTATTGTTCATTTTCAATAGGTTTCCCCCCCCCCTCTTTCTCGATTTCTACTTCTACCCTTATTGAATTTGATGTACTTGAGCATTTGCGATGGTTGTGGTCGGAGTCATGGTTGAATAAGCTCATATGCGATCTCTTTGTGGACATGGGAGTGCGCATCATTTTCATTTACCGTCGCAACATCTAGTCATTTCCAATTAGTAGCATGAACTTAATCGAAAGATAATATCTTTTCCATCTCTATGGTCAGATCTAATCACGACGCCAGTATAAGGCAAGATGTAGAGAACGACCCGCGAAGGTACCTTCAATTTGTGTTCTATGCTATGAAAAGATAAGCGGGAAAAAAATGAAGTATACAAACAAGACGTGCATATCTAACAAGATGATATAAAAACAAACACTAACATGAAAATCACAAACATGTTTGCAATCGCGCCCACAAGCAGAAAATAAAAAAATGACGAAAGGTTTGACAAAGGAGATAGTCTGCGCCACTGGGTATTAACAGACCAGAAAAAAGAGGGAACAAGAAGGAATAGCTATGTATGTGCGAAAACAGTCGACCTGCGATCCATGCAAAGAACAAAATCCCCCCAAGAATAGCGCAAACAAAGCATAGAGAGAAAAGATAAGGGTCTTCCGGTACCCTTGATTGTATGACATCGACCACACAGCGTTTTTTGGGTCGTGTCAGTCGTCATCGTCAATATTTAGCGGTAGCGCATGAGGCACCTAGTTGACGTTCAAGACCCCGAATACATCATGCTTAACCTTGATATCGGCCTTCATGTCGGGTCGGGAGCGCTTCTTGTTTGGATTGACGATCACTTCACCCCAGTGTTTGGGTACATTGCCGTCGGCGCCGGAGGAAGGACGGCTTGAAGTTGAGCGAGATGCAGAGGCGATGATTGTAGAGTCGCCTTTCTGTGACTGGGCCGGAGATGCAGACATGGGTGTGTGGAGGGTTGCTTGAGGTTGGAGATGTGGTTGAGGTTGAAGGGACCAAATATCAATTACCGAGCTGGGGATAGGTTAGCGGAAGCCATAATCAATATATGCATGGTTGCCACAAATCAAAATGCCATGATCTCCGCAGCAGGTATACACTCACTCTGAAGTTCGTTGGCAGATAGAATCCAAGGCCTCCCTCTCGCGCCTCACGTATTCCGGATCCGGTTGGCTAGTCTGCTGTGCGTGGTTGAGCGCCCCGTAGCCATAACCGGCTTGATAAGGGTCGTCGTCGAGCAGACGAGATGACTCGGGCTAAAAGGCAATGTTAGAAAAGTGGTCTATTTTGACAGGAGTCCCATGCATCGCGCATGATGCCGAGGTAATGCGCCATGAAGTTGGCGGTAGACGGTGGAATCGAAACTCACCTCAGGAGACTCATGGCGATTTCCGCCAAGGCAAGAGGCACAGACACCCATTTAAAGAGATCTGGATCGGAGCTGGGGAGTTTGCAGGCTGTCGTATTGCACGATGCGAAGGGCACGAGGCATCAATCGTGCCAATGATCGCGTGGGAGACAGAACGTGTGGAGCGGCTGGAAGAGGGAGTGCCGATCTAAGGAGTGTGGGAATATGCAAAAGTGTAAATGAAGCAAAATGGAGGAATAGAAAGTTAAGCAGAGAATGATCGGGCGTTGAGGTCTGAAGTCAGGCTTGGGGTCCGTGCCATGTCATCGATAAGGCCGCAGAACGGCGGAGGCGGTGGAAACTCCGTTTTTCCTTTCGCAACCTCTCTACCTCACAACCCACAATGTTTGATCTACCAAATGCGAAGCGGTATGAAGTTGAAAATTATGTCCTGGGATCGGACGGAACGTGTAGCTAATTTGGTCCAGCATCCGGCGCGATGAAATGCAATCTCCAGTGTCATCCCGCGAACCGTCACCCGCACCAGACGATGCTGAGGCACAAGATGCGCGAGCCCGCCTGGGAAAACTACTCAATCTCGATGAATTGATTGCTGTGCAAGATACAGCTACACAGGATAACGACCCTGTACAGCCGGAGGACGACGAGGAGGAACAAGAATTCGAATTCCGACTGTTCAGTGCCCCCACAAAATCGACAGAAAATGTGGCCGAGAAGGACACCGAAGCCAATTCAACGGGAAAATCAAAAAAGGCAGGCGCAGAACCTGAAGACCAGGCCTCCACAGTCACACAAAAGTTGCGCATTCGATTGCGGTCACCCTCACCGGGAGCGGGAGTCTCTGAGGGACGATTTTTGAAAGCTTCCCGCGACTGGAACTATTACTTCTCCACGCCTACCCTGCTTGGTAGACGCGATATAGAAATTTCATCTGAAGATGAGGATGCCATCACCGAGAAGAAGCAGCAATTCGAGAATATGGCCGTCACAGGAGAGCACATGCTAACATGGGCCCAGTCACAAGCCTGGGTAAGTGGATTCTGTCCCACTGGACTTTGCTATATCAGTCGCTAACCTCAAATATAGCCTGGCTGTCATCTCCCCTGGCGAGTGATCCATCTAAAACGCCATCAGACGAAATTGCCACGACCGGCTGGTAGCGCTCCGGTATATGTAATTGAAGGTGCACCTATCTCAAAAAGCCCACTCACCCGCAAGAAGCCTGGCAAGAAGCGTCGAGTTCAATTGCGCAAGCGTGTTGTTGCTGCACAGGTTGCTAAAGAGTCGGAAGCCGAGAAGCGAAACCGGAAGAACCACGCGAGGAAGATTAAGCGCCGACAGAAAGCCAGAGAGGAAAAGGCCGCCGCGGCCGGTATCGCTGTTACGGACGTTGGGGCCGAGGATGTCTCCATGGCTGATGCAGACGAAGGTGAGGAAAATTGAGATCGTTAAGCATTACTAGAGATTCTCAATATGATACCCTCGAGAGGATTTCTCTTTGTATATACTCGATGTGACGATACAACTGGCACAAACGCATTGTGTTGGGCTGATCAAAATGCCAGCCAGACCCCAGCCCGACAGGGCAGTGCTCGCGGTGTGCAGCGTTGGGACTCCGTAGAGGCTCGAAAATAAATAAATAAGGCCTCATATTCCTCACCACGGCATGCACGATGAAGAAAGTTGCTTAGGCTTTATTTTATGGTCGATTTTCATGGCCGCTGGTTGGAGTTAAGCTTACGGCCTGGTCGTGAACGGATTGGGCGCGTTGAGCTCAGACGACATGACTGAATGAGATATGGTCTTTTGATTGACATGATCGACATTTAATAAATAGGATTGGGAGTTCTGGAATGACTGTTCCTCCCAAAATATATGCGATAGAGGCTTGAACAAGGCTATCAAGCTACCGATCTGACATATACGCTCTCTTCGAGTCTCTCTATGTTTTCTCTTGATACCCTGAAGCGAAATTATTATTGTTAGCCCATAGTTTCGATCACACAATGTTCATTTTATCGTTATTTTGATATCACTTTGAAATTACGGCATTGACACCTTTTTATTGGCTTCATCCGTCCCACTTATACCCGCAGACCTAAACTTTATCCCCGTGCAGCCGGCGCTAAGCCATTTCAGGGCTTGTGCCTTGACTATAACTCGCTTTTATGTTGCTTAGAGCTAGATATAAGTGATTGTCGAAGCCAAGAAATCCTAACAAATACGGCGCTCAGAAAGGTCGATTTGAATTACATCGTATCGGAGATGGTTGTAGCTGTCACCCATAAGCTGTTTTATTGAGGTTGATGGCGTAGAATATATTGCCATTGTAATCTATTCCCTAGAATGCAATAGTCATAATGCGAAGCCTTCAATAATTGAAGATGACTAGAAACGAACATATGGAATGAAAGAATTGCCTGCAAAAGAAAAGAAAGACGAGGTATCAAAGTCGTCAAAATGGGAAATGATGTCCGTGGTATGGCTAGAAAGAAGAAATTGTCAAAGTCATGGAGTGCGCTATATAATGTGTTAGGAATTTGAAGACGCAATTTGGAAATCTAGAAAGAGAAAAACTTACCGAGAATCAAAGCTAGAAGGAATATTGCAATCTTGAGGTTTTGGGCCGCGATGACCAAAAGAAGAACACCGCAAAGAGACCACGCGGAATAACCCCCAACGTGGAATATGGGACTGTTTTTATATTTTCTAGTTGCGTCGTCAATAATGCTTTGCAGGTTGGCAGCTGCGATGTTGGTATTTTTGATAAGAGCCTGTGAGACCTGTGCGTGGAATTGGATCGTCTCTTGAGCGCGGGATTGCGCAGCTAGTGCTTCGGTTTGTTGTTCTTGGGCAGTTTTGAGTTCAGTCGCTTTCAACTCAGATTGATACATGGACGTCTCCATATTTTGAAGTCGCTTCCAAAGTCAGCAGGTGATCGGGGACATACAAGGGTGGTATCTTACCTCGTTCATTCGAAGCTCTTGTTCGAGAATCATATTCATCCGGCTTGTCAGCCATTCCTGAAGTATCCGTTAGTGTCAGTAGTCTCCCACCAAAAGGGTCTGAAAGAAATACCATAGCAGCATCAAACTTTTGCATTCCTCTGTATACCTTCACCATGTCGGAATCCAAGAGTGCCTCGAGTGAAAAATGTAGAGAGGCTGCAAGATTGGCATGAGCCGCCGTGTTGCTCTCTTGTACTAGTGCCACCTCTTGGCTTCTAGTAAGAGCATCTTCGTGAACTTCTTGAAGCGCTTGTTGAAGGGCGCCCACTTGGCTTGAGACATTGTGAATGTTCTTATCCATGGTCAGTGTCACCTCAGCAAATCGGCACGCTTGAAACTTCGAGGCTCACCTCTTCAAGACTCCCCGTCTCCTTTCGTAAACTGAGAAAAGCCGAAGATATACTGGCTTCGAGAACTCCGACCCCTAGCTCAATCTCTCGAAGGAAGTTACCGAAAGTCCGTTGAAACAATGAATCTGCCTGTTCCATGCCCGTCACAGTTTTCTCTTGCAGTGCCTCAACAGCATGCATAAACAGTTGCTGTTGTTCAGACTGCGCCGCTGCATCTCGCAAAGCGTTGCGGATACCGTTGTTGAGTTTTAGACTACTTTTCGCAATGGATCGATGCAGCTCAAGGAGCTCCTCCTTCTCTATCTCGATTCGTGAGGCTTGGCATATGATGAAGGCATTCTGCCGACTGTTGCTGTATGAAGTCCACCATTGAGGTCGTGACTCGAGTGCCCGGAGACATTGCTCCAGCACCTCCTTTGGCATGTCATCTGAGGGATTATCACGAGACTTGTGCCGAGACACGAATCCGAACCGACCTTTCTGGGGAGTAGAAGATGTAACAATAGGAAGACATGACGGTGGGATTGTGGTACCGGCACTCTCGATCTCACATAATGCTAGTCGAGCTGCGTAGACTGACCGCACGAGGTCAACAGTCTCAGGGCTGTCCGTCGGCGTACGATGTGTGTCGCCGCTGAGTGTCTGACACGACACTATCAGCTTCCTTACCGCCGCCTGGTTGCACGATGGTGATGATTTGAGGGATTCCAGAAGCTGGATTGCTTCTTTGAAGATTGTGTCTTGATTTCGTGCTCGAGGGCCCAGGAGAGAGATCGCGTCGACGTCCAGTTGCATTGAAGGAAGAATCGGAAGATCACCTTCATCCGTGAGTAACTGAAAATTCATATTCTGACTAGGGTACTGACCTTTATAGGATGGTCTCACTTCACTGGAGCTCGCGGGCGACAAGACAATATAGAAAAGCAGCTGTAAGATCCAGCCTGCTTTCATATTGGGCGTGAATTGTCAAGATTTGATTGCAGAAATAGATTTCAGGCAAGATCATGCTTGGGATTGAATCTATTGCAGGTAGCTGATTCGTCTATAACGAACGCCTGAGGGTGATGCGAATGGAGAAGAGCGGATGATGGTTGCTAGAAGCAGAAAAACAATCTCACTTCAAAAGTGAGACGCTGAATCCATGTTGTTCAACCAACCGCTATATCTAGTAGATTTATACTCGAAGATAGTCTAACTTTACTCAGTTGAACTCAGATGTCAATCTTTCCAATCTGATGTCTATTAGGCAAATTGCTGCTATACAACGCCTTTTGGGTGGTTGACAAGTGAGTTTTACATCAATCACGGATATTCACCCGAGAAAGAGCCCTAATACCCTTCAACAGTAATATTCTCTGCATAATTTAAGTAATAATATGTTCATATACAGAGGATAATCGCAGAAAGATGCCAGACCAAAGCCATATACATGGTCACGTGCGCGCTAATCCCCTTCGGGCACAAGCCATCCGCAACAAAATCGAGAAAGTCCGCAACGCCAGCAACGCAACACCCGAACAACACGCAACCATGTCAGCCTCTATACCCCAACGCTGTGCCCGGCAACTATTCCGGGAAGCCTCCCAGCGCAGCTCAGTGCCCGTCTTCCTTGCCCCTGCATTCTCCGCCCGAGCTTTCTCCTCCACGTCCCCGGCGCAGTCCCGAGTCGGAGGTGCCGCAATCTCCATCCCCCCAGAGGTGTCATTCAAGCTCGTCGACGTTCCCAAATCTTTGATTCGGACGCGCGGAAAGGATATTCCCAAGTATGCGGCCGAGATCAAGGGACCTAAGGGTATGTGTTGTTTTGGATAGAAGCTATTCAGAGGATACTGATTGTTCTGATTAGGCGAGCTGTCCCTGAGCATTCCCTCTTTCGTCACTGTGACCCCCGATGAGGCTGGCCAGAAGGCTACCTTGTCTATCCTGGATGCGGCGGTCCCTCACCAGCGTGCTATGTGGGGTATGTTTTGTTCTTTTCACATCCTGATTCCCGGTCTGCGCAACAAGTCAATTGAGCCTAACGCTTGTAATTCTCTTTAGGAACCATTCGCGCACTTCTCCAGAACCACATCCTCGGTGTCTCCGAAGGCCACGTCTGTGTCTTGAGTATGGTTGGTGTTGGTTACAGGGCCACCATTGAGGAGACTGCTACTACTGCCGAGGCCACCTTCCCCGGTCAAAAGTTCGTTTCCCTCAAGGTCGGATTCTCCCACCCCATTGAGCTTCCTATTCCCAAGGGAATTGTCGCAAGCACACCGCAGCCTACCCGAATTCTGCTTGAGGGTGTCGATAAGCGCATTGTGACCCAGTTCGCGGCTGAGATTCGGGATTGGAGACGTCCCGAGCCTTACAAGGGTAAGGGTATCTTCGTCAATGGAGAGACTATCAAGCTCAAGGCCAAGAAGATCAAATAGTCTGGGAGCGCTCTACTTTTTATACTACGCGGGACGTGTTATCTTGGTTCCGTGTTTTGTACTCTTATCCTCAATATGTACTTTTTATTTCCCACAGCGATGGTATCACAAATCTACTTCAGATGCAGCTAGCGTGATTGCTCCCCAGGAGCCCAAATGCCGTGAATAGACGACAGATTAAACCTCATATACTTCATTACAGCTTCAAGACGGTCTTGACAGCGTCGATGACCTGGTCCTGCAAAGCCTTGGGGGAAGCAACGACACCCTTGTTGGCAGCCAAGGTCCGGCCCTTGCTGAAGTCCAAACGGTTGCCGTAGATGTCAGTGACCTGACCACCAGCCTCACGCACAAGCAGATCACCAGCGGCGTGATCCCAGATCTTCTCCTGGTAGTCCTTCTTGACAGGGAGGCGCAGGTAGATATCGCCGGCACCGCGGGCAATCGAGCAGTACTTAGCCTGCGAGTCCAGTCGCACACTAGGGGCGGTGATGCCGAGAAGCTCAGCGACGGCGGCGTTGTCACCCTGGGCGGAGTGCGCAGCCTCAACGCCCTCACAGAACACGGCGTCCGAGATTTTGGCAACAGGGCGCATGGAGATGGGCTTGCTAGCAGCGAGAGCGCCGCTGGCCAGAGGGCGGCTAGTGGCACCCTCACCCTGGATGGCGGAGAAGAGCACACCGTTGCCGGCAGTCTCAGACTGCTGGGCGCCAGTGTTGGCATCGAGGGCAGCAGCGTCATCAACAGGGAGATTGGGGGTACCGATGGCACCAACCTTGACGTCGCCGTCGACCATCAAGCCGAGGCAGACAGCGTACTGACCGCCACGGAGGAAGCCCTTGGTACCGTCGATGGGGTCAAGAGCCCAGATGCGGCCCTTGGGACCACCGGCACTGTTGCCGTTATCAATGATGTCCAGCATGCTCTGCTCACTAGCCAGGGGGCCGCCGAGCAGGTTGTCGCTCTCCGCATCGTCGAGCTTGATGTCCTTAACGAGGCGCCAGATCTCAGCGCTGAGGTCCTTGTCTTCACGGAGGGAGCTGGCCTCCTCCTCGGCAACAATTTCGTCGTTGGGGAAGTTCTTGCGGATGGCTGAGATGATAAGTGCCTGAGCTCCGAAGTCGCCAATGGTGACGGGGGACTTGTCGTCCTTGGAAACGGTACCCTTGGCCTTCTCAAAGAAGACCTTCTGGGTCAGGAGGCACGCCCGCTGGACGGCCAGTTCGGCAATATAACGTTCTTGTTGGTAGGACATGATTGTGTGGTTGGAGGAGAGGTGGGGGAGAAGGAGGGAGAGACGAGAGCGGGTGAGAGCCACACTGAGGGCCAGGACGAGGGTGGAGCAGACCACCAAGCGGGACAGGACGCGTAACAAATAAGAACGGGGGGATGGATCCCTTGCAATTGAATGCGTCATGAACAGTAGACTAGATGTTATGTACTGTCACTCGAAATTGAGCTATTTGGTAGTCCTCAGAGAACTGTGTCGTCGCTTTCTGCTTGTTCCCTCAGGCATCGAACCCCGCGCTAACCCCATTGGGCCGGAGTAGTCACGAGGGGCCGATAAGGTTAATTTGGCTGTTTCCCCTGTTTCTTCTCTGTCAAGTGCCATTTGCAACTTCCATTCGATTCCTACTGTCGATATACTCTTCAACTTCTGTTGCTCAGCCCGCTAGACGAAAAACGGATGCCAAGACCTCCTGCGACCTCCTGCGACCTCCGACGTCACCGACATTACCACGTGAAACAGTCGCAAGCGCTACGAACCGTTGCGCTGGCTTTTGGTGCCTGATATTACCTTTGGACTGTTCTTATATAGCTTTCTCACCTCCCAAATATCACCATCGCGCTCTCGTCACCTCCCCAATCCCACCGATCGTTGTAAACAGTACCGTGCGGGGTCCGTTCTATATCGACATTGCAGGCGGGGTGTTTGTGGTCGTGGGCTGATTCATACAAGTGGAACTGTTTGATTCCTCACCGCTATACTTGAACACATCAATTCCTGTTCTGCTTCTGCATCGGACTTGAATTCGGCTTTCCTGAATCAATATGTTCCAATCTTCGGTAAGTCGCTCGGCAATGACCCCAGAATGCCCCGGCACCGCTAACAGTTTACGAACAGAAACCATACTCGGCGGTGACTGTGCAGGTGGAGGTTCTCACGAGTGAGCAATATGAGGTGGAAGACTCCAGTGGTATTGTCGACTTGGTGGAGGTAGTGCGCATTCAGGCCAGCGGTCCGACAGAAGCAAGTCGGGCTTTACGCAAGAAGTTGTGAGTCTAAATATAACTGACAGAACTTTTTGACCCAAGCTAATTGAAGCAGAAAATACGGCAATATTCATCGTCAGCTCCGTGCGCTTGTCATTCTTGACTTTCTGGTTCAAAATGCTGGAGACCGCTTCTTGCGCGAGTTCGCAGACGAGGCACTTCTTGAGCGGCTTCGGATCGCAGGTACTGACTCTGTATCGGATCCTCTTGTGAAGCAAAAATGTAAGCAAATCTTTGGACAATGGGCAGCGACCTTTAAAGACACACCTGGTATGGCCAAGGTCACGGCGTTGTACAAGCAACTCCCGAAGCGCAAGCAGCCTGCGAACCAAGCCAAGGCGAAGGTCCTCCGAGAGGGCTCAAACTCGAATGGGCCTCCAATGGGTCACGTTGTATCGGTGTCAGCTGGTACTGGCCCATCCACAGTCTTGACCAGCCCAAAGCAAAAGATCAAGGCTAAGAAGGACAGAAAGGACAAGAAGCTCTCGATAAGCATGGGAAGTTTGGGAAGCAAGGGCTTCAACTTGGAGAAGGAACGTCCGGAAATTCTACAGACACTTGCTGCTTCCTCTGTTGCCAGCACAGATCTCTTGAACGCCCTCAAGCTCGTGAACCGTGAGACGCACCGAGTCAGTGAAGATGCAGAGTGTATCAACCGCTTCGATAAGTGCAAGTCACTTCGCCATCAAATTCTTCGGTATATCCAGTACATTGAGAGCGAAGAGTTCTTGGGCGGTCTTATTCATGCGAACGAAGAGCTTGTGACGGCGTTAATGGCTTTTGAGGTACTCGACAAGAGTGTGGACTACGACAGTGACAGTGAGGATGATATCCTTGAAGGTAATTGGAAGGAAAGACATGGACTTGGCCTCGATGAAGATGTGCACGACGGTCTTGCCGGCCTGAATATCAATCCTCCCAAGCCTCCAAGACCAGCTCGTCCGGAAAGTCTTCCTCTTGCGTCTTCATCGCAGCACTCGCGCCAGATTTTCGAGAGCGAGAGCGAGTCAGAAGAGGAAGATGACGATGACAACCCCTTTGGAGACCGGAACGCCATCAAGACGCCGGGTGTGGAGAAATCGGGTTACTCTTGGTATGTCATTTTCCCTATTTCAATACCTGAACTTACTGACAAACTTATAGGAAGGAGGTCTGATCGGGGGGTGTTTAACCTATGAGCCATGTTTGTCTTTATTGTTGCCGTTTGCGCTTTGCTTTATTCATAGATTGTCTAGTCCTGTACTTCATTGGTATACCCAAGGCAATTGGCTATCGTTTTTTTTCTAAGATATCTTCTTGGTTGTTGGGGTATGGGATTCCATTATCCCCAAGTCTCAAGTCTCAAGTCTTTTGAACCTTTATTGCATAGCTTCATGATACTATTATCCCCCACTCTTTCCACTAGACCAAAATTTTCTTAACGCAATATGTCACGAGAAATAAGCGAGCTTCAACCGGAAGTTACCTTAGGGATAACCGACCATCCGACTCGCAGCAGCCGCCAAACGTACGGTTCGGGAGCGAATCTAGGACCGGTGGAAGAAGCACGGGAGAGCAACACCTTGGGGGGACTGCTCAGTCGACTAAGCGCTTGGTTGGTTGGCCGAATAGGAAGGTCTTGAGGTTGTACGAATACCTGTCGAAGCCAATATCTTCGATCATGATTTAAATATGTTCGATGCGTATTGCACTGCGGCCCTTCTTGTTTAAAACCAAAGAATCAGAGACCGACCGATTCCTCAGGCCTATGATGATTGTCAGGCATACTTTACAAACATGGCCGAAGATCAGAATACAGTGGAACTTGAATACTAGATAGTCCGCGTACTAAATACTAGCCATAAGTGGATAGCATCAATTGATAAAGAGTGAGTAAACACGAGACACAGAATGCAGAGCTCTCCACATAGCCCTAACATCTGGGTAGGCATATTCTGAAGGGGCTGTCATAGATGATTGAGAGCTCGAAAGGAGTACAATACTAATGATTTTCAACTCAAATTTACATTGAAATCAAACACCTGATTACTCGATGGTAAAATGTGTCAGCCCTCACGAACAAAAGATAAATCCAAAGCTTCTGTAGCAGTATTAAAAAACCATTAAACGTTCTTACTTACACTATCAGCAAATTTTTATGAGCTTTGTCAGCTGGGCGAAAGGTTTCTAGGACACAAGCTGTGCAATCCGAGCTGAATGTCGCTCTTGTCATTATAATGAGGAATTAATAATATTCTGGAGGTTAAAAATTCTAGTTTCGCGAAGTAATATGGTCAATGAGATACATCTCTTTATCGCTCTCTCGCTCCAGCAGCACTCTAATATAATTAATTTCAACCCGTTCCTTCTGTGGCCCTGTATATACTTGACTATGAAACTATCGCGTGTTTCCTGTTTCATAGAGCAAGGCCAGGAGGACCACCAGCACCAGGAGGACCACCGCCACCAGGAGGACCACCAGGAGGACCACCAGGAGGGGGAGGAGGAGGAGGAGGAGGAAGGTAAAAGCATCCGACTATAGGGATATGTCTATAGCCATTAAGCCAATGAGCAAGTACTATACCTGAGAGAACAGGGGGCGCAGTGGGCGAGTATGTATAATTGAACAGGTCGTAGACAGTGAGAAACGCATTAACTGGAAGTTTCAAAACCTTGCGTTCATCTAGGCGATAAATAAATTGCGATCTATAGAGATTGTTAGCATATGTCCCGAGCAAAAGATACGGATGGATACTCACGTATAGTCTCTGCATCCATGAGTGCCAGTAGCATTCACGACAAAGTCACAAGAATTCATTTTGAAATCGCGAGCAACCTTAAGGAAGTGCCTCAGACATTTCTTCCCTCTAACGGGTATCCTGTGACTAAAGGCTGCCCTCTGGTGGGCTCCTGTGTAAGTAAAAGTCCTAACAACCAACCGACCTTGATCGATGTTTGGGTTACCGACTGAACCCTGATCTTCGAGAAACATTATAACACCATGGGTGCCAGCGGGTGAGCGCGGAGAAGCAGCTATTATTGGGTTCTTGAAGACTAGTTTCAGTAAAGCGTGTTGACCACCACCGACCAAGCAAATAATCTCCAAGAGACAGTAGTCGATGCGTTTGTTTTGGAGGGGCGTCGGGATAGGTCCTGACGCAGGTTCCCAATCCAAGTTTGTCGTAGCGTTCATATTGGATGGTTATTCGAGATGGATGATTGTTTGCGTAGTATAATGCTCTGAATAGCTTGAATATACATTTTTACGGGGGCAAAGACTCGATCTTATATGGAAACAGATATTTTAATCTATCTTTTGTTCAAAGCAGTGAAAGACTTCGATCGATTCCAAGGGTATCGTGTCTTGCGCACATAGACTGTCACTCAAAGGCCGAAGAAAGAAAAGTACTGATCGAGTTCAAAGCCGAGTGACGAATATAACTTGAAAGCCCGCTATTCTTAATCTAATCTATCATTGAACAAACTTGAAAGGTCGGGGACAAAGCCATAGATATATCTGATGCTGACAACATTTGACAAAGAAATTTAAAGGCCTTGTCTATCAAAGAAGTCGAGGAAAACCAAGGGACAGAAGAACAGCCAAGATATTACTATTAGTACCATTGTCGTATTTTTATTGATTGACGTCGGTTTGATCTATCTTAAGGTATATTGAAACAGTATGTATGTTTCATGTCTATGGTAGAGCTATGGTTGCGCTCGTTTTTTAGTCGCGTCCTCTTAACGTTTCTTATTAAAGAACCCCCCGACAATCGTGATTCCACTGATATAGGGACCGCAACTATATTTGTAATATCAATCTAATTAGGGTTATGGAAAGTGTCGAAAGAGCAACCTGCTCTATTACCATGGGATAACTTTTTGAATAAAAGGTGATAAACGAAACGGACGTTTGGTATGAAAATGCAGCTCAATACCATCGTGTTTCCTTTTACTATGTTAAATTATTGAAGAACAGAATGTCTCGAAGTTCGCCTTTGAACATACAATTATTTGTTCAATAGGCCAAAATACCAGGCCAAAGAAACCATTCGCTCTGTTGTTTTGGCGTCAAAGCACCCCGAGTTGTCCCGTGCGCGATGTAATCAATTACGGTTATCTGGCTGGAGCGGAATCATTTGCTGGCGAGTGCAGTAGTAAATAAGTTTCAGGTTGTAATGATGTAGAATAAACACAGAATACCTAGCAGATAACATTGTCCCGCAAGTCCATCTTATGAATTTTACAAAAGAGCCATCATGACACCATCAAACAGCAGTTCTGGTCTCTTGGACCTCCACATGTGCCGTGCCCGTTTTCTTCTCGTCATCCTGATCGATTTGTTTATGCACGGCTGCAGAGACCTCATTGGCTTTATCCTTATCCTCAAACACTGGTAACATTAGCTCCGTCTGTTGCATAACAACAGAAAGACAACTTACAGAACGACAGCTCCTCAAGAGTGCGGCCCGAAGTTTCGGGGAAGAAGAAATAGATAAACACTAGCTCGAATCCCAGCCAGCAGCAGTACACCAGAAGCCACTTCCAGGCGAGGCGCTTCAGACCAACGGGGTTCACGTAGGTAGCAAAGAAGCCCGCACCGCGGCCATAGAATTGGAACCAGGAGAGACCACGAGACCGGCCCACGTAAGGGAACAGTTCGACCAGATACGCTGTTGCATGTCAGTATAATCTCTGCCCACGCCATGAGGAAGAAGGCACACGCACTGTAGGTTAGGGCATTATAGCCAAGATTGTAGGCGGGCGAGTAGGCGAAGATAAAGACGATGGTCAGAATGGCTGCGGATTGAGCCTTCGTGCTCATGAAGCGCTCCATGGAGATAGTCCATGCGATGTACACGCAAAGCAGGCAGCTTGCGCAGGTCAGATACATCGGCCGACGCTTGAAGCGCGGCGCGGTTAGCGCGAGCGCAGTGCCGCAGACGAGACCCCAGCAGGCGATGCCGATGTTGATCTTGGATTTGGTCACGCCGGAGGTGATTCCGACCATGTTGAGGAGGTCGCTGAGATAGTATCTATTACAAGGATTAGCGACGGCGAAAGGGCACATTGGGCATATGTCATAGGCAGATGCTTACGAAATGAGCGTGTTACCAGACCACTGCGTGAACAGGCCGAGAAACGCGGAGATGAACAGTCGACGACGCATACCGGCTGTGCGGAACATGTCCCACCAGGATTGTTTTGACTCTTCGAGCTCTATCTTGATGGTGCGTTCGATCTGCGCCAGTTCAGCTTTGACAATGACCGAGCTGCGGTCGCCCTCTGCGTGATACTTGGTGAGAATGTCGAAGGCGTCATCATAGCGGTCTTTACTGATCAAATACCGGGGACTTTCAGGGAGGAACCTGGGCGTCTGTTAGTGAGAGCAGTTAGGATAGTGGCGGGTGCTTCCTACATCACAGTCGCGATCTGGATCGTGGCAGGCGCAATCTGAAGCAAAGAGGGGATTCGCCATGCCCAGTTGGACGAAATGGTTACCGTTCCCAAGCCCACAGCTGCCGCGATGACCTGGCCGATGAAGTACGAGGAATTGAACAGTGAGGTGAGAATCGGTCGTTCCTTAGGGTAACCCAGCTCTCCCAACAACGATGACCCTGCCACGATACAGAACGGGATTCCAAATCCTAGAAGCATACGTGCAACAATGTACATGGCCACTGGGAATCATCAGAGACGTGACGGCAGTGATGGGGAAAGATGAGCATACCTCCATTTGAGAAACCCTGGATAAGGGCCCCGATCAAGCTCACGCATGAACCAAACATGATCGTCCATCGTCGTCCAACTCGCTGATTGAGGTATGGGACAAAAGGCAAGGAGAGAATTGCCCCAAGGGAGTACGCCGCACCCAGAAAGCCTTTCAGGTTCGCTTCGATCGCGTACTCGGGGCGTCCATCCACGATTTTCCCGGTTTCATTACCAAAATCTATATCGCCCCGTTAGTCTGCTGTAGAGCTCATCGCGAATGGAGAAGACCTGCACTTGTTCCACGTATACACAATCTGGACGGTATTGATAATCTGCGAGTCGAATCCCGACGTGATCTCGATACCCATACAGGCCGGAAACAAGATAAAATAGAGTCGTCTCAGATTCGGCTTCTTGTACCAAGGCGTACGGTCATCGACCAGCAGGTTGGCCAGTACAGGCTCGGCCACATTCTCCTCACGTTGTTTTCCAACCAACACCATGTTGAAAGGCTGCTATTCAAATGATCAAGTGCTGATCTGTGGACCCTTGAAGACTCGGGATCGAATAAGGTTATATATCCTGTTCGCTCCATGCTCGTTATGCAGCGCAAGACCCCTTGGGCCCGGCACTTTGGCTCAGTTTCAAACAGGAATGAGCTGTCTTAGCCATCACGCTATACGGAGAGGGGTTGGAGGGCGGCTTGTTTCTATCGTATGAAGACCCTCCGGGTACGATCCCCGGGGGGGGGATTATAGTTTCATCACCCCACGGGGTAGCTGAGTTGACTAGAGGCCAGGATTCGAGCCTGCACGCTTATCCCCAAGTCTTGGCTGGCTTGGCATTTGATCTTAGCCTAAAACAAGGCTGCAGGGACTCCGCGGAGTCTCCCCGAGAGCCTCGGGCCAAGAGTAAGACGCGGATACTCGAAGAGAAACGGGGCTCTAGCAGTTGTTCTGTAGAGAGTAATGTGGCTGAGACAAATATCAAGGTCTTTACATTGTTGCAATGCATGTCTTGTGCTTTGTTCTACAATTCCAAATTGCCATGCATCAGCCACTCCAGCAGCACACTTAACTCCTTGATCCCGCCTCCCTCCTCGCCCCAAATCTTCAACCGCTCAATCACCACTCGCACACAGTCCGCCCAGTCGGGCGGAATGCTCACATACTCAGCCGAGGGGCGCTGCATCCGCTTTGCACGAAATCCCGCAATCAGGCAGAGCGCATGATTGAACCGGACTCGACATGCCCCCCATGACCCTGGATGGCGGAAGAATGGCACCTCGGTTTGGATGCGATATACTGCCAAGTGTAGCGCCTCGCTCGCTTTGACCCCGTACAGCGCCGCCATCCGTGGGTCGAGCGGGACATGGATGCACAGGTATAGATACGCGCGGCAGAGCAGTTCGCGCACCTCGACATATCGTTCACGGCTGAGCTTCATCAGCTCGCTCTCGTGTGGTCTAGGGGCGGAGTCGAATGGATTGTTAAACCGGAGTGTGGGTGGGAGACAGTCGACCCACTGCTGGAGTTGGCCTTCCAGCTGTATCAGAGTTTCTGCCAGAATCTTGATGGTGGGTAGGTCGATATCGGGGGAGAGGACGCGAACTGCATTGCGGGCCCGATTGAGAAGTCTACGCAGGAAGATTTCCGCTAGATAATAGTAGGAAGATGCTGCTTCGAGGTCTGTGGACGAGGGACTGGAGATCATCCATCCGGGGGTGTCGCTGGATGGTTGTCTCGTGGGGAAGCTTGGGAGAGAATGAGGAAAGTCGGAGAGGCTGAGGTCACAGGGTGGGAGATCTGTCAGCTCATATCGAACCTCGCTGTTGCATGTCAGCCAGTTGTGTGGGGGTTTGAGGACGATGGTGTGTGATACCATTCGGATTTTAAACATGTCCAGTAGAGCCGCTGCTCCAGACCTGGGGGAGTTAGGCTTCTCTGCGACAGACAATGAAGAGACTCAATCACGTACTCTCTTCCTGCGCACTTCTCATCGTCTTCCCCTCACGGTGTTTCAAGCGATACGTTTGCCACAGCATGGATGCTGTCCGGAACATTTTCCAGCCCTGAATGGGCTCGATGTTATACTGATACCAGATCCTGGGCAGCAGTCAGACATTTGTATGTCGAAGCCGGTGAGGGAAGCTCACCCGAATAAACAGAAACACTGCACTCCCAGTAAGGTATCGTCGAGATGGGCAGTAGAGATACGCTTACGCGCCATGGAGAGGAAGGACAGCGATTCCTTCATTCGATGCTCCGGAACTGACATAGTTATATACTTGACCGGTGGACCGAATGATGGTTCATTGTAAGAGACCTCGCGGGTTTCGTCGTCGGGATAATTCCCCCAGATGGCTGCTAGCGCAAAGATGAGAAGAACTAAGCACGACGAGGCGGACCAGTCAATGCCGTTTTCCAGCACTCGGGCAATAGCAATGTCCAGCTGGTCCGAGTCAACGATCGGGTTCTTGATCCAGATCTTGGTCATGAAAATCTCTCGCAGCTCAAGGAGTCTTTGGGGATCCAAGCTTGGTAGAACTGTAATTATCAGTATCTGCTTCTAGGATATCATCCCTGGAAAGGATCATACCCGATTGAAAGCAGTCTGGCTTTTCTGAATACGCCATCATTGGAAAGGTTGATACAGGCTTGTCTGTTGGAAAAATAGGCCAGCTGAGAATCATGTCCGACCCGGTAATGGGCGTCTTGGGCGCATCATTGCGCGAGATTGACTCGGGATCTACTTCGTCCACTGGGGATGGCGACGCCTGCGAAAAAGGAGGCACCCAGTTCATAGAGAGCCTTTCTGACAGCAGCCGCTCTTGACGTTCTACTGCGTCTAGGATTCTTGCGCCCCATGTTTCTAGACTTTAGATAGAGTTGGTGTCATTAAACGTCTTAATGGAAAAGGCTCTATGGGAACCGACACTGAGATGGCGTCCGTCTCCGGATACTCGCAAGCTACACCCCGCTGGATACATTTGGCACACACTGGTCGTGCGGAATCGCATCGAGTCTTGCTGAGTCGACAGGCATCGCATGCGGTGAGCACCCGCGTATTCTTGCGAGTTCGGGCAGTCGACGTAGACTCCATTCTCCAGTCGGACACGGGATACGCAATATGTCAAAGGCCAAGAGAAAACTCACGTTGGCTATTGCTGATGGGCTAGGCGAGACATGGCTGAATCATCCCTCCAATCAAGCCACGATGGCCTCATCAGGCCAAAACGGGATGGACCCTCGAAGACCCAAGTGCTAAAAACAGCCCCCTCTTCGTATAATAGTGGATGGAAAATATTAGCGTTAGGATTGGCGAATTTTCAGTATTATATTCTATCTCATATCTTACCTAAACATGCATTAAGTTCTTGGTATCTGGGGTGTGTTTCTAACATAGCCCTAAAGTCCCCGCCAATACGTGCTGCGATCGACTTGGAATTTGCCCCGGGCCATCACTTGCTGGCTGGAGGTTCCAATCAACACTTCATACGTTCCTTGCTCGCTTTTCCACATCTCCTCGATCTCGTCCCAGAAGCTGGTTGCATATCGGTCCAACTGGATGTCAACCGCTTTTTCTTCCCCAGGCCGCAGGAACGCCTTTTCAAACCCATGCAATTCCTTGATTGGGCGCGGTGTTGGGGAGTCGGGGGCAGAGATGTACAGTTGGAGAACCTCGGCACCCGCCATTTTGCCCGTGTTTTTGATTTGTATGGTGGCGACCGAAGGACACTCCCTGTTGAAGATCTCCGGAGTGATGGTAACAGTCGGTGAAACTTTGAAGGTCGTGTATGATAGACCGTGACTATAATACGGTCAGATGAGATGCAGTTAGATGAGACTAAGAGACAAAGGTGCTAACTCACCCAAATGGAAAGAGAACTTCTCGTCCGGTCTTCTCGTAAAATCGATACCCCCCATAAACATCCTCTCCGTAGAGCACTCGGCCACCCACACTAGCGTAGTTCAGGTACGCTGGATTGTGTTTCACATCCACAGGCCAGGACAAAGGCAGCTTTGCGCATGGATTGACCTCCCCAAAGAGCACATCTGCAATTCCATGACCAGTCTCGTTCCCTCCGTACCAGGCCTGCACGATGCATCGCGCCTGATCGGCCCACGGCATGGTAACGGGTGTACCGGACTGATTGACTATGACGGTTTTGTCTGCAGCGGCCTTTAACACCTTCGAGATCAGCCGGTCAATACCTGCTGGCAGATCCATGTGCGTGCGATCGAACCCTTCAGATTCCCAGTCTTTGTTGAGTCCGGTGCAAAGAATCGTGTAGTCGGCCTTTGTAGCAGCTTCTACAGCACTCTCGATCATCTCATCCTGGTTTATCCGTAGACAAGCGCCCAGGTTTGCGGCACCTCCACCGAAATTCACCATTCCCACAGTTTTGGTTATGGTCGTGTTGGCAGACCCAAACTCGATCCGAATTTTGTATGTAGTCCCAGCCACTAATTCCTTCGATCCAAGCTCCTCAACGGTGCCTTTACCAAAGAACGAAGTTCCACGCGTCTGGCTTGTGGTGTTGTCAATCACGAGCTCGTCATCAATGTACAGATTTGCGGTACCAAAGACACTGAGGCCAAAGTCCCATAGCCCTGAGACATCGGGCGTGAAGTCGCCAACGAGTGTGGCCCAGAACAGCCCTCGGTTGAGGCCCGGAGCATAGTAATCCATGAACTGAAATGCTGTCGTTGAGACAGGCTCAGTGCTGATTAACTGTCGTTTTGTGCCCATCGGCTCGTTGTAGAAGTAAATGACAGCCTTTGTTAAGAGACGGTCTATCACAGGGAGCATTCTATGAGCGTATGCGCCCACTTCATAGAGCACTTCCGCGCTAGGAAGCGCTTCCATGCAGGCGTCGTATAACGAGACAGAATAATATGGCTCAAGTGACGCACTGCCGCCACCTGATATGGCAGGAGTCTTCATGTGAGATCCGATTAGGGCAATCTTCTTAATCTCCCTTGGAAGAGGCAAGATGCCTTCGTTCTTGAGGAGTACAATGCTGTTTGCACAGATCTTGCGGTTCAACGCTCTATCCTCTGGGAAGTCCCGTCCTCGCTCTTTTTCTGACACCTGAATCTGACTCGCTTGCTTCACAAACTCCAACACCTTCCGCGCCCGTGCATCAATCGTCGATTGCTTGATCAGTCGAGCCTGCACGGCAGAATCGATAAACTTCCCGCGATATCTGGATACTCCCGGCATTTCCAGATCAAGCCCTGCATTCATAGAGTCGATAGTTGTGTACGTTCCGTACCAGTCACTCATCACCAACGGATTCCACTTCCACTCCTCGCGGATCAAATTGAGCATGCGCGGATCTTCTACCACATGCTTCCCATTAATCTTGTTATACGAAGTCATGAGCGCACCAGGCTTCGCATCTCTCGCCACAATCTGGAAGGGCCGCAGGTAGATCTCGCGCAAGGCTCGCTGCGTGACGAGAACATCCACCGCCCGGCGTTCATGTTCCTGGTCGTTGCCCACGAAATGCTTTACTGTAGAAATGACACCTTTGCTTTCGCATCCGAGGATGATTGATTTGGCCAAAATGCCCGAAAGATGCGGATCTTCCGCAAAGGATTCGAACCCACGCCCGCCGAGGGGAGAGCGCTGCATGTTGATTGTCGGACCAAGCCAACAATGAGCCCCTTTCGCAATGCACTCGTCTCCTAGCAGCTCTCCCGCTTGGTATATTAGGTCTCGGTCCCAGGTGGCGCCCAGCGCTGTGCCGCAGGGCAAACATGCGGCAGGTGTGCCGGCAAAGAATTTCGTGCCCCGAATACCATTGGGACCGTCGGTGACGCGAATCGAGGGGACGTTGAATTCGGGGATGGGATGTGTGTGCCAGAAATCGATTCCTGCATTTGTCAGCTGATAATGTCCGCAATGGTTGCTGTCTCTATTGTACCGGATAAAAGAGCGATCTTGTCTTGCTCGCTGATGTTCGCTAGAACATGCTCTACATCGAATGTCTCGGGCATACTGAACGTGTGGACAAGGAAACAATTGCAAAAATTCTATGTCTAACTTCTAGAGCGAAGATATGCAGATTATGCGTCTACTATATATAAATACATTCGCACTCAGTCAATCTTTGTACGATGGGATCTCTGGAAACCATTCCCCGTCTCCAGCGAGGTTGACGGCGGAGACTCCCCGACTTGGTGGGGAAAACCCCCACCTCTCGCCTTTAGCCCTATTCGCTTTATTTGAATCCCTAATAAGTTGGCATGCATTTGGCAGGTTATGCTATGCCAATTATTCTCCGTTCCTGGATCAGCAATTGAGCACAGATCCGCTCAAGGAATATAGCGAAGAGCACGATGAACCGATCATACTAGGACCAGTGGCGTCTCTACAGCTAGCGGGTTGGGTCAAGAACTTGACTACGGATACTCGAGATAAAGTTAAGCTGCGGGATAGGGCTTTATTTCATTTTTGGGAAGCTTGTCGACTTAACACTAATGCTAATAAAGATAATGAGCCTCTAGATAGGCACTTTATACAAGGGGATTGTGGCCTAACAGAAAGCCCGGGATTTCCTTTAATAGGCAACGAAGAACTCTCAACCCATTTTTCGCCAGGCCCATGGATACAGTGACAGTGCCACGATAGGGCTACGACACGTTTTCAAAGAGCTGAAAGATTTTGAAGAACACCCCAATGAGCCAAATCTGGGATAGATGAAGAGATCGAGGTGTGGGGAACTTGGTTCATCTACGAAGCGGTATAGATGTCGACGCTCGACAGCAGAGGGGGAGCCTGACGTCGGCAAGGGAAAAGCTAGAGTTATTGACCTAACTGATGACTAGCGAAATTCTGGCGTCCGCATACTATACTTTGGCATAGTGATTTTCATGATTCAAGTTACAAAATGAGCAAAGCTAACGACGCAAGTAGGCTGGCATCCTCGACATGAGGTGCTCCGACTCCCTTTTGTTGTGGCTGATCTTTTGGTGAAGCTTAAGGAAGTGGTCAAGCAATTCGCACGAGAAATTCTTGGGCGGGGTAAAGGTGCCATGTAAGATGTCTTGACACGATTTCGCTCTGCTTATTAAATGAAAAGTGTAGAAGTATTTCACAACTAGGTGTTTCTATCTAAGCGAACGTCGCTCTTTGCACTGTTGTCATACTGGGGGAACTGCCTACCCGAGACGTTGACCCCGATTGGGACTAGAGTCGGAGAAGATTGTATTGTTTCAGTAAACAGTGAAAGTGAGCTGGGTTTTCAGCACTTCATTGAGCGACAGTATTGAGACAAAGAATGGATTTGAGCTGGACTGGAGTTCGGGTATTCGCTCTCGTCTACCTCGAGTGACGATCCAAAGGTATGGAGTAGCTAAATAGGCTTGGAAATTTCCTTGTCTTTATCTATACGTCTTGCCTTACAGATCGTTGGACGCAGTCGGTGGTCGATAGGAACGCCAAGGCACTCCATTTTGTTGAGGTTTCGTATCAGTAGGTTATAGAAAAGAACTTTTACGAGTGTTTTCAAGGCTAGTTTCTGTCTAAGGACCATATCGAGCATTAGTAGCACACTACAGTCTCGATATCAGCCGATATGAGCGGTCTTTCTAATCTAACAAAAATATCTCCTAGTCGTACGTGGCAATAAGCAATTAGTCGTCCTAGTAAAAGAGGGGCATGAGACAAGAACCGAAATAATCACATAGAGGGAAAATTGTAGATGATTTGTACTGTTGTATGCACGGCGAATCCTAAACCCTGATACATGTGTTTAAAGGGTATCCCTAACGTATAGGTTACCTATAGACTGATTTAAGACAATTTTCGAGATCCTAGCTTAGCCTATTAATATCCCGTAACCATATAGTGTAGTGGGGGAACTGCTTACTGCATGAAGTAGCGGTCTAGGGATGATTCAGCACTTATGATGTATTTAAGAGTCTACGCATAGTAGAGCAGAACAGACACAATCTTCTCTTCAGACCACCCCTACGTGCTCTCCTTTCCTATAGCTCTACCTCTTGCTGGGCTTTGCCTGTGCTCCCATTGCTAGTATCGACCTGTCTACTCGACTAGACTGCCATCGCGCCGACCCCATTTCAATAGCTATTATTTATTTATATTAAAATCCTATCTACCTCTCTAAAATTTACATAGACTTACTCATAAGCGTCGCGGAACTTCGTACGGATATCTTTACGCGCGGTGATATCTAAGCTTTAGAAGAATTTCTTTATCAGAGGCTTCTTCAGGATCTTTTTATATATATAGTATCTAATATAGCCGCTGGCAAGGAGTTCTTTATCTCCTTATATACTTTCTACGTAGCCAAGAAAGCGAGGAACGGCGCCACAGCCTCCACTCTACAACATTTTGAAGGATTCAAGCTCGCCACAAACTTCAGGAGCAACAGCTTATCCAGCCAGAGTGCCATGGTCAGCGTATTCCATTCCAGTGATAGGAATCTGTTGATAAATTCGTATGAATGCCATCTTATTTGGGTCCCCTACAAAGTGGCACATGGGTATTGCACAGATCTAGGGTTTGGCACTTTCCGCTTAGGCCTCTTTTTGTGTACTTCTAGAAATTTTTCTTTCTCGCCCATGTGATAGTTCGATGGCTAGCTTTTTCAGTACATCGGCTGACTTGGAGCTTACGAGCGCCACATCTTTGACGAAGAAATTGGTCTGTTTATTTCAATGATTTTCCAAGCAAATTTTGGCCTCTCTGATGCAAACTGAGACTTGCCTTTGGGCTGAAGTCCATAAGCAAGGGTTGATTCCCATACCCCAAAGCACTGACTAGACGGCATATATTGTTTGCTGTAAAGAGAAATTTTAGTTGACAACTAACAGCGTGTAGCTCTGGGAGCTTGTTTTTTTCCTGAGCATAGTTGGTATTCTCACCATGGCAGGAGGAAAGCCGCTTGCAATTTTGATATTGACTAGAGGGCCGTTGGCTGCAGCCCTCTTATATACTAAAATTTCAAGACCTTTCGCGTCAATTAAGACTTCGATATACATAGGTCATTGTACTATATTTTCAGTTGTTAGACTAGTAGTTGATTAAGAGCCTGATCATTTACCGACGGTCAATAGAAATATAATAATGACAACCGTTCTGATTTTACATCCTTCCCATATTTCTTTGGCCACTCAATCGAAACATTCATGATATTTGGCTCTTCTCTCCATGATATCCTAGGTGAAACTGACTTTCTTGCTTATGTGGTCCTCGAAATCTATGGACAAGATGACAGTTGTGACCCTACCTTCGGTACCCTAGCAGAGCCCCATACCCGCTTCTGAAGTCCACCACATCTACTAAGTTCAAAGTAAAACGCTAACAATTCTCATTCAAATCTAGACCGAGATTTAGTATCTTGGGTTACATATGCGAGTCATTCACTAGCCCTGGAAAGTCATCACCACAACGCATCGAAATGCAGTTTGATCTTGTCTACCGTTGTCCTGGGCACGAACAAGGATCATGAAAGCATTGGGCCACAACGACTTTGGCTACCATTCTTCCATCGAGCTAATCGGATAAAATCTGGCAAGAGGCTAGCGATGCACTTCATATTCCCGGCATGAACGTATGGCTCTGACCAAGATAGAGGCTTCTTAGTCCCCAAGTCTGCCACGCAGTAAGGCTGACTTGCAGATGAATGACACGTATACAGCAGGTCTCGAGCGAATTATTTCCGTGTAATTCACCGCTCTGTTTGATCACCCTGGTTCTCTACACACCATCAGCTTCTTGTCCAGGAAAAGAATTCAGCAGCTGGCCAATTTGGCGAAGCGACATTTCACCTCAGTATAGAATGTGTGGTGAGGTAGCAATAATGGTTGGGTCTTGGAAACCGAGCGAAGATAAATACCACGATGTCTCCAGGCTGTCTACGGACATTTCTTGTTGTTCATGAAGAATTTGCTTTTCGAGTCTCCATGATTTGTGCACCTATTTCTTAAAATACTCCGGTTCCCTTTACACGTCTTTAAAAGCCATGGCCACACAAAGCACAACTCAGCAGTCCCTGATTTCCTTGTTCATGATTCAATATGACCAACATGAGTATGAAAATCTGGCGAAAAGAACTGCAGAAATTTGCGAACGAGCCCTTTTAGAGAAAAATATACGTCACGAAACAGAGAGCCGGGGAAAGGAGACTGAAAGCCTCCGAAAGAAGATTGAGCAGCGTGAGCGTAAGAAAGGTCTATACAAGTCCCTGAAGGATATATTTGAGGATGTCGTGGACCTTGCTGGGGCTCGCATTATTCTCAAAAAGTGGGAAGATAGGGATTGCGTCAGGGATATCATGCACGAGCTTTTCGAGGTGGAGGAGGAGAGACCGATGAAAGAAAAGAGTGGATACGAGGCGATACATTATCGTGTCTACTTGAAACAAGATATGATCATATGGGACTCGTCCACGACAGGAGTGAGGCCGAGGGTTGAGATTCAAGTTCAGTCAATTTACATGGCGCAGTGGGCCCAAGATGAACATGACAGTCGGTATAAGTCATCCAGGCATCCGAGTCGCGGATTGAGCAATAATTTCGATTTGCTAGCTCAATTGATCCAAATAACTCAAAAAATGGGTCAGACCGCAAGAGAAGACAGCGCCAGGGAAAATGCAGAGTACAAGCAAAAGTTCAGCGACCGCAAAGCCGTCGGCCTACATCTGGAGAATTGGATCAGCAAGTATGCTGCAGACTGGGTAAAAGACAAAAAGATGAAAACAGGATCTTCTACAGCTCTGACAATCTTTTTGGATGCTCGTAATTGGAGCACACCCGAGTCTCTTGATCTATTGCTCGAGAAACACCTTGGAAATGGCGTGCAGGACGAATACTCAAACATCGCAAAGGATTATGCGGGAATTGAGTTGAACATTGTGATTTATCTGATTGACCGCGAGGTCTTGAAACACAACACGCATGCTTTTGAAGTCTCCAGCGACTATCATGAACATGCCTACAAGATCCGAGTGATCTTGAGCACGTTCATCTGGATGAAGCGTCTTTTCATGCCAGCGTTGGAATGGCAGGTTCTATTCGCGCCTCTGGAAGACCGAGAAATTCTTCGACATGGCATTGCTTGGCTGGGGAATAGAGCCCGGCAAAACCTGATTGCACAGGGAGGGAAATCGTTGACTTCTGATGAAATCGGTAAATTGAACAGTCTTTGGCATTGGTTTTGCAGAAATCACGAACGACCGATCCGGGTGGCTTTTACGATGTCAAACCAGGGGGTTATCAGAGATCTCAACGGAGAAAATGATGAGCTAGAAAATGCGCTTGGGCCGCTTAGGCGGTCCTTGAGTTAGGACATGGCCCATGCTTTGGCGCTGAGCATCAGAGAACAATGAAAAAAGAAGGCCCTTCAGAGTGTGTGCTACCGAATGAGACGCGCTATTGCAGTAGTTGCAGCATCGTGGGGGAAAAAAAGTTGTGTTGTTTCCTTTACCTGGACTGTTTTCACTTTTCGTATCATCACTTCCTTGAAAGGAGATTAAGATGCACGTACAATCAGCCGGAAGGATTGGTGTGATATATGGGGCCCCGACCACTTCATCACACGGCAATCTGTTGACCTGTCGATTTCAGGGAGTGAGTCACACATGTTGCTAAGCATAGCCACTTCTTTCCTTTGGAAAAAATAGTAAATGCGAAACTAAAAATCAGCCCCAACACCAAACCAGCGAGGTCTGGCGACACACTGTAAAAGGTAGATTGTGCGAAGAGTAAAGGGTTAATATCAGCAAAATGTGGTAACAAGGTCGTGTAATTATTGACTAAACACAAGAATTGAATGAAATGAATAGGCCAGCAGGGTCATAAAATCAATTTTGCCAAGACTGGTATGCAGGAACCTGATACAAGCTCATCAAGGCCAAGGCGCATAGAGACAAAAAAAAATCCTTTTGGCCAGGCAACCGGTCCCTGTCAGTCGAAATTTTTTCCAGCAGTGTTCTCTCTCTCTGGCATCATAATTTTGAGCTCCTGGGAAAGGGTCAGATCTCAGTGTTGGTTTTACCTTCGGTGCGGGCTTGGGGCGAGTGACGATGAGTTTCTCCAATTGGATGAGGATGGCGGAGCAGGCACAAAGCCGCAAAGTCCACTCCGATGAAACAGCAGAATCAATGCAGTTCGATTCACATGCATCAGAGGCCCCGGAGTCTGGCGTATGTGCAGAAGTATTTGCAACTCGAGCAGAGGGTGAGATAATTCGCTCCTGTGACATGGTTATTGAAGGCTGGCTGACTTGTCATCCTCACAGTGCAGGACCCATTTCTTGGAAAACTCCTCTTCGAAGCTATTTTGAGCGGAGATACTCCTCCTGGAATTTCTGAAGGCGAAGTAAGAAGGCTCTGGGAGATACTTGCACTCGCGGAGCAAAATGGATGGAGCGGCTCGTCAGCAGTCAAACCAGCCTACGACTTCTGGGTCTGGTGTGAGAAGAAGTCGTTACGGTGCGCTGTGATCCCTGATCAAGAACTCTGGAAAGGGTTCGCGGAGGAGTGCGGTATATATAAGTACCAAGGTCAGTGCAATTCCAAAACAAAGAACGGGAACAGGGGATGTTTCGTCTTGTTTGCTTTTGATCTCCGGTTCGCTAGAGCCTAGGAAGTCGATTGGATAGCGACCCATGCAGAGTACACCAGTAAAGCTAACTCGGACCGGAGTGCCCCGATGCAAGAACACAGGCAATTCTTAATACTTCCACGTGAAAGCCTCCCATATTCATGACCATCAGAAGATCTGTTTAGATTATTCATGCGACTACGTGTATAAGAATTGTCGTTCGGTGGGTCTTGTCAAAAGACACTTCAAAAAACAGGTTGCTGACCATAACCCAGAAGTTCGCTAGAGAACAGCCTTCGAACAGACATCGCCGAATTCTACCGCGAGCCAAAGTGAGCGCAGGTAACCCAGCGGAAAGAGGTGGGGGTACAGAAATATGGATGGTCCATAGCGAGGTAGCATCGAGAGGAGGGGTGGTGACTATCCCTTGCTGTTTCATGCAGGTTTGCGCCGGGCTGTACTGGGTTAGGAGAGCCTGTGTCCGTCACATTTCCGCGCATGCAGCAAATCGCGTTTCCCGCTGGAATCGCAAAAGAAAAACGGCTACTTTGCTCGGTGTTCTTGTTCCTTGAGAATCTAGCATAAGGATTCTACACAAACGTCTTAATCTCATAATCTTCTTCTTCCAACAACCTTGAATACAAACCTTTTGGAACTTGTTCATCAATCTTCATCTAGGAAACAAACCTCCCGTATCTGCTGTTCTCAATTACGATGAGCCTCACGGTTGAGGAGAAACCAATCACAAAGCTCCCGCGTTAGATATCATCTCTCCAAACTCCATATTGAGTATCACATGTCACATAAGGGGTCAAAGTTGTAAAGCTGAGCTCAGAATCAAAAATCCTGACCTAGCCCACTTCCACACTTTAACTGGTAGTTTCATAGGTACTATCGACGTGTCTCTCTTTGACTAGCCTTAGACTACTCGATGCGATCTTTTTTCATAATTTGCTTGCTATTACCACCATCTGCGACAAATGACAAACACTTGCTCCGAAGCTCCCACCCATTCTACACCCCATATGTCTTTTCACAATGTCAGACTAGAGTCAAATATGACTGAACTTCTACCACCCAAAGCCCATGACAGGAGAAAAACCAGGCAGGGCGAAGCATCGCGGAGACAAACGCCCTCTTCATTATCTCCGGTCCGCACAACGCTGTTGTTACAGCAATAAGCCATTTTGATGCGTCCATCCAATCCTTTTGGCCAATCGATAGTGGAATCAGGCGTCTTTGATAACAGGGGTCGAGATTGCGCAATTCTTAGATATACGGGAGACCACGTCTCCGAAACTATACTAAACATGATTCTGCTTTTCTTAGATAACTGCATATCTACGCATCATTTGCATATAGTGTCACTATCCTTGATTTGAACGTGCTCTGTTTGCTAATAGATTCATGGTTCGAGACAGAATATGAAGAACGCAAAATCTGACTAACACGGAGGCATACGCACCCTCTATCTACAGTCTATATGATTTGTTCTTTATCTACTATCTTATCCTCTATGCCACTTACTCATGGAACTAACGGGGATTGTGATTATAAGGCATCGTGTGTGATATAGATAGGAACGCTAATATCTCTAAAATTGATTGCAGCCGATAGACGCGAATCATGACTATAATAGTCTGATTCGTCTAGAAAATTGAGTAATCCGGTCCGGTTATCTTCGGTTCTAAAGTGAGGCGAGCGCTAATTAGCTAGGGATAAGGAGGCCCTCGTGCGGTATGTCAGCGGCAAGGCATATTTGCAGCTATACTATATAGAGATAATTGTCTTAAAGGAGTGTAGGGCAAATGCGCGTGCATACGTAGAGATCAACTATAGACCGGCCAACTAGAATTCGAGGTAGTGAGTCTGTGTGGTAATGTCCTAAACCAAGAAAAATGCCTTACTTACTTCGAACACCACGGCCGGGGCAGAGGAGGAAAATAAGGCTGAACGAGCGAAGGTAACTTGGATTCCAGTTGCGGGATCGCAGACGAGCCAATAAGTCAGAGGATAGAAAAGAGGGTGGCAGAGCTCAGGAGCTTGGTTATTGAATCAATAGTAAAATTGCCTCACCTGAGGCGTAGGAAGAAGGACGGCGAAAAAGAAACTAGGGGATGTTTGGCGGGCGGGGAGCGAGGCAGTTATATACAACCACGCACGGACACACGTAGATCGGAGGTGTGAAGCTGTGCTTAATATAAGTGGATTTGAGAGAAAATTTTCATATTGGTCCGATATGGTGTAGTGGCTAACATCGTCGTCTCTCACACGACAGCCGGGGGGTTCGATTCCCCCTATCGGAGTTTCTTTTTGTTGGCAATTGATGCAAGTAGGGAGTGTGTTATTAGAGACCAAACTTGAATTGTTGGTTACCAATAATATCGATACAATCTCTCTGCACATTTATCTTTTAACTTAGTACGCGGATGTATAGAAGTTCCCTATGGAGGGAAACAAGATCGGCGATCCCGATTAGGCAGGTCGGTTCGCATGACGTCACGGTCCACTTTCGGTTTAATAAACAACGCGGCAGCCCCTGGGAACCCAGAATCCTATATTTTCTTTACCATTGTACTGTAAATATGTTCCCACGTCGGGTGTTGAAGCCCTATCTGGCAGAGTTTCTTGGCACGGCCTTGCTGATCGTCCTCGGAGATGGCGTCGTTGCCCAGTGCCTGCTTTCGGACTACCAGTATGGTACCTGGCTGTCTATCAACGTCGCCTGGGCTGCTGCCGTCTCCCTCTCCGGTTACATGTCTGACCCCGGTCCGACTATTAACCCAGCTGTGACTATCTGCACAGCTCTGGTGCGCCCATCTTCTGGACAGTGGAAGACCATCCCTGGCAAACTAGCTGCACAGTTCTTGGGTGGATTCGTTGGTGCTGCCATCGTGTATATCAACTACCGGTCGGCCATCAAGGCGTGGGATCCTGAATACACCATTCCATGGGGTTCGATCCTGAGCCCATCCGGCCATCATTCAGCGGGCATCTTCTCAACCTATCCATCAGCCTTTTTCGAGTCAAATTGGGAGGCTGTGTTTGCTGAGGTTCTGGGCTCAGCCGTGTTGATGTTTGGCTGTCTCAGCATCTCTGATCCGGCAAATGCCCAGAGGTTCCCCGCCCCTCAGCTCTCGATGTTCCTGCTCCTGCTTAGCATCGGAGCGGCATTGGGCTGGCAGACCGGCTATGTACGTTCAGAAGATCCTTCGCTTGGGACTATTACTGATTATACCAGGCTCTTAACCCCGCCAGAGACTTTGGGCCGAGATTGTTCTCTGCCATCATTTATGGACGTGAGGTGTTTACGGCGGCTGGATATTATTTCATTGTTCCCCTCTTTGCCCCTGTTGTCGGCTGTTTGATAGGCGCCATGACTTACGACGGAATGCTTTATGAAGGAGAGGGATCCCGCGTCACCGATGCATTGGATAAGGTCGAGGAGCATGGCTCCCTCCGACTGCAGTGAGTTAAATTTGGACATTCACTGTTCAATAGTTGCCGGTTAGAATAGACTTAAAGAGTTAGACTTAGATTACGCAGGCAGATAGGTAAGCGATGACGCTAAATGAGAGCAGAAGTATTAGAATCACACTTGGTAAAAGCCCATGCTCCCGTATTTTGCTTGACATTTCCCGAGGTCCATGTGCGCCTGCCCCTCGCCCTGAAGGAAGGACTTGTCTGTATTTTGACGAACTACAGACCTCGGGAACCATCAGGCATACAAGTTTTCATAGTATTCCTACAGGTATGCCGGGGATCAGGTTTTCAGACGGCTCCCTAACATACCTCAACAACGTTCATATGTTTGAGGCGAATATAATGCGAGACTTGTTGTCACATAGCCAAGCCTGCACGATTTAATATGAAATTACATGTACCGATTCAGGCGCACAACGTGCAAAGGCTGATTTGGGCTCCGTGATCCATGAGCCGCAATGACAGGGTAAGTACTTGTCTTCAAACGCAACAGGGTCTTCTGCGGGGTAAAATGATGCAACAAAGGTCGTATTTTGGAGACAACACGAGGTAATCATTCTTTTGACAAGTCAACTGGCATGTGTATACAGTGTCGTAGTTGCATTTGGTTGGGGGCAAAACCTGTTTGTCTGATATATTAATGTCAGGTTCAAGTGTATTGGAACCGCTTTGCTGTGAAGCCGTCAGACGTCATCTTTAACTATGCAGTGCGAAATCAAGGGTCCGTGTACGGCGGCCCGTAACCCGTGAAGAAGGGTCCAGACTTAAAGAGTTTAATCAGAACAATGTCATCCATCATGGCCGCATTGCATAATGTGCAAGGTCAGAAGAAAATGATTCAATGGTTGGTACTGAAAATGATCAATCAGCGACAGGCGGCAGTATTGTGAATTTCAGAGTGATCTACCTGTCAGCTAAAGTTTACGAAAAGCTCCGATACGACCGCATTAAAGATTAAGGCTGATCAAACTCTAAATATCGTGCCGTTTACTTGGAATTGTGACGAGATTGAACTTCAACAATGAGTAGCTTAGTTATTGGCACAGAATTTGAACAATAGCTGAAGATTGACCGATTATGCACCAAATATGACCAATCGGATATAAGTGGCAAACTTCACAAAGCACCGAATATTCAGGTCTAGGCAGAGTTCGTACTAGAAATAGCCAATCACTGGACCAGCTTTTAAGTTCAGAGCCCCTGGCACAATACGAGGCCCAGAATGAGCCTGGTTAGTCCCCTGGTAGATTTGATGAACTGAAAATGCCCAATTGGGAGTCAATTGGCGAGGGCTTCATGAACCAAAAATGGCCAATGAGAAACACATATCTTGAGTACATATGACAAAAAGTTTCAGGTCCTTGCAATGCTTGTGAAGAAAAAGTAAGCACAACAACGCATCATGACAATTATTGAACTGCGGAGTATGTCTGAGCAAAAGAATCGCCACGTTGTGTCGTCAGGGTATTGCTTCATGATGGAGTTGAAGATTGACATTGTATCTCAAACAAACTTATAAAAGCCGCAGTTAGGTCCAAGTTGTGAGAAATATACAGCTCAATTCTTCTGGTTATCAACCGTATCAACAACAGCAACAAACTTCAACTTGATTCAATCGAAATTCTTCACCATGTCAGTTCCAACCTTGAACTACACCGACTTCACCTCGGGAACCAAAGAGCAGCGTGAAAAGTTTGCCCAAGACCTCTTAGATAGCTTCGAGAGGACTGGGTTTGCGAAGCTCAAGGCCCATACTTTCAACGCACAGGAATTGAAGGAATTGTTTACATGGGTAAGAAGTTGTTTGCTAGATTTGCAATGATGCAGATACTGACTTTCCCTCGCCAGGGTCATAAATTCTTCGACCAACCATTGGATGTGAAGAATGAAATTCCAAATGAGACAGGTCCTCGACCCATGCGTGGCTACACCCCATGGAGGGTGGAGGAAGTTGGAAGACTTCACCGTGATGCAAGAGTTAGAATGATGAAAGATTCCAAGGTTCGTGATGATTACAGCTGATCTGCAAGTGCTACAAGTCTGACATGGGTCACTATCAGGAGCACTTTGATCAGGGTCCAAGCTATGACGGCGAGTTCCCAAACCAGTGGCCCAAGTCACCCGAGCTTTCCGGCTTCAAAGAGTTCATGGAAGACTTCTACCGTCAATGCGACAATACTTGCCTGACTCTCATGGCAGCTCTGGAAGTTGCCTGGGGTATCGATGATGGCTCGTTGGTCGCTCGTTGTGTTCCCAGTGCAACGGACCTCCGACTCACTCACTATCCTGCCATCCCCGTGGAGGAGATGCAGGGAGACCGCGCAAGCCGCATTGCACCCCACACCGATTTTGGTCCCATCACACTATTGTTCCAGGACAGCACTGGCGGCTTGGAAATTGAAGACAGGGACGAAAAGTCGAAGACCAAGTCTTTCGTTCCTCTGCCGCCCACTGATACCACAGAGATGATTGTCAATGTAGGTGATACGCTCACACGTTGGACAAATGGAAAGATCACAGGCGGAATTCATCAGGTCACTGCACCGGAGGCAATGAAAGAGGGCAGTGGCCTGACAATTCCACCCCGAATGTCGATGGCCTATCTCTTCAAGGCCGAGCGCAATGTCTCCGTTGGCCCATTGCCAAAATTCGTGTCGGAAAAGCAGCCTGCCATCTATCCCAACATGACGGCGTTTGAGTTCCAGCAATGGAGAAATAGCACCGTCTACGGGCTTAACGAGCAAGAGCACCTGAGTGAGAAGGAGCAGTTGAACGAGAAAGATCATATGTTTGGCGTGGATAGCTGGAAAAACACTCCCAGGGCTATCCGAGTGCAAGCTTGATTCTTTTTTTTCGAGACAGAGCTTGAAATATATCTGAGATTGCCATTAGATACAGGGTGTGAATTGGTCAGATGCGCTTGTTAAATCTCTACTTCTTTTCCCTGTTTTCTCTTTGGGATATTGGCGATCCTTGTTCAAAGTGGGAATAAGTCATTCGTTGGTATTTGTTTAAGTTCATGGATATGATAAAATGGAAATCCAGATTGTGACGTTCTTCAACACTGCCGATATTCTTTATTTGACATAACCGGAAGAAATCTATCATCTTTCATTGATTAAAATCTATTTCTCACTTCTGCATGCATAAGGTTAAGGTTGTTGGTGCTTAGATGATGAATGTCAATCTTTCGAATCATAATTCTTGAACAATAGTCACATATAGACGATGGCGCTTAGGGTGTATCAGCATTCGATCTGTCACTTCTATCACTTGCCATATCTTTAAAAGGCTGTACATGTGAGGCGAGTTGGCAAGTACTGGTTATCATCAAGATATCATACATTTGCCTGTATCCTTCTAGCCTAACATACTGATTGGTTACATCTAGTCCACAACCGGGGCCTATTCCTGATTGGCTAGTTCAAGTTCAGGGTCAAGTCTGGGCTTTCATTGGTTACTTTGAGTTCGCTTGCCCTGATTGGCCACATTTAATACACCTATTCTGCTTTCTTCAATCATCTACCCTGTTCTGTTCCTGCTTGAGTAAGGTATATCATGTTCAAAACGTCATAGCACACACTATTGTAGAAATCGTCGCACTATAACTATAGGATGTGCCCCTCCCTTACTTAGTTACTAAATACCCGAATGGCTGCAAATCTCCATTGCCTACAAGTCCTCATTCTTTATAGTTGAATGACCGGCAGTCAGCTACAATCTAAACATGGGGCCGATTTTTGAGCACAGGACCCCTCCTATGGTATCCCCGGATGCCTCGAGTGACAAAACAGAGAGGCCCGACAACAAATATTCGTCTCCTTCCGACGCTGAAAAAGTAACACGCAACATCTCCCCCGCAAACGAACGAAACCCATTTGATGAAGAAATTACCTACCCCGAGGGTGGACGTGATGCCTGGCTAGTAGTGCTTGGTGCGTGGTGTGGTTTGACTTCGTCATTGGGTATCTACAACACAACCGGGGTTTTCGAAGTCGTTGTCTCAAGAGTACTTCTGCCGGATGTTTCTTCATCCAGTCTTGGCTGGATATTCTCAGTCTATGCATTTGTGAATTGGGTCTGTGGGGTGCAAATTGGTCCGACATTTGATGCAATGGGACCTCGCGTGCTGATTCTTGCTGGGACAATCTGCACTCTGATTGGCATTTTCACGCTCAGTGTATCGACAGGTAAGATCCATTTTCTAAGCACTTTCTCTTATAACTTAATGTACCGTGATCTTGGCACTTGCCCGCTGCATCCCCAATTTGGTAAATTCTTTCGCTGACAGTGACACAGAATACTATCAGATATTTCTGTCCTTCTCGATTATGACGGGAATCGGTTCATCCCTGCTTCTAACTCCATCCATGGGTTGCGTTGCCCATTGGTTCATGGAGCGCCGCGGCCTTGCCAGCGGGATAGCTTTTATTGGAGGTGGCTTCGGTGGCGTCCTATTTCCCCTAATGATCCAGGCACTTCTTCCAAAAGTCGGCTGGGGTTGGTCAATACGTATCCTTGGATTTGTGTTACTTGCGCTCTGTGCTGTTAGTATCGCATTTTGCCGGAGCAGGATCCCTCCACGGAAAGGAGCAGAAACTACCTGGCGAGATACATTGCCCGACCCAAAAATATTCTTCGACGGAACTGGAGCAATGGCAGTCACAACCGCCGGTGTGCTTTTGACAGATCTGGCATATTTTATTCCTATCACCTACACGCCGATTTACTACATTGATCGACAGCATCTTTCGCAAGATGAGGCCTTGACGGGGTCTTCGGCGTTCGCATACCAGCTTCTCGCAATCCTCAATGCTGCTTCCTGCGTGGGCCGATATGTCGCCGGTGATATGGCAGATCGATTCGGCCGATACAATACAATGATTGTTTCGTTGTTCTTTTGCACGGTATCCGTTCTATGTTTCTGGCTGCCTGATATCCTTGTACCAAATTTGGACAACTACGCGCTACTTATCGTCTTCATTCTGCTATTTGGGTTTTGCAGCGGCTCCAATGTTAGCTTGACACCAATCTGCCTTGGTCAGCTCTGCGAAACACAGGAATATGGGCGATACTATGCCACCTGCTTCACTGCAGTGTCTTTTGGAGTACTTGTGAGTATTCCGATCGCTGGAGGTCTTCTCAGTGCAGTGGAGGCGGAAGGCAAAGAGAAATATTGGGGAGTGGCTCTCTTCGCTGGACTTAGCTACGTGGCGGCGTTTTTATCTTTTCTGTGGGTTAGAATTAAAGTCAAAGGATCTGATTGGAGAGTGAAATGGTAGAGCATTGGGGTACGACATGCAAAAAAGCCTCCCCAAGATATGTACAAAGCAGTTATGAGCATTGACCAATAGAATCACAATTCAATGCCACCAAAGTCACCAAGAAAGGCCTAAGTCTTTCAGTACAGGGATCCTTCGTTCCAGAACCCTGCATTCCACGAGTCCTCGGTCCAATAATCTTCAGTCCAAAACTGATCGTCAATGTTGGCACAGCACTCGTCGAAATTAAAGTTCAAGTCTAGAGCCTCCGCAATATTCCCTTCTCTTTCTTTCGACTTGAGCTCTTGCAGACCATCACAGTAGATCTGGGGATCCTCTCCTGTCGTTGGAAGTGTCAACCCTGCCCCTAACCCCAGATCGGATCCAAGTTGACTCGGAGTACGCGCTGTGCTCTCCGACCCATCCTCACTGGACTCCTTCTCAAACTCCATCAAGTAAGTTCCTACCGTGATCCCCATGGTTTTCTTAAATACACGACACAGATAACTTGGCGTTACTCCGACCTCCTTGGCCAACTCTTTCAAGCCGAACTTCATAGTCAAACTATCCTTCCTTACCCGCAGGAGCTCTATGACTTTTGTAACAACCTCCTCCCTGTCCCCTACAAAGTCCACATTATCTGGTTGACATCTCTTGCACGGGCGAAATCCATCGCGCCGCGCTTGGTCTGCGGTATCATAGAAAACAACATTGGCTCTTCTCGCAAGACGAGCAGGGCAAGTGGGCCGACAGTAAATCTTTGTCGATTTCACGCCATATAGAAAAGATGAGTGGGATGATCGGTTGCGGCGCGTGAGAGCGAGCCACCGGTCGTTCGAGCTTTGAGACAGACCACGCGAGGATTCCGGGGTATTTGATTCCATTCTTGGTTGAGTCATGCAGTGGGCTTTCTTTGCAGAACGTGCTTATCGGTATGTGTATCTGAAAGTGGACTTTGTTCGAGGTGCTAGGTTGCCAGGCTGATGGTATCACTATGCCGGTTTCGTTAGTGGCGAGGTTGCCAGGGTCCACGGGCGGTCAAGATCCCTGTCGCGGCCCCCAAACTTGTGGCGTATCAGGACGTCAGTCCAGTCAACGTAGGATTTCAGGTGTAAAATTTAGCGAGGCGCAAATTCTTGGTTATTGCATCTACCTTGAACTGGAATGGGGATTTTATGGGGTCAGACACATCACACACACTGTTTACCATACATTATCACGCTAGTCTTGTTCAATGGCCTAACCAACTTATATTATTTGAGCACGTAGAGTGAGGCTCAACATTTTAATATTGCGTAAATTCAATATGTCCTGCCAACAAGGATATTGCAATTAAGATCCAGTGGATATAGACTTTCGAATCCTCTTGGCTTGACGCTGCTTTTCACAACTACTTTTAAGTTTTAGAATTTCGCTCTCGGTCACTTCTGGTGTCTTTCGGCATATTCCGCGACTCGAGATCCTCCGATCGTCACCCGTGACGTCCAGTTCCCTCGAATTTTTCAATCATGAACTAGTATGATTGTATCTATGTTGGTTTAGCAAATTTGATTTTAGTACTATATCTATTATTTTTGCTTTTTTTTTATTCCATATTTACCATATACTAAGTGCAAACTGTAGCGCTATATAATCGGATCTCGACTGTATCAGCCGTGCCTAACAAACTTGCAACTCTAGCCTCCTATCTGCGATAAGTGAGAGATGTGGCCATCTACGGACCTTCTAACAGCGGCAAGGCTAGTGCTTCAGCAAGAAGGAACTGTATGGGTGCTGACCCGGGCCCAGGCCACCTTAAGCCTACTAGTTATTTTGGACAGGGTAACTAAAATCATCCATAAAAGCAAAATCTATGGACAATGAAACAATAGATCAGAAGTGAGCTGCGCAGGCGGTTAGTGTCATTGTGTATTGGTATTAAACTTTTTGACAGCGGGGCGCTTTTTTGCGTGAAATTGGATCCCCCAAGGGGTCCGGGTTTAAGATATGAAGATCGTCGCGTCACATCCGAATCTGAATTCCAAAATTGTGACGCCGAACAATTGCGCGAGAATTTCAAAGCTATCGTACACTGTGTCTCAGCGACTATGAGGCTAGTAATGTAAGAATTTTTCCTCTTTGCTTGTCAAAGATTAGTCTGACAGGTAAAAGTACATGCGACGTATCTTAGCCAAGTTTTTGCGAATTGCAAACTTGTATTCCGCAATGAGTTCTTCAACAATCGTTTGTAAAAAGGTATATAATTAACGTTATTTAGAATGTTTGTCCTGGTATAATGTCCGAAACCGCTATCTTAGAGCAATGTCAACTTCGGTAGTAATCAAAAACGCCCGAGCTTTGAATTGTAGTGTGGATCGTAGAAAAGAATCAATAGCCTTGGGTACCCCTTTAGCGGGTGGAGGGCAAGCCAGTGGAGCCAGTGGAACCAGATCCCATCATGGAGGGCATACCGGAGGATCCGGACGAGCCTCCCATGGAGGACATGGAGGACATGTCAGGGATAGGGTCCATGCAGACAAGGTCCTGACCAGCCTTTATAGTTTGTTAGTGATATGTTCAATTACACGCAAGTTAGGAATCGGGAATCACTATTATCACTTACCAGAGGAAGGGTGCAGCACAGAGCGGAGACGGCAGGGGCACCGCACATGCTCTTGAACTCGTCAAGGCTAGCGGGCTCCTTGGAAGGAGCCTTGCACTCGAATGCAGCAACTCCAACAACGTTGGTCTTGCAGCACTGGAGGTTCTCATACATGCCGGAAGGACAGGCGGTGTAAGAGGAGCGCTGCTGGAGCAGAGGGCTTGCGGAGGCGGTCATGGCGCCAATGGCGAAGAGGACGATGTTGCTAGCGTACATTGTGTGGTTTGGTTTCGGTATTGAAATGAATGTGAAAAGAGTGTAAAGAGTGGGAAATGAGTGTCAAAAAGAGTGTGAGAGATGTGAGCGATAGTTCAAAAGTTAGGGGGAGCACAAGCTTTAAACCCTTTTTTTTCATGATACGCTAAGTAAACCTGTTATTAGGTTTGTTGAATCGAACTACTGTATCTTCGTGGAGTACACTACGGAGATTGCCAAGTTGATTCATCCACTGAATACCCACTTGCAAACCCTGACGTAGACCCAATAAGGGTACTGTAAAGTCACGTGTGACCCTCTACATCTAGTCATTCTCCAATAGCAGCAGATAAAAACAACCACTTGGTGGAGAATTTATCTAGGGGAAGACTCCCGTTGCCCCTTTTGCTCGGCATTTGTTCTTTAACTTCGAACTCATTTAAGCAGTCCTGGAGCCTCGAGCGAAAAGGATAATGAATTTCAAACCCTCACATATGACAGAAACAGCTTTACCATTGAACCCTCAAAAGCAATCAAACTGTAGTTTTTGAGTGTGTAAGCATTGACCTTCGTTGCTCGAACAAACCCATAGTACTCCGTCCACTGCTAGATACACCCTATGGGCGTTAAATCGGGAGGCAGGCATTGACAGGAACCGTAGAATAGACGCGGAAGAAAGAAAGCAGGGGTTGTGTTTATGTCCTTAATTAGTCCGAGCTGCTACCCATAGCCGATAGACTCCAATAGCGTTTCCGCCTAACACTAATCAGATCGCGTTAACAACCAAACCAAGATTACTTCTGGCAGATCAACTCATCTAGGCCTCAGTGGAACCTAAATTTGTGGATTTCGCAGAGATCGGCAGGGACCGGCATCAGCAACACCGCTTCAGTTACTAAAAACATAGGAATTGGTATACATAGTTTAACGAAGCTAATGCAGATATTGTATCCAGCTAAATAAAACATTATAACATCGCTTAAGTGCAACGTGCGTACACCACTGTTTATATCCGTCTAATACTCACGACCTCCGGATTGCATACAGTATGGCAGTAGTGGGGTCCAATGTGGGTACTTTTCTGGTACAAAAACGTAATTCAGGCGAGGCGATAATGAAGGCAAATCTGCCTGGGGAGCTAATATCATCCGAGGGGATATGACAGAAATGCTCACTTCTATCAAACAATATAACTGACGCTTTACGATATCATTGTATAAGGCAAGACAGTCAGCCAGCCCAACGGAGGAGCAGCTATTGCATTGCGCGACAAATTGTGCGTAAACTAATATTGTGACTCCGCTAAATGTAAACACACTTTTGGAATAATTACGTTACTGTGAATGGCACGACCGTGGAATCATACTTGTTGGAGTTTTTGATAATCCGCGCATTGAACCCTTTCGGATTTGTATGTGGAGAGAAAGAAGAGGGTTTCATAGGGCTGAGAGATTTTCATAAGATCGAAAGACTCTCTAAGGAGAGAAGACAGACTAAAGTCGTAGATCCTGTCAGTCAGGGCAAGAAAATAAACCGGGCCTAAACCTCAGACACACATCTCCTGACATAGCTGTGGTGAGTATTGATTTACCCAAAATCAACTACTAAACTTGGGATACTCTGATACCATCAATTATGCCAGAACCTCTTCTAGCGACTTATCTCGGGATTTATATGTCACTTCAATGTCATATATGCTGCGTCGGAAATATTAAAACCTGCCAAGCTCTTTCTGCTTCTATTATCCTCCAGTGACAAAGACTTTCAACATACTTGCAACGTACTTCGCTTTCCAAGAGTCCTTGTACCAGACTGCCCATTGGTAGAAGGATTGGGCTGCGTCGACTATGCTGATGTACTTCGCTCCTTGGACGAAGTTCAAAATGTCTTGTTACCGAGGGAGCGGGTATGAATCACGAACAGTCCACTTGTTGAGGTCACGGACGTCAACTACTACTCTCGAAGACTGTGTTCCGTCCGGCATCTTTCGTTTGACCACGAAGACGGGTGACCCAAATAGGGTTGCACGGTCGGACCATTTCATTCTACCTTACTTATACAATAGATCGAAAACCTCGTCAACTTTGTCCCTGTCTGGCTTGGATAGTGGGTAGATTTTCGCGAAGACTTTTTTGTCTTGCCAACCGTCCTGGGGCGGAATGCGCATGGGTTGTTCCCATCATCATCAATTGATGAGTAGCAAGGCCTTGTCACCCCAGAGGATATATATACTGATAGGTCTTGCATAATTTACAGTTATACTATGATTAAGTTTAGCGCTAGACGTTTCCTGATATAGAACGTTATTTTTCACTTTTTTGGGGACATTCTTGTTTGCTTTTTTGACCGTTTTTTTGAACATGTTTTTGACATCTTTTTGAGTATGATTCAAGTACAAAGAATAAACGTTGGCCAACTTCCGTTTATATTTTGTCATTGACCCCATGCACCTGTACAAAACCTGTTTCCAAATCTCTCTCAGTTGCATCGTCCTACTTCGTTGACGGGCCTTTGTTGTCCCCAAATAGGTTTATAAGTTAGGAGCACCAGTTATGAGTGGGCCATGCACACTGACAACAGGTCGAAACTAGCCATCAACTCGCATCCAAATTTCGACTTGTTTGGTCAAGACATTGACGGGATACACCGTTGCCGGGATTGCTGCTGAAATCGAATGGGAACACCCCGTCTACGCCCCCAAGGCACAATTCAAGCACTTATGTGCAGCTGGTCCTATTGTACCCAGGCTCAAATATCGACAAAATGGCTGTTCTTTGGATTAGCCCTATTAGCCACTTCCTCTCATTCAACGCGCGAGAATCATGTCCTTCTACAGTTGACCGTGGAGGGAAATCACCAAATAAAAACGAACGGACTTCTTCAAGTGATCAAAACTTTACTATGCCATATGCAAGTGAGTCTTATTAACGCATAGAAGACCGACGCATCTGCAATTGCTGTGTTCCGGATGAGCTACGCAGTGCTGTAAAGAGGAGTCGTCAATTCATTTCATACAAGGTCCAGGCCGGGTTTCTCGATGGAAACGGA